CGTTATGCTACGTCTATCAAAGCACGACAGAAATGTTCACTTTATTTTATGTTACTTCAGACATATTTTAGACCTAATGTTGAATTGGATAAATGACTATCGTGAATTGGCGAAATAGTGGAGTGCGCTCGGGAGCCATTTACAATAGCGAGGAACGTAGGTGGATTGATCTGAGTAACATATGACACTGCGTTCACTGTTGATATGAAGTTTATTCACACTATGTAGTCGGGTGACATGAGAACAAAGTGACTAACATACCTTGTGTACGACACATGGATGAAGCTAATGCTACTTTTTCATTTTGTTTCGGTAGGCCCGTTTGTTCAGAGTGTAGCCGTCCTGTCGGTCTGCGCCTGTTGCAGCTGTGACTGATTCGGTGGTCGGCTTTACAGCCCTTTCGGTGGATTGGGTATGGCAGGGGGCCCCCGTTTTAAGGGGAGTCTGTAGAAAGTCGCGCAACTCATCCTCGCTCATGTGTCGTACACAAGGGGGCTCAATGTCTCGGCCCTCGTCAACCGCTCGCTGCACGTTAACCAGTTCCATATAGTTGTTCGCTTGAACGTTAATTTCCGGCAGCCGGAAGTGCCGAATGGGCTGCTGCTGTGGCGGTGGGGGTGGCAGCTTTGGCGGCGGTGGGGGTGGCAGCTTTGGCGGCGGCGGGGGCGGCGCCGCCGGCGGCGGCGGCGGCGGCGGCGGTGGCGGTGGTGGTGGTGGCGATGGCCGCCGCCTCTGTCGCCGCTGCTTCTGCTGTGGCGGGGGCGGGAACGGCGGCTGCTCCTGTCGTTGCATTTTTTGACGAATGCTCTGGATTATGCGGACTGCATCTGCCCTAATGCCATGCCCCCGCCACAGCAGAAGCAGAGGCGGCGGCCATCACCACCACCACCACCGCCACCGCCGCCGCCGCCGCCACAACAGCAGCAGCGGCGTCTGAAACGGCGGCGGCCATCACCACCACCACCACCGCCACCGCCGGCACCGCCGCCACGACCGCCGCCAAATCTGCCACCCCCACCGCCACAGCAGCAGCCCATTCGGCACTTCCGGCTGCCGGAAATTAACGTTCAAGCGAACAACTATATGGAACTGGTTAACGTGCAGCGAGCGGTTGACGAGGGCCGAGACATTGAGCCCCCTTGTGTACGACACATGAGCGAGGATGAGTTGCGCGACTTTCTACAGACGACGACGGCCGGTGGCGCGTCGGCCACCGGCATCCGCCCTGGAGGGGCGGTTGTCCCCCGTTTGGCTGGCTCGGGCGCTGTCCACGCACCGAGTCGGGGCGAGGCCCCACACCGTCCACCACTTGAAGGCGGGGGACTCCAGACGGCAGATGGAGAAGCCGTGACGTTCTGCCTGGACGTCGGCCCCGGCGGCCAGAGAGCGGCCCCTGCGCACATACGGAGGGGAGCGGCAGAGGCCACATTGGAACATCTGCCGCCCCGCGCCACCTGGATATGGTCGGACGGCTCGGCGGAGGGAGGCGTCTCCCAGGGCGGGGGCGGTGCCACCATCACCCTCCCGTCGGGAGAGACTCGGGAGGTCCGAGTCCCAGCGGGCCAGCTCTGCTCCAGTACGCGGGCAGAGCTGTGTGCCCTGAAGGCGGCCCTGAACGCCATCCGAGACGCCGACGCCGACATCGCAGACGACCCAATAGTCATCTGCACCGACTCCCAGGCCGCCCTGAGGATGCTGGAGAGCGGCGCCTCCTCCCAGACGACTCACCTAGGGATCTCCATCTGGGAGGACCTACTCGCTCTCTCCAGCCAAGGGTCACCGATCCGCCTCCAGTGGGTCCCGGCGCACTGCGGCCTGCGGGAAAATGAGAGGGCCGATGAGCTGGCCAAGGAGGCCTCCGGCCTACCCCAGGAGGCAGCAGCAACAGACGTGAGGACGCTAACGAAGGCCGTCGCACGCTGCGCCTCCCACCGCTGGCGGCAGGAATGGCCGTCCGGCTTCTTCAAAGACATCATGCGGGACCGTATGCCGGCTCCGCTCAACAACCTCGACCGGGATGCCGCCGTCAACGTCCACCAGCTGCGGGCCGGGCACTGGGGTCGCTCGGAGCAGTATCTGCACCGTATCGGGCGGCGCCCCATCCCGACCTGCCAGCAGTGCAACCTCAAGGCGTGCCCCGCAGCCCGCTGCATCGTGTGCAGAGAGGGCGCCGACACTCCGGAGCATGTGTTGCTCAGGTGCCCGTGCCTGGCCGGCGCCCGCCTGCGACTGACGGGCAACATCCACATCCGACCAGAGCAGCTGAAGGACGGCGAGCTGGTGGCGGCCTTGGCCGCCGGCTACCTCCGCCACAAGGAGCCCCTCACGGGGTTACAGGCCGGCCCCAGCCGGCCCTGAGGGGAACACCAACAACCAACAACAACTTTCTACAGACTCCCCTTAAAACGGGGGCCCCCTGCCATACCCAATCCACCGAAAGGGCTGTAAAGCTGACCACCGAATCAGTCACAGCTGTAACAGGCGCAGACCGACAGGACGGCTACGCTCTGAACAAACGGGCCTACCGAAACAAAATGAAAAAGTAGCATTAGCTTCATCCATGTGTCGCACACAAGGTATGTTAGTCACTTTGTTCTCATGTCACCCGACTACATGGTGTGAATAAACTTCATATCAACAGTGAACGCAGTGTCATATGTTACTCAGATCAATCCACCTACGTTCCTCGCTATTGTAAATGGCTCCCGAGCGCACTCCACTATTTCGCCAATTCACGATAGTCATTTATCCAATTCAACATTAGGTGTAAAATATGTCTGGAGTAACATAAAAATGAAGTGAACATTTCTGTCGTGCTTTGATAGACGTAGCATAACGACCACGACGGTCGCAAGTGACCGCCGGGGCTGTGAACGGCACGGCAACGACCGGCCGGCGGGTGGCTACGCCAGCGCCATCTATGGAGAGAATCGGGTAACTAACGCAAACCTTCCGAGCCTTATGCTTTCCTGCGAGGCCGGTGAGGCAGGCGGCGTGCCGATTTCGACGTCGCTGTATGCCGAATCGACTGGTACATGCATTTAGCGATACATTGTTCATATTTTTTCATTACATTCATCATATTATTCAAAAACATGCAAAAATTAAGAAAACCGGAAATATTCAAAGAGCCGGGGCGGTCAAAAAAAGTTCGAATTTTATATTTTTTCCGCCGGATTCGTGATCAGCACCCCCAAATACGTTAGATTAGACCTGGGGAGCAAAACTTTTCGAAACTTCTTGCAAAACCGGTCACCCTAATAGAGCAGATAGGGAGGGGAATCAAGTAACACTGACAGGAGACATCCCAGTGCCCCAAGGGATGACACATGGCAGTGGAAACCGCCCCCATCAGCCCTTGACCGCCCCGGGCGTGACCCCGTGATCGGAGGAGATTAAAGGTCACTGAGACGCCCCTACACGTCTGTGCCACGCCGAGCCAGACTGAACAACTGGGTCAGACAGATGCCAGCCACGCCTCAGACGCCGGCGCAGCGGCCAGTGGCGGCCGACACGACACGGTGACCGGCATAAACACATTTGAGGGGCGGCGCCACCGCGGGCCAGTCCGCTGCCACAGCTCAATGGGTATATGATGGTAGAAAGAATATGCGCTGGGCGGTTATATTGCTCAAAACGTGTTCCAAACTTTGTATGACGGCTCCCAAGTTCGCATAGCATCTTAACCAAATAAAATTGCATCTAGTTAGAACACACCGTTCAGATCTCCGAGACAAAAATATCAAGTCCAGCTGCAAAGAGCATTCGAGCTCCTGCTAGAACAGCAGTACCATTTGCCACAATTTCACCCGAACTACCCACCCCGGGCCCCCACAGGGCCTCCTCAGTCCCCCCCCCCCCCTCCAGGTCTGGGTGCACTCAAAGACACCGCCCCGTCGGACCCACGCCTGACACAGCATGTCTCCACGACGGTCACACGGCACAGATAAACCCAGCTCAGCAGCTGGTTACGAGGGGTCAAAGGCGGAGGGGTACGGACAGTGCTCGGGTGCGAGAGGTCAAATGAAGATGGGGGGTAAGATGTGCTGTCTTTGAAGACGAACATTAATAACATGACCAGAATTTGAATTAAATTAGATAAGGCGAACGCAGGCCTTTAAAAGCAATACCGTTGCACTCGCGATAGATTGGCAGCACCTCTTGAATCTTAACCGTCGTGCTCGACACAAAAGTTTATAACTCGAGTAGTGAGTACTGAGTGCGCTAAACCGCAGACCGTCCAGAGCAGCGAAAAACGAACTAGGCCTCCTCCGAGCTACGCGCCAGTGGTCGCCACACACCCTGTTTTGTGACGCACTATCAAAATATCCAGTGGGGTGTTAGCGGTTTTTGTCATCGGCGCTGGTCCCGTTTTTGCATTTCTAGAGTAAAAGTTGTCAAGGAGTTTCTAGGCGACATCTATACCGCGAAGTTATTGTATGGGCTGGTTTGACAAGCAAAGAACAGACGGACTGCAAACTGGCTTCCATGGCAACCAAGCCAGATCTGTGACTCGCGTGCCCCATAAGTCTCGTCTTTGACGCTGTGCAGTGACCTGTCTGTGTAAATAGGCGCTGCCTCGTGGCAGTGACCGTACCACGGTCACATCTGAGGCGGTCCGGCGGACAGCGGCGCCTGCGTACCGTCACACGCCCTCACTGCAGACCGTCCGGCCTGGCAACGGCGGCCGTTCACAGAAACAGAGCCTAGAGTTGGCCCGGAGGGCATTCAGGTCACAAGGCGCATTAGACAGCTGTACAGGCCGCAGGGCTAATAAAAATGACGCAATACCAACGCATTTTCTGCAACGTCTAGAAATACCAAGAGCTTCCTGTCATTGCCCGCTCGGACTTTAACTTTCCGCAATTGCTTTCTCCTCATACAACATTTCTGAAAAAATACCACCCCACTATCCCGTCCCGTGAGAGTGATGGACGTAGAGGCAGTGTGAGGGATGAGGCATGATGGAGGCGGCAGCGCCACCAGGCTCTTCCACTGACCGATGTACATGAGGTCCATGATGTCGGAGCGCAGCTCGGCCGGCGTCGGGTGCGTGCCGTTTGTGACGTTGGACGACACCACGCCGATCCAGCGGGCCGACTCGTCCAGCAGTGACTCGGCCGCGCCGGCCAGGTTGGCCGCCAGCGCGGTCGCCACGCCTGCCGCGGAAACGTGAGAGGTGATACGTGGGTAATGGGTGATGTCGAGAGAACGCTGAAAAATCTGACCGACAACGATAACTTGTGGAATTATGCGTTTAAATGTCTCCGAATAACATTCGAGCGCAATACATGACTCTAGTAATTTTACTTTGATGAGCGACAATACAATTATTACAACACCTACAGTCCTGAACACATGTTAAGTCCCATGGACTCAACACTAGATAGGAGTTACAAGCAGAAGCAAGATACTCGCATATGTGACGTAATAAGGTTCAACGTTCAGTCTCATCGTGAGTGACCAATGACCTGATTGGCTAGCGTGTTGCGTTTCCCGGCACACTTTGCCCGCCCCGTCTCCCGACCTGACTCGTGACTATCCTCCCCGATCCCTGACTCCACAATCACCAACCTGTGACGTTTCCCGTCGTGTTGCTGGGCGGGCCGGGCGGCGGGTTCTTGCTCGGCTGCGCCACGACCAGCGGGCCCAGCAAGAAGCTGCCGCTCATCCCCAGCTGGTTCAGCACGTTCGGTACTCCTGCGTGCCGGAACAAAAGGTGTTATCGATCACAGGACACAATTGGTAACCCAGCAGCAGCAAGCTGGTACCATCAAGACAGCGTACGATAAATACACATTACACACTTCAATCCACCAAATAAGGACTCCTAATAGCAGCGATTTTTACACCAAAGGAATGCATGGGCAAACCAACACCTAACACTGAACATCGTATTTGGCAGCATATTGACCTCAAATCCACCTACAAAGTATCTATGACCCTGAATCACGACCACAGACAAACTGAGCACCAGCGACTACCCCTCCCGACTCACAGGGCCGACCTGTCACTGGCTCCTCCGCAATGATAGACCACCCGTCCGCCGAGAGGAACCGTCCCTCTGCAGCAGGGACCACCTGTCCGCTAGAGAAGGACTACTCCTCCATAGTGCGGCAGACCCCTTTACAATGAGCGACCGTCCCTACCTGGTGCCCGACTCACCGGTGGCTGTGGTGCGCTGGTGAGGCGCGAACCACATGGCCGAGATATACGGCGGTGCCGCCATCGCCATAATGCCGGCCACGCCCGTCAGCACGGAGGCCACGAACGCGAAACTGCAACAGAGGGGGTCACCGTCAGCACGCACAGAGGCAATGAACGCGAAACTGCCCACAAAGGGAGGCGTTCGCCTTCAATGGTGAGCAGTTGGTGTTCATTGGGGGAGTCAGCACAGAGGCCACGAACGCGACACTGGCGGCAAAGGGATAGATGGCTGTCAATGGCGAGTCAAATGGAATCATTGGAGTCAGGATTCAACAGTGAACGGCCAGCCGTGGGTGGTCAGTGGGACTACGAACGCAAAACCACAACTGCCCGTTGTGGCTGCCAGCGAGTAATCGGAGGCTGTCAGCGCAGTCAACACTGAATGGTTGACGGTGAGTGGTCAGCGGTCATTGTTCAGTGGTCAGTGGTCAGCGGTTCACGTTCAGTGGCCATTATGTATCGGTGTTTCTTCATGAGCTCGCAAGCCATCGTGTGTGCGTGTGCTTTAATTTAGTTCCAGTCCAAGCCGCTACATGCGGTTATCAGTTATCACACTCGAGATCTGTGCTATCGGTGTAAGTTTTTAGGACAGCTGCATTGAATCTTAGCGCAGAAAAACGCGCTGATGAGACAGAAATAGCACAGCCGCAACGAACTAAGTCATCCGTAATCAGGACTCAAAGACAAAGGCTTCGTGCGTCGCAGGATATTACCCGATTAAAATACGACGCACTTGGGGTTCGGGTGACACATAGTTTGACAAATGCTTGTTTCAGCGCGAACAATTACGCGTTTGTGCTGACTTGTTGATGTTACTGTCCGACCTACCCACGGTACGGACTCCTGTCACTGCCTAGAGTAGTCACTAACCCCACCACCGTCACACAGCTGGTAACGTGATCGGTCCGCCAGCACACGACCCCAGCCACACCGCGCCGAGGTGGCACGGACCGGCCGCAACGGTAGCCTTCCGTGACTAACACGGCCGCGAACCGTTCGCCATTATACAATCGGCACAACACACACGGAGGGCATCGAGCGGGCGGGTGGCGACAGGGGACGATTGTGTAACAGATCTGTACCATGGTATATGATTCCGAAGGGGTTAGACGCCAGCTGGAAAACAAGACCAGCAGTGCTGACAATGAGATAGGTAACAGACAGATACTTCTTCGATATAATTAGAAATTGGCTAATTGAACAAAGCCAACCGGGGTCTGTGCCCACTGACCAGGCAACGTATTTCATGGTGCTAGCTGGATGCATACGAAGGACCACAAAATAAGCTAGTTCGAAGAAGGAGAGCATATGTAGTACCTCCGGGGTAACCCTATTTGCGACACGACACCTGCATCAATATCAACACAAATACGAATTCCAGACAGAGTATGTATGTGATAGCAGGAGGCGTAACCCTATCTGCGGTACGTCATCTCCCGTATCACATGTAGTCAGACGGACTACTGGCCTACCGCCTGACACTTAGAGATACTGTAATCACATAAACATTGCGGATACAATCAGCAAAGATATCGGAACAACAACAAAGCACTCCGCGGGTAAATGGTATGAGGAAATGGTCCAGCCCACAGACTATCTCAGTTTCCGCCAAACAGAAGATAGCACCTCGCTGACTCTTTTTTCGGGCCAAAGCCGGCGATAACCAGTATCAGCAAGAGAACGTTAGTTAGACACCCTTGTTACGTCAGCCCTCACTCCTTTTCAGCCGATGGACGATGGACCTAATGACCGCTCCGTCAGTCATGTTCAGCTCGGTGCCAGCCATCAACTATCACGTGATGCCGTGTTAATGTGGAGCAGCCACACCACATTGCAGCAGCAAACTAACAGCACCAATTCCTCTGATAGCTTAGACTCAGAGCAGTTAGGTATGACTCGACCACTGACCCGGCGACACTCACGCCCCAGAGCGGGGTTAGGCCACCCGTCTGCCCGGTACTCACATGTTGAAGAAGGGCTGCTGTAGAGTGATACAGCGCAGGGCGGTGCCCACTGCCAGACACGCGGCCATCAGAACCACGGCCGGACGGACTCCTGCGGTGCAGGGAGACACGGACGTGGAGTCACGGCTGGTGTCCAGGGCACGATATCACGGCAGGAGTCACGTGGGTCGCGAGCAGTCATAGCTATCCATTCATCCATTCGAACCAAATTTATGAAAGTAAAAATGTAATGACATCACTGTTATCGAAGTCACCTGAATTACACACAATCACCGCCCTACTGAACGCCAAGCCCCAGCGGCCCTACTATCAACGCTGTCTGCGACTCGTCCTACCCTGGGGGATGTCAGTGTCAGCAAATCAGTGAACCGTGATCCACGCTGGACCCTTTCTGTTTAGCCGACAGTCCATGGGCTAATGGACCTTCGACCGGGGACCAGGAACCACGATCCAGCTGATATTGCTCTGCTTCACTTGTTAGACCGTGGCACCGGACCGTGGCAGCTCAGAGCAAGAACGAGTTTTTGTCGCGATGGCAATGTGTTTTGCTTGAGAGGGTCCGGCTCTTTGCCGAGTGGCCGCCCGTAGGTTTTTAATGAATTGATTGCAGGGAACTGACCTTTTTTGTCGAGTAGCCAGCAATAGGGCGCCATGAAGACAATGAAGGCGATAAGAGCCACGTTGGTGAGACTGGAGATGGTGAGCTCTCCCCAGCCGGGGAACGCCACCAGTGCTGCTTCCGTGATCGGTCCCCATGTGTTCCAGATGGCGCACTGTGGGCACACGACAGGGGCATTGCGGTCATAATCTCGGTAAAACGTTAGCAGGTACAGGCACACACTGCGGGCACACCGCGAGCATACGACATCTGTCAGGGGCAGCGTGATAGCACAGTGTGTGGAAATCGAAGCAGCCAAGCCCTCAAACTTCGAGGCGATTAAAACATTCATCAAAATGCACAGAGTTAAAACTTATCACGCAGAATGGGATAAGCTGTTTGAGGTACGGCAGCAACATTTTTAATTTTTATCGCCTCCCGTTAAAATTCCACATAGACCAAGCCGATGATCTTTGTATCTTTGTATGTATATCAGACAGTCGTGTTAGTTCATCGTTGACATAAGACAGCAGTCGAGATGGCCCAGGCCGTGACTTAAAATCTTAAATGCCGGCCTGCGTCAAACGCCTTACAACAGGGAGTGTCTGGTGCGCCTGTCAAGGGTACAAGCGCCCGCCTGAGAGATGCGCGTGGGGTAGTGATCCGAGGTTTGTCCCAACTCCAACGTTTTGTTTAATGTGGTCCCGGTGTTAACTTAAAAGACTGAGTGCGGCCTACAATAACTGGAATAAGTAGATCAGTTCAGCGTTAAACATTTATTATTGTTAAAAGTCACGCCTTAAAAAACACACACACAAAAACAGAAAACGTTTGCCCTCGGCCTGCCACATGTTCTCACGTTTCATAAGCAGCTGTCATAAACAGATGATGAAACTACCACAAAATAATCACAAGTTCACCATGCCATCATTTCGTTCCATGTCACCACTGAATAATACTTTTTGTCCATAAAATACCCTGACGATAACGGCTAGCCTGGCTAAAGGCGTAGCCGGTAGCTAGGCTAGCCACCCTACGGCTAGCTCGGAGACTAAGCGCGCAGTGTAGAATATACTAGTATCTAAGTAAAAATTACAGTAAGTCTAACCTGCGGATCTCAGGGCGTGGAACATACAAATCCCCGTCTGATCTCGCCCGAACGACCTCTTCATTGAGCCGTAATCACGTGACATAAGCGTGACCTCCATACCCAGGGCGCTCGACAGGGCACCAGCCGTGGGCTGCCGAGGCGGGCTGGCCCATGAACCACGTGCACATTAGCACGCGGGTTCGGTGTGATCGGGGCGTGCCGGCCGACCCCTACAGCGGTCAGGACTGCCGGCTGTGATCCGTCACTGACAGTCGGCAGGATCGCAGTGTTGGAAAACATGACTTGAGCTATCACTAGCATTGTCAAGATGTGCAGCTGACTTAGCGCACTATCGTGGTAGATATTATTTGTGATTTAAGGGGTCTGAGCTGCTGGCTGTTACCGGCCGCTGACACAAAATAACAACCAGTCCTATGCCCACAGATCAGTGTCGGGTCAGAATTTCCCTGTTATGGGTCTGAGCTGCAGGGTGTCATCAGTCACCGGCAGAAAATGACCGTCAGCCTTTTAGACCAGCATCGGGTCAGAGTCCCTGGTCTGGGTCAGAGATGGGCCTGGTCTTCGTGAAAGAGGCCAGGGGCACCCGAGGGACATAAATCTCTGGCTAGAGATGCAATGTTTCGTTAGTGTGTCTCTTCAGCCAACATGCAGGCGGCTGATCGCCACCCAGAATTTCATACATCATTCCAGTAACAGTAAAATAATCCTTTTCAGACAAGCTAGACATATGCCTGCATGTGTCCCGGGTTGGAAAACTTCCACTGCCACTCTGGTAGCGTAGACGCGAGACTATCTTTTGTAAGGTTTGCACCTCTAGAAGTGGCCTCCAGGCGTACCCACACGGCGCCAGGACCAGCTATAGTCTAAACAAGCGGCACGCGCCACATGACTTGACCGTGGCATCCCATCGAGCGATTACGGGCCGCAGAGGGCACACAGGCCACATGGCCGGCGGGCCGCTCGGTCTAGCGACCTCCAAGATCTGCGACCTTTTGATCCGTGCATACATTCTTGAGACAACCAGTGCAGCGGTTAGTCTTGTCCAGTGAGCTCTGTCTATAAGGTCTTGTCATGGTCTTGCAATTCACCGATTCCAGCACCTTTTATCAGGTGGGGTAACTGATATGATATATGATCTCAATAAAACTACACTAACACCGCTGAACATAGATAATTTATAAACTAAATGATTGCGACATGAGAGTGATAACAAACAAAACCGCTATTGGATGACTTTCTGCAGAATCCGTCAGATGAGCTGCAGTTTGCTCAGCTAAATTCAACGTAGCCACGTAAAACGGTAACTTCGCATCCGGCATCCCATAGCCACGTAAAACCGTAACTTCGCATCCTCCATCCGATTAACAAAGCCCACAGCGACAAAAAGTGTTGGCAGCTGCGGTGCGAGGATCTTTGTGGCTGAGGCAGCGCTGCGTTCTACCAAAGTGGATCGACACGGTGCGTCAGTTATGTGTCGTTTGTCAACTTTGATTATTCGATCCAGGTATCCTAAGCCAAAACACAGCATCGCCAAAACGCAGATGCCACAAAATCTCGCCACTTACTCCGCACGAGATGCTTCACAAAAAAAAAACAGGTGACACTGCTAAGTCATTCGTTACTCGCAGGGCCAAAGCGAGACTCAACCACCCTGGCATGCTGGCTGTTCCTGGCTATAGCCTCGCAGTCGGCCGACAGAAACGGCTACATCGGTCGGCTACAAACGGTCCGTCACCGCGGCTGACCGGCCAGCTGTGCAGCGGACAGCCCAGGACACATCCGCTGGAGGCATTTCAGAAAACTAGACTACGCTGTACCGGACGTGACGCACTCGTCGCGCGTGATTCCGGTACACCAACCGACCATCTTCTGCTGGACGATTCTGCGCCGGCTGTCCAGTGTCACTGTGCAATGCTCATATCGATAACGCTAACCGGGATTCGTACCCGGTGGCGGCAACGGTTAGGGAAAAACAACGACTGATGATGAAAACGATAACTTATCGATATGTAGATAGCGATGGATCACTCACAATCTGAGTTTAACTAGGATTGTGCAAACAAGGAAGAAAAACATACGTACTGGAAATATTCTGAAACTCGTGAAACTAGCCGAAAGACTTTCAAAAGTGGCGACTTGGACTGGTCGGACAAGTAGCCCCTTTCATCATCACCGACCAACCCCGACTGAATCAGCTGATAGACCCGACAAATTGGCCACAAAGGTCAGTCCCCAGCTGGAGGGGAGCTCCCCTCCTTCCATCCCTCCTCTTTCCCTCCCCAGTCCATCCTCCCTCACTCCTGCGCCAGACCGGGTCAGGTTTCGTATATCGGATATCCAGGGAGCGCGCGGCGCCGGCCGCCGGGGTCAGATACCCTGCCGTACCGGGTGAACCAACGAGGCGACCCGGCGCGGCGGGCGACTGGGAAGTTGGGCAATCCATGGCCGTGGGGTCCGTTAGTTCTATCAGTTTCAAACGAAGGTCTGCGTAAAACATATAGGTAGCAAACAACAAAACTCAATAAGTTCAAGTATCAACAATAAGTCAAGTTCAAGTCTAAACAAACCGACTCTGAGCTTGACGGAAAGTTACCAATGGGGTAGTCTTGGTAGGTCATGATTCATGGGAAATAATTCATGGCATAATCTACGAATTCCAGATCTCGCTAGCGCCGGATCAAAACCTGATTATTCTACCAGAATTCGGAAATAACCGGCTACATCCAGACTGAACCGCGGATATACCCAGATGCCAACGATAAACAGAGGGAGGTTGTGGCAAGTCCATACATTCCAACACACCCACACGTAAGACCTGACCAACATGGAATACAGGCCCAGGCCTAGATTTCGTCGAGTTTGAGGTGAACTAGTGACTAAGCAAAAGATATAGCGTAAAGTGCATTGCTATTTACATAAAATGATGAAGGGCATTGTTAACGTCCTTAAATCATACCAACTACGACAACGTATTACGTAACATAAAACGTAGGTACTCTCGAGGGTTTCAGTATAATTACTCAACGGTGTCTGGATATTATCAGTATATTAGGTGCATTTGAAACCGACGAATTCGGAATTGGTGACATAGCAAAACTACATTTATTCAGTAATTTAATTTAGTAGTGTTATTTAGTCAGCAAGGCGGACGAAGATGAAATGCAACATAGTATTGCAGCTCCAGGCATACGTCGATCACGCTCTGAGCATTCCCTCCTGATATTTCAAAATCGACAGTACAGAAAGCTGCAGATTACGAAGCCGAAACTTCCTATGACATGTTCGATTTGCATAATTGAACGTTGATAAAAGTAAGTTACAGGAATTCACAGCTCATAATGCGAGAGAAAATTAAAAAGGAGTGCAGACAACAACGGCGCATAGCGGAGCGAAAGTCACACCTCGGTCTACATCCCCTCCCTTTCTTCCACACACACATACCTGCATGAATCCGAGCGCCGAGTAGACGGCCAGGATGTACCAGCGTCGCTTGTAGGTCTTGACGACGGGCGGGGCGGCGCCGGCGGGCGCCAGCAGGGGCCTGCGATCGCTGTCGGCGGACTCCATGTCGGCGTTCACCACCATCACTGCCGGTCAGCGGCGGAGCACTGTCAGCGGGCGGAGCGGGCCGGGTACGGGCGCGGCAGAACACGTCGAGGGCGACCGACGCGACTGGCTCTGACGCTCCCGGTACGGAGCGCCGCCGAAGACTGGACCCGCTGGCCGACGGCGGGTCGGGCTGCTCTGGCCGGACCGACCACGTGTGGACCCGTCACCCCGGATGAGGGGGGGGCGACTATGGTGACGGGGGGGGGGGAGCGGCGCCACACCCCGAACACGTCATCCGCGCCGGGACAGCGCGTGACTATGACCAATAAACAATGCAAGTCTTTCAGTAGGTACTCCCGAAAGCCTTTGTTCCCAAGGCAACAAAAGGAACAACGCGCGTGTCACCAATGACCGATGAGATGCCTATCATTGTGCTGACAAATAACCAACCGGAGATTTCCATAACTCATAAGGATTGATTATTCATATTTATACATTAAATAATTTCACAATCTTAGCTAGGTATCAAGCATGTAAAACATTTCTGTCCTTGAACAAAATCTAATAAATTTACAAGTTCCTAGGTGCGAGGTATGCTCAGAAAAAAAAACAATTTCTAGTTACTAACAATGGCACTAACATGAAACATCAGATACCTTCTTTACCAGACTAAGCTAAGTTGGTCATTGGAGTTAGATGACACCCAGCCTTTGGATCCCGCTCAGTGCTCACATCGAGTAAAAGGCATATCGGAAAGGCTTAGTGGGGAAAGGCTTCACCCGCCCTAGTGAGGGGGGGGGGGCGAAACAGTAGTACTTGGTAGCGGAGGGGAGCGGCGTGCCGTGAAAAAGGGCTAAGGTGGCAGTGCGCTCCAGGTATTTACCACCCTGACTCCAGAGCGACTTGGCGTCACGCTTATTCAGCTTACTGGTGACCTCCTGCGATTCGTTTTGTCACGAACGACTCAAATTGCACGCCCAGGAGTCCATGAAAAGGTTGGTGAGAGGTCACCGTCCGTATCTCCACAACAACGGCGGTAGTGCAGCGAAGGGAGGCCGAGGAGACGAGGCCTTGTAGAGGCCTCGTTTCTGAGGCCAGCGACCATGCGAATCGCGCGGGTCGCGCGTACCTGCACTACCCCTTATCATTCATGTCTTTTTCTGGAGAATGGACTCTAGATCGCGTTACCGAACTCGAAAAATGCTGAATCGTGGTCTGGAAAAGATGCGACAAGGTGCACTTATCAATTTTGACGAATGACCAGCAAATCACTGCAAATATGTAAATGCCTTCAAAGCCTTGGCAATGGTGGCAGCTGTCTGCTTGTGGAAGCTTAGCTGTCCATCAATGTTTAAGCTAAGGTCTCATTCTTCCTTGCAGGTGACAGCAGTCCCTCCCTCCTCAGGTGGTACATGCAAACTGAAACTGGGTTATGAAAGCCTAGATGCCTTGTTGTCACTTCAGAAGGAAGCAGTCATGCTCAGGATCAGCAGAACAGATCATCTTTGTTGTCCTGTGGGCTAGATTTATCAGCAGGCATTTTTCAATACAGCTTGGATATCTGTAAGCATAATCACTGTGTTGGCAGCCTGAGCAGACAAGTCACAAACACAGCACAAGTGCAGGGCAGAGCACAGTATCCTGTGTCCTGTGATATCAATATGCCCTGTGCAACCAAAGAACATAGGTAGCTACTGACAGGCATCACATTTATCACTGGATGACTGCCCTCTACTGGAAATCAAGCAGGAATATCTGGATCCAGTGCAGGTGTCAGCCTGACACATCATAGTTTAGATTGCCTAGGGGACACCTGTCTGAAAGGTTTTGCAATGCGTTGTGCAATCATGGATTATATTTTATTGACATTTTGACATGGTATTCTGATAATGAGGTGTGCTTGAGATTACTAACTAGCATGTTTTTCACCAATCCTTTTAAGGCCAAGGCTACGAATTGGAATTTGGAATGCAAGGCCATGAAAACTGAACTACCACTCACTTCTTTTAACATCTATCCACATTTTATGTTGTTACAAAACCCCCCAAAACTATTTCCAACAGCAGCATGCACATGCAAGCAGAGATACCATTCCAACCCATAAGAATTGCACAGTCCTCTGTCAATTTCGATGTTGCTCAGCATGCTGATCCTGATGCAGACCTAACGTTTCAATTGTAAGAAGCAACCAACTTATATAGCCTTGCAACCAACTAACCTCTCTCTCTGTCTCCAGAGTCAGAGAAATCCATGACTGTTAGCAACTACAACTTTGCTCTTATGCTTTTAAGACTAAGTTTAAAATTTGTGGCACCACTCCGACTTCCTTGTTCCTTCCGAATATAATACAACGCGACTGTCGTTTGTCGCAAGGCTATAGAACTCCAGGTAAGGACACCAGCCGTTTGACCTTGAACGCCGCCGGCCGGCCGATGACGTCATTGGAGGCAAGCCGGCTCGGCGGACGCATCGAGCGAGCGTATAACGGAGGAGCGTTGGACGTTGCGGGAGCCGGGGAGAGATTTTAACGTTTGCATACCACCATTGTTATGTTGATTGATCTAGACTGCATTCTTATAAAGCTCGACGCATCTTAGGCCTGGATGGTGCGTACATTCGTAGAACGGTCCGACGTCCGTGGTCGAAGCTGTCTACTCTACATGTAACAAAAGACGCTAAGACCGGTGCAATAAGGCACCAAAATCGTAACAGACGTCAACTCTGAAGTCAGAGTCAACGTCATCCCCGAGGATGGGTCGAACAAGAGCTGGAGATTCTGTTGGCTGTGGTGATTGTAGGGGTCATGGTAAGACCATTGTAGGGGCATACTGAGCATTACGTCCTCCTGGGCTCTCTCAGACCAGGACGAGGTCCTCTCACCCTCAAGCATCAAGCGTTCAAAGGCCATGGTGAGACCTTCTGCTGTCGGATGGCCTCGAACGGGAAGAGGGCCGTTTGAGAGTGAGCTGAAGGTCTTGACTATTACGAATATCCTATGTAAAATGTGTGGTCTCTGCAAGCTGTTGTCCTACTGCACTCTGAGACTTCGGGACAGATCTTCAGCCCTTGTTGGATATGGTCGCCCCTACAACTGGAGCTTTGGCTCCCTATCGAGGACCTGGGACGGACAGTCCAGAGTTGCACCTCGTAGGCAAGAGGCAAGGTTATCTTTTAATGTGCCAAGAAACGTTCAATGAGACAAAAGCATCACATCACATGTTTTTTTTTCACTCCGATGCGGGCCGAGGGATGCCGTGGTCGGAGATGGAGTGGGGAATCCGAGCGTTTTTTTTTTTTAAGCCGGTGTCGGAGTTACCAAAATCATCTACTCCGCAGCCTTGTAAGCAAGGGTACATGGTGTCAGCAATTCGCAGATTCAATTTGTATACGAGTAGGTATCCGCAATTTCATCCCAAAACGACAATACACCAATGTCGTAGGTCACTTTTTAAATCATTCATGGGGATATTTTTGCGGGGGACGTCCCCCCCGGATTCCTCGACTGGGGGGGACGCGTCCCCCCCGTCCCCCCCGGTTTCGACGCCCATGGGTGCCTCCAACTCCGTATCCGACCAAAACCGTCGACTACGACCGAAGTCGACTCCGACACCGCAGTCCTGCAGCTACACTGCACAGAAGTTGGAAAAAAGCTGTATCTATGGTTGACAGCGGTTTACAGAGGACCACACGATTTTTTAGAGGCAGGGCTGCTGGGCTTGGTGACCAGACCCTAACTGTCCTGGTATCAAACTTAGTACGCGGGATGCAAAATTTATGCGTTTTGGGACTGTTTTGCCAAGAGTTTTTGCCAATTTTCGCGGCGCTTCGCGCCGCCAATTCATGCACAGGTAGAAGAGTGTGACTAATAACGCCTCCACGCGAGAACATGAGAACATGTGTATTGTGTATGCGTTACAAGTAGTGCATAGGCCTGAAATTGTACGGTAAACTAACTAACTTTTGGGGTTTTTAGTCATCCAATCCGTCCCCCCCAGTCAAAAATCCGTGGCGACGCCCCTGGCAATAACGTCGACCCGATCCCGTCCCTGGCGATTCTAGGACTCGTTAGGACCCAGGCCGAGTCTGACCCGTCTATTTTTAGGGAAACGGGGTGGGTGAATTGACAACCGAGTACCGATGGTTAGAATTGATCCCGTCGTCGAGCGATGGTTGATTGACAGACAACACATGTTGTAGTGGGCGGATAAGCATCAGGGATAATGCCTGAACGTAGGCAAGCATAATTGGTCAGCCATATTGTTTAGGAATATAAAATCGTAACGGAGGTCCTTGAGGATATTATCTCTACATTACGAGGATTCACCACCAGTGAAAATTACTACTGTTAAACCCTCGGTCCCAGGCAACTCCGGGAAGCTGCAGTATCCGGCGGCCACGTCGACTCGCAGGTCCTGTGGGCTTCCGTGATGCTTCAGTGCTTCACCCAGAGGCACGGGTAGAGCAGTAGGATGTGGGGTGAGGTGTCTGTACGCCTCTTCATTGTAGGTACGACGCATACAGCGCCCAGTCCCGTCGAAGCTCGATAATCGACCGTGACATACCTATTCTTAATTGGCGGATCCAGGAAGCGGTCTTGAACACATCGGGGGGCATATACCCTAAAAAAGGTTTCTGTGAATTAAAAAAAACATCGGATTTTGATTCCTTGCGCACTACTGTGCACCGATCGGCGATCAATACACTTTTCCTCATAAAAGTTGTAAAGTTTTCGTTTTATTCTCGAAAAACGATTTCGGACGCTGCCCCGGATGTGGGCCTGTGGGGGATAACATTTGTCCCAAATGCCTTCCCTTGCATCCGCCAGCGGGTTGCCCCAACCTGAGCTTAACTAAAAACGTCTTAAAATCCCACCAGAGAGCCGAATCCGATAACTCATCTCTGTCTGCCCGTCTAAATTACTACGCACCGTACGGCGCCCAGCCCCGTCGGAGCACTGAACCGGCCGTGATATTTTTGGTTTTCCCCCATCCCCAGCTCCATTAGAAACGTTCTCTCTCCCCATCCAATTGCTCATGATGTCATTTCAAATTCAATACCTACCTCATCTCTGTCTGCCCGCCCATTCATTGCACACCTTACGGCGCCCGGCCCCGCCAGAAGGATCCTAGCGCGCTGAGTGGTTGCCTCCAGCCGCGTCATCGCGAGGCCCCGCGGGGCCCGCAAATGAATACATTGCGTGAATAGCCGTGTCACCCCCCTGGTTTGTCGTTAGGACTCTATGGTCGTTAGACAGAAAACAACGCAACAAGAGACAACACTTCTTCTCAAGGTCACGAACTCTGAGGCTGAAGGCCAGGAAAGGTCATTTTCAAATACAATAATGCTATTGTTGACGTCATAGATATTGCAGCAAAGGGAAGATTTTTCTTAGTTCAATTTCACTTTAGGGCACAAATAAGAACTTTTTACACCATATACAGTATCAAAATAAAAAATTTACATTTTTGGTTGAACTTAAAAAAAATTAACTTCTCATTTTTTATTTTTCCAAAAAGTAATAAAAATACCAATGACGTCAACAAAGAAACTTTTTGGTCATCAGCCATCTCTCAAAGTCACTGTTCGAAAATATACCAGCAGCAGCAAACGTTTGCAAAAGAGACGAATTCATTAGTTTAAGGCGGAGAAAACTGGCTGCGGCTGCTTCTCCGTCCACTTCTTGAACATTACTGGACATTTCTTACAGGTTGACTGCCCCCCTTGCCCCTTGCCTTGCCTTGCCCTGCAAGAATTTGCATGAGGTCAGAAACAAGAAGTGGATACTTGGGTTGACACTTTTTTGTAGCTTACGAGGACAACAATAATAGAGGTTTTATCTAGGGGTGTTATCACTCTGGTTTTGTCCAAGTGTGTTATCCATTAAAAATCTGCAAACTTGAACTGAAACTACCTACCTATTCATCAAATGTGAGTAACCATTCTGATTCATGAGACTTATTGGCTGTTCTATTGGTCTCAAGATAAGGGCCCAAGTGACCTGTAGTTTTGATGCGGTTAATGCCCTCACCCTCGCCACAGCTTGGGCCGAGCGCACCCCTCCTCCCACCCAATCCCACCCCCACTCGAGTTGTGGCGAGGGTAAGGATATTCACCGAATATGAACTACAGGCCGCCTGGGCCCTTATCTTGAGACCAATAGTAGATATATTTATAATCCTCTAGAAAAGGTTGCACGGAAATTCATGTTACTTTTGCTTGTGCATGTTCTGCTGTATAGGTGCCTATTCATCGCTACTGTTTAATGTGTTGTGTGGTATTTCAATTTATGAACACATTTCAAGTGGTTCACACTCTCATCTCATCTCATGCGGTTTCCTTTGTTCACTCTGCCATAGACTAGGTACTCTGCGTCTGCATCTATGACTATATTTAGGCTGTACTAATTTAAATCTTTTTTCTGCTTCTCTATGATAAGCAAATCCTAAAATACAGGTTTGGCAGTCAGGTCAGGGGAGTTATCTGCTTGGGATGATGAACTTTGGGCTCTGTCACTGCCCATGGATTCAAATTATTTTAGTCATGCCTATTTGATTTATTTCAAAGCAAGCTTTTGTCACAAACCTAGTGGATTTACAATGATACTGTTTTTAATAATTCACATGCTTATGGTTTATCAACAACCTCCAGTATAGATGAAAATGGTGATGCTAAACGTAGGTAATGCTGATGTGCTGGAGGATGATAGCTCTACCTTGGCTCTACCTATCTGTGAAGGTTTTGAGTGGTTAGGGTATGCAGTCATACTGGATTCTGGAAGCACCAGGGTTATAGGTTTTACACTGATGCTTTTGATGCTCTGTCTCATTACTAACTGTTATTGTTGATAAAAATATGTGTCTACTTTACTGATACATTAGCCTTCAATCTTATCAATAAATATCAATCTATCAATCTTCATTCTTAGCTGAACAATCAGTAGAAAATTGTTTATTTAATGGACCATGGAGGAGGCTTTTACAACAGCATAAACCACAGCATGTATGTGGTTTATGCTGTTTTTTGTCATTTTTTTTATGGACTTGATCGCTTGAATGAGAGTTGACAGTGCCAGAGAACGTTTGTCGATTGTGCTGCCACCTGTTACAAGCTTACCGCTGCCACCTGGGTCAAATCTATGCGTTTGTTTCGTGAAACCGATCTCGGTATCTGGCTCGATTTGCCTGATGTGCTAAAGGCTAGTCGCTAGGCACCTGGTGAGAGAATACATGCGCACGATAAACACAGGGATGGTGCTGTTCGATGGGCCTTCGACCTGGTTGTGCACTGGGCGCCTGCTGCGACCTTTTGCGAACGTGCAGATATTGGTGGTGTGGTACACTGGTGAATCTGGGGCCTGGGGGCCGGAAAGGGAGCCCCTTACTGATATTGAAGATTCAATGTTAAATCGTCTGATATAGAAATTTGTCAGTTCTTGCGCTTAAAAAAAAACTTAATTACTTTACCTATGTTTGCCATAACTCACGCAGCAACGCATAACGAAGAGAAGTCCCTGTTTTTTTTCAGTTGTAGCACCTTTTACGGAGTAGAATGTCCCCTCCCCGGCGCCCCGCAGTGTCCAATGTTTTATTTTGGATCGGCGGGCGGCGGGACAAGCCTTGATGGGACAATGTTGTCCTGTCCCGTTCGGCATAATATTTAGATCTCCAGACGCCAGCCATCTTACGTAAACAAATAGTTAACGCTATCGCTAACGCCAGCCTTGCGCTGCTGACTTTCCTAGCTTGTGTTAGATTTTTCGTCGTGCAATATTACGTAGTTTGTTGTTGCAATATTATTGCAATATTACATTACATGTTTGTGCTACTGGCAGAAGAGTTACACTCTACCTCACCTAGCACATACCGTTTGAGGAAGCGGCTCGCTATATTCGTTATCGCCTGGTGGCTGATGTTCTAGCTGACTCAGTGAGGTAGTCATGATCTCGGCTCATTTCATTCTCCTCCTCTGCTTTCATTTTGTTATAATGCGTCAGTGCTTTGTGGTTATTTGGTGTAGTGCCCCTGTACAATCATTATAATGTACAATCATTATTATGTACAGTGTGTCTAAAAAGAATGTACCGTCGCCACTACGTGGCGCTGGTGTCGCGAGCCGGTAGTTGGCTGAATCCGCACCAGACCACACATTCCCAAGAGCTAGGTGACAGCTGCGCAGCGGCCGGTAGTAGCGTAAGCCCGAACCTTCGTGACACGACCCCGGGGGGGGGGGGGGGGGCGGGAGGGGAGCGGGCGGGGCAGCGCGTGTAGGGAGGGGTGCTCCGGCAAGCTGGCAGTTGTCGCGGCCAAAGGTCAAGGGCCAAGGGGTCACACACCAAGCGAACGGACGCTGATGTGGGTTCGTGGGGATCATGAACTTGTGTGTGGTAGGTGCGTTTTGCGATGCACGGGTGATACGCCAGGTCTAAGCCAAAGGATTCAGGGGAGAGCTGAAGAAAAACACCTGGTCAACTACGGCGAATAATGGTGCTGAAAAGTGGGAAGTATGGGTCAATGCAAGCCTTCATGACTATAAACAACTTTTTTTTTGAGGACGCAAAGGCCAGCATTGAATAACGATATCCGGATCGAAATTAGCAATGATTTATTATTACATGCCGAACTAATAGCGCTGCAAAACCCTCCTAGTAAATTGTCAAGTCGGATTATACCTACCCACTTGAATTAAACTATCCTAAATAAAATTGTTAATTAACTTTCTAACACTGACGTTCTTTATCATACGATAAGTATGGGGTTAACCAAGATTCAGCATCTTCCGCTTTCAAACAATCACCTGTAAGGCTAGAACATTAATGGCCAGGTAAAAACATGGTCGGGATTTGATTAACCGGATAATAAGTCGATTTTTTTAGTCGGGATTTGATAAGTCGGATTTTTTTACGCCAACCGCATTTTTAAGTCAAGTCAGGGCACTGATCTATCACGTCATAAATGAGCAGTCCTAAAATGAACTATGTGAAACTGTCCAAAACTGTCCTAAAATGAGCATTTTAGGACTGTGTGCACAGTCCTAAAATGTTCCAACTTCGCAACACCATCAGTGCAGAGCTTTCATAGGGAGAAAAAACTTACAGGATCTAATAGTATGGTCGAGAGGTCTCACAACTTGTATAAATGTATATCTCGGATTTTCTGAAGGGTCGCCTGAGATCAGGTCGGTCTCTCACCATTAAAAGTCAGGTGGAATATGGAAATTGCTAGTTTGGTCCGGAAATGATATACAATACAACTATCTCAAATTCTCAAGCACACGGAATCGTGATTTCATGCGCTCATTGCAAGGTCTGATACTTCAATTTTGCTTTGTTGATCTTGCGTCACGTCATTTATCACGTAACTAAGGCTATCAGTTTTTCGTCAATAACTCCCGATCAACTAAAGCTACCGAGTCGATAAAGCCACTAATGGACATGAAAAGACCTGCCGAATCGATTGATATGCAATATGACCTCCTTTGACCAGCTTCGTGACCTGACGGGCTGTGACCTGACCTTGGCCCGAGGTTAACACCTTAACTCTCACCCGTATTGGTGTTTTTCCAGCCGCAAACGTATAACAACCCTTGCCGTTTCGCCCCTGATCGAGCTAGAGCTTCGCGGAAAAAACGAGCGTGTTGGCCGTGACGAGAGGAAGTCGATGATACCCAAGTTTCATAGGTCATCGGTTGACCTTCCAGGTCAGGTCAATGACCCAAAAGTCGGGAAAATCGGGACCTGTTAGAAGTCGTAAAGCGTGGCTGCCATGGGGTTTTCGGGGTGCCGATCACGAATATCATGTTAGTTTTGATCACAGATGATGTCTTCATTCATTTAGGCCAGGTCGGGTCAGGTCAGGTCAGTTCAACCAGTAAGGGTATTCGTAGTAGGTGGCAACCGCCTCTGACAGCTTCGCAACATGTTACGAGGGCACCAAAACTACTTCGTAAATGTTCATATGGCTGCTAAATTCGAATTCAGCTCCAAAAACTGGCCTAGAAACATGTAAAACTCGAAAAAGTGAACCGAGGTCATCAAAGTTCAATGACCTGACCTGACTTTCCGGTGACCTTGACACCCACCCTAATGCGTGGAATCAACATCATATCCCATATTTGAACGCTTAAAACCACGAAAAGACTGCAAACGCGCCGCTAATGCGAGCCGACATACGCCGAAACGCGATTCCGGCCAAACATGGTCTCGAAAAGTAGGTCACAGGTCAAAGGTCATTAAGGTCAGGGTCATGACAATTTCAGGGTGGGTGTAAAATTGATTAACGCGAGGGTACTGAAAGTTTCGTCGCGATCAGCCGCTTTTTACGCGAGTTATTCGTGAAAAACCGAGGGAGGGGGTCCGTTCGACCCCCCCCCCCATACGGGCGAGGGTTAAGTTGATCTCACCCGAAGAAAAAGTATACCATTCGACACGCCTGAGCTAGACAAACACGATGCTGCTAAAATCGCGGATCTGCGATCATTTTTAGCGAAGTTATTTACCAAAAACTGAACCTGTGCCTTGGGCCACTTGACCTGACCTCCGAAGTCATCGGCTGACCCTGGTCCTTAAATCGGAGACCAATCGCTGCATTTCGTAACGACGCACACGATCGTTTCTTTCGTGAGGCTCTAGCTCAATTAGGGGCGAATCGGCGAAGGGGGTTGTTTCCTCACTTCCAACCCCCAACGCCCCCTCGGTATTCAGAAAACCTGAAGGTCCGGTGAGGGTTAAAACGTTGCTCCTGGACGAGGAAGAAATGTAAAAGTCAAAGCTCTATAGACGTCCTGTAAAAGTGGCCATAATAATAAATTCGTTAGAAATAAGATGCTTTTTAAACGACTTCCTCATATAAAATCGGGTGCTGGGACCAATCTTATAAACGCTTTAGAATGGACAGGGCGTCACTGGCTTAAGTTTGGGTGCAGAAAACGGCTATTACCTAAATGCAAAATGGTTTTCATGCATTTCAGTCCATTGTATATTGTCGGTCCCAGTGGCCGAGCTGAAAAAAAAATCGGTAGTGTTTTGCATCTTTTACGCCCTAAGAAACTACACCATCTATCGAAGTGGGCGGGCTTATTTGAATGGGAGGGCGCATTATGCACGAATCGTGTGCTTTCGTTTGTTTTGGACTGTATTTTACCACATCCACTGCTGGTATCACTATATTAAAGGGACCCTCCCACCTTAACATTAGATTTGAGTTGAGATAGCCAAATTGGTGGCCATGGCCTGAAAATACCGGTTTGGGCACTCACAACATCGAAAAATGCTTTAATTCGGAGATATCGAATTTCAAACTTGCAGTTTTCGGATTCTAAGGGGCTAATGCATTGGTATGCCCCCTTAGAATTTGTGACGTCATCGGAGACCTAACGATTTTAAATCTTTTACTACCTAAAACGTTTGGTAGCACGCGGTGGTATATGCTGCTTTGCGCGCAACAAATGCCGCACTTTCAAATAAAGTCGCTAGGAACAGCGGAGATCCCAAAAAGTAAACAAAAGTAAAAGTCTAATATCTTGAAAACCGGTGAATATTTTTCGATGAAATTTGGAAGATATTCGTTTTTGCTCTTTCTGAACCGAGCGACATCACTTTCATGCCAATTCATTAACTTTTTTGAAGGTGGGAGGGTCCCTTTAATATTATCTAATGCCGTGAATACGACAGCATTCCATTTATAAGATTGGGCCAATGGAGTCGCGCCCCGCGAGCTCGGTTTTCCGCTGGGCCACTACAGGCCAGGAAGTCGGTCTTCGCCTGAGGGCAGGACAAAGGTCAGCGAGGGAACGCGGGGTCAGCCAGGTATCGCCCAGTGCCGAGCGGATGCCGCTCCCTCCCCTCTCTTCCCCTCTTCTCCCCTCCCCACCTCGGTATCGATGGGGAGGGACCGAACTGCCAATGACATGCGAGCGGTCAAGGCCGCTCGCGCAGCAGCGACCCTGGCGGCCGGGTGCCGCAACTGGGATTCAGCCAAGTTACCGATTCGCCTCCTGTGGGAGAGCCAAACCAGGGGACATGTTTTTTAGATATACTGTACATAGGTACCGATGAATGGTTAACTGTAGCTAATTTTTTTTAGTGCCTTAAAATTACTGAAACAATCGACCTCGTTATCGAGGTGTTCTCTATGTGTGGATACTCCTAGTCCCAATGTTGCCATTTTTCATTCAATTGCGGATTTCATTGCTTGAATTTAACATTTATTGATTACGAATAAATAATAGACTTTGATAGTTGACACACACGAAGGGTCGTTCCGAGCCCACACAGTAGTGACATGTATCAATGGTAGCCGCTGTTCCCGCCGCCGAATCCTCGGCTGGAGACGACTGAGCTGCCGCCGCCGTATCCTCCCGAGTTTCCGCCGTATCCACCGCTGGATCCGCCTCCGTATCCGCCGCTGGAAATGATGCGTCCTCCGCTGGATCCACCACCGTACCCACCCGTGGATGCTCCGCCGTATCCGCCACTGGATCCACCACTGTATCCACCGCTTGAAATGATGCGTCCACCGCCGTGTCCAATGGATCCTCCGCCGTATCCACCACCAGAGATGATTCTTCCGCCGCTGGATCCGCCGCCATAGCCCCCTGAGGATACAGTGACAGATGAACGGCCTCCGGCGACACCGTATCCGATGGAAGAACCACCGCTGTATCCGCCGCTGGAAATGCTGCTCCCACCGCCGTATCCGCCGCTTGAAATAACTCTTCCACCGCCGTGTCCAATGGATCCGCCGCCGTATCCACCGCTGGAGATGATGTTTCCACTGCTGTGTCCACCGATGGATCCACCTCCGTAGCCGCTGCTGGATCCGCCGCTGTATCCACCGCTTGAAATGATGCGTCCACCACTGTGTCCAATGGACCCTCCGCTGGATCTACCACTGTATCCACTGCTTGAAATGATGCTTCCACTGCTGTGTCCAATGGATCCACCACCGTATCCACCACTGGATCCACCACTGTGTCCACCGCTTGAAATGATGCGTCCACCACCGTGCCCAATGGATCCTCCGCTGTATCCACCACCAGAGATGCTGCTCCCACCTCCGTATCCGCCACTGGAACCACCACCGTATCCACCACTGGAGATGACGCTTCCACCGCCGTGTCCGCCAATGGATCCGCCTCCGTATCCACCGCTGGATACGATTCTTCCTCCGTGCCCACCGCCAAATCCACCACTGGATCCGCCGTTGTATCCACTGGTGCTGATTCCGCCTACTCTGTGGCCACCGCCGCCGCCTCCGTATCCGCCGCTGGAGATGAAGCCGCCGCCGCCATGGCTTCCGCCGAATCCTCCGCCGAAGGATCCCTTGAATCCTCCGCCAGAGGATCCCTTGAATCCTCCGCCGCCTCCGTGGTCAGCCGAGGCGAGGACCACCAGAGCGGCGGCGCACGCAGCAACGCGCTGAAAATGGAACATAATACAGTTAGAATCCCGATTGGCCTCGCTTTTGTTGGGCCATTTTTCGATAATAAAGCTAGATATGGCTTTTATCAATTAAGCCGCTGTCCTGACTGGATCGCTTTGGTAAGCCAAGGAACCGTTACGTTTTAGCATAAGTCAAATCACCAGGGCCAACTGGAGTGTGACGGAATTACACAGTTTCTTAGCACAATTTCAAAATTACTCCTCCTTTGCGAATCGTAATTGCCATATGATAGGTAGGTATCCATGTACTTTAAATTCGCACAATTTCACTCAATTTTTCAACGGGCTGGACTGAAGAGCCGATTTCAAATATATTATTTATGAAAGCTCAGAAGATGATTTATTCTTGCATTCATGCTCCCCAGTCATGTCGAAATCACTGATTGTCCTCATTTTGACCCCAAAGCAGCCTTCCTCACGGATCTAGCCCGGGACTTTGGCCTAGCTCCGCTGGTGCTCTCCCTTCCTCTCTCCATCTCCCTTCCTCCCTTCCTCTCACCAGGGTGTTCATGATGTGTTCACTGTCGACTCCCGTTGACCAGTGCTGCGTTCTCTGGGCCACCGGGCCACCTTTATATGCCTCGCCGTGCCGCGGTGGGGTCAGTTCGCATGGCTGCCGCCGCCGTCCAGCGCTCTCCCGACTCTCCCAGGCCGCTCAGGGTGGCCAGTTTTTACCCGTCAGGAACGTGATGTCGATTGCAATGTAGTTCAGCGGTAACTATGAGCGCATCTCGGCTCGGGCCTGTTGTGTGCATTGCTGTGCAAGGGCGTACAACTGAGAGCTCGTTAAAAGTGCGGTGGGAAAGACGCATGCAGTGTGCTCGACTGCCCGGGAATCCAGAGAGGTATTGGACAGGGGCGTTTCGCTAACTTTCATTCTTTTGCTAAATTCTCGAAATTGTTAATTTCTTCTATGATTGAAGAGAGGGATCGTAGACATGCGTTTTAGTACAAGACTTCTTATGAAAGCCCTACATATGTAGATATATTGAATTATAACGGCCTAAATAATGTCATAATAAATTATTCAATTTCTCAATCTTCAACATTTTGAAGTTCACTCTCATGCAGCTGGGTTAATCGAAGGTAAAGGAATGGCGGTATGACCTCTCATGGGCGCAGGAGAGACGTGCCCTCATTAAAACTCATGTGTTTTGTAATCCTATAAATGCCGTAGATAGCATTTGGCAGCACCGGCTGAAGTGCAGAAAACGGCTGTTCAATGCAAAATCGTTTTTTTTACGCATTTCAGACAGTCCATCGTATATTGACGGCCCTAGAGATCGTTTCGTTTACTTGGATGCCAATTTGCTAGATATCCCCATGCATGTCACTAAATGCCATGAATAGAATAGTTCGGGCCTTTATTACATGGTCCCGTTAAACCTGATTTTTAACAACGCGTCTGTCAGTGCATGGAAGGGAATCGACACTCGACCATTGTCCGGCCCCACCTTGGCTGCCCCCCCTCCCCCCTCCCCCCCCGCCGTCTCCCGCAGGCGATGAAACTGGCTGGTGTGATTTACTGGTCTGAAAATATAACGGGGAATGCACTCATTGATACACACGTGTCTCATCCCCCTCCCAAGAAAAAACTGACGCACAGGAGGCACTTTGCATTGAATTGAACACAAGTAGACCAGTTTAGAAGTGTTGGTATATATGTTACAGACCGTATGAAAACCCAGTCCGTTTGCAAACGGCCTGGCCCAGTCAGGCCGTTTGAAAACGGCCTGAAAAAGCCGGCCGTTTGCAAACCGCCTGAAATATCAGGCCGTATGAAAACGGCCTAGGCAGTTTGAAACGGCCTAGACAGTTTGAAAACGGCCTAGTCAGTTTTCAAACGGTCTGGCGAAGTACAACAGCCTCTGAAAATTGAACTTAAAGGATCCAGGCTGGTCGATGATCAGGTTGCATCCATGTGAATGTTTGCGCATTCCATGCCGAATGACTCGTCTAAGTACATACGTCGAACATTTTCTTACTGTGCTGATGCTCGGCCCGGCCGTTTTTCGACAATATTACTAATTATACAAGTTCACAGTCCGCCTGTGTACGGCCATCCAGTTGATGGAGCCTGGTGAAGCCACTACTGGTGATGTCTGGTGAAACGTATCGCTACAAGACTCACCGATTATTTTGCGGCATAAAACGCCGGAGCGCGCAATGGACATCAGAGTTCACATCAGTGGCGCGGGAACCGGGGGGGGGGGGGGGGGCTAGCGGGGGCTGAGCACCTCCAACTTTTCGGCTGGGGTGGGGGGCTCGTAATGTATTTGAGCCCCCCCCCCCCCAGCTGGAGGAATCGAAATCGGAAATCTACCAACATAATTTCATAGATTCATACATAGGCGCGGGTACCGGGGGAGGGGGCAGTGGGGGAAGCTTGCTCCCACAGCTCTGGGGCCGTGGGGGCGGTGCCCCACAACTTTTCATGAGGTCAGGAACCGTTTGGGCAGCTTGTCCTCCCCAAATTAGGGGTTGTGGCCTGTGGGTCACAAAGGAAGAAAGCATGTAAGTGAAAAATCCACCTCTTTCACTGGCTCGGCAACTCATTTGGCAGATTAAAACCTTTATTCCAAGTTGCAAAAACGGTAGTTTCTTCACTCAGCTGAGACGGAATACCTGACTTTTTTGCAAATTTGCGTTTTTTGTTGAAAAGACCAAGGTCTGAAAAATAAGTGGCCTAAAACCGGTGAGAAAACTAGATTTGGGGGTACCCTAGGTTGATCTCTATTATGGTTCAGCCCCCCCCCCCCCCCCCAGCCTGGAAGAAGTTCCCGCGCCACTGGTTCACATAAGAGTCGTCACCGCGCCCGGTCGACCGCCGGCGGCTGGCCGGTGGCGTACATACGGTACGCCGGCAATACTTGACCATTGCGGTGGAAGGCGAAACTTTGAAGTCCGGGGGAAGCCCGCGGGTCGACCGGGCGCTATACGGGCCGGGTCTCAGTTCTGCTAATCTCGTCCTGACCAGACCTGCATTCGTCATCGGGAAAATCAGGGAGAATTTCCGGAACTAGCGAGAATCATCGGGGATCACGAACGGTATCGCGATAACGAGACATGCTGAAGATAGGCGCTCATCAATAATTTTCCGACGGAGAACATCCGATTGACAATATTTTTCCGGATGCCGAATGCACCTCAGGATTTCATGGTGCCATTGGTGCCATGTAATGTCATGAAACGGTCGTGCTTCAACAAACTCAGCATTGTCCAGCTGTAACTTTATGCAGACCATATTGTTTTTAAAATACCTAGACCGTTTGCAAACGGCCTGGTGTCTGGAAAGTTGTCATACGGCCTAGTCGGTTTGCAAACGGCCTGAAATTTCAGGCGGTTTGCATACAGCCTGGAATTTCAGCCCGTATTCAAACGGTCTGACTTTTCAGTCCGTTTGCATACTGACTGGGCTGTCCAGGCCGTTTGCAAACGGCTTGAATCGGGCCAGGCCGTTTGCAAACGGACTGAGTTTTCATACGGCCTGTAACATATATTTATCGACACTCGGACCGGCACGATTGTTTGTTATTCTATTTATGCGAGCTAGTAGTATATTTTGAACCAACAAAAAAATCAATTGTGCCGGCTCATCGAGTTCGTCAGCACTGTCGTGTTTCTGTTGCAGCGCCATTGCCAACTCCCTATTTGCGCCCAGAAGGGTCGCAAATACGTGAACGTCAAACTGCATTATAAACACATTGCGGGATCCCATCCACTTACATTATGCATGCACATTAATTAAAATTGTGGGTGTCATTCGCTTGTGGTGCAGATATAGAGGATTCTTCATGGCTCCGAGTGGAAGATAAGGATATCTTTTCCAAGCGGGTTACTGAAAAACCGAGCGACGAAGGAGCGAGGTTTTTCTGTAACACGCGAGGAAAAGATATCCGATCTTCCACGAGTGAGCCATGAGGAATCCTATATCTTTCTATGTTGAGGTTTATTCTTAATTAATAAAATATGATATTTAAATGCATTCATCTATGTAAAAATAGTTTAGAGTAGTTTGTTCTTATTTCATAATTTTCATCCATAAACAACCATTAAAAATGTCGTTCGTTTATTGACCCATCATCACATGAACTCTTGATTTTTCGCTATGAACCCTCGAGACCTTATCTTTGCATCTCAGAGGGATGCAGATATAACAAATTCTTATCTTTGCATCTCAGAGGAGTGCGAGATAGAAATATCCCTGCACTGTAGACCCAATGGCAAATAAACCTCAACTAGAAAGATACGAATAATTTCACACCTCTTTAAAGGTAGTGTGCCACCTTTGAATGATTTCCCATTTTATTTTTTCTAGGATAAGAAGCTTCTGTTTTTACCTAATATCACAAGAAAAATCAAAAATGGGCCTAAAATAGTGCTTTTTTCGCCTAAAAGTTTATCGGTTTTTCGATATGTATAACAACTGCAGTGGGCTGACCTGCAAACAGGCGTCGGCAACAATCACGAATGCGGCGCACATGTGACAATAAGCAAAGGTCATTATAGTTACGACGTACGGGAATGAGATATCAGCTGTCTAATCGTAGACAACACAATGTCGAATTTAAACTGTAAGCCTGTATTGGTATTGTTTCTTTAATTTGGCTGTCAAACATTAATTTATGGTTTGAAATATTATTTTATGTAAAATAATTGATATGAAACAACCGTCTCTAAAGTTATGACCCCATCTCGCCACATGAAAGTGGCAGAAATGACAATGATCAGCTGACGCATTTTTCTTGGCCGAAGTCAGAGCGCGCGGCCCGACGCACCACCACCGCACCACAAAGTATGAGCAGAAGCCGCGCCCAAAGCCAGGGCCCCGGTAACGTGAGGTAGCCGAGTTGGGGCAGCGTGCGCTGACCCAAGCCGGGGCCGCGGCTTTGGGCGCGGTCTACCGCATCCCCGCGGGCAGCCCCGGGCTATCACATGACACCGGGAGGACGCGCGGCCCCGGCTTGGGTCAGCGCACGCTGCCCCGACTCGGCTACCTCACGTTACCGGGGCTCTGGCTTTGGGCGCGGTCTACCGCACCACCTAACAGGCGTGTTCGAAACCGCAGGAGATGATGATGAACGGGTTTATCGAAACTTGATTGGATGAGCCTATCGGTAATAGCGATTTCAGTGTGTGCATTTATTGTTCATAGTAGTGTGAAATGTGGTTGGGGTACGACCGACAACCCGTCGGGGCGAATTTCGCACTGGGGTACTCAAAATTTGAAGAATTTAAGACGTTTCCATGAGTTTTGAAGGTATGGATAAATTCTAAAAATCCGGTTCTCCTTATCTGGGCCATTAACTCCATACGGTCCAGGAAAGCTGGCACACTACCTTTAAGTGCATATTAGCGTCTATTTGAAGTCCATGACCCGCTAACCATCGCCACACCTCGACCCGGAGGTGCCGCGCAATTTCAACAGGAGGCGTCTGTATAGCACGTGGGCTGTAGACCGCCTCGGAGGAGAGAGCGCCTAATTCTTTTGACAACTCCTAACTATTGTTGCAATTTATATATATGCCAAATATCATCTTAATCTAAGTTCCAACACTAAAGTTATGGCAGCACAAACTTACAGGTGTGTGCTCAAGTGATTTTGAATGTCCTCGCACGAAGTGAACGTCAGTGCCGTTTTTCATGAGAACTTTCCACTGGCGTTGCCTTTTGTTCAGTGGTATTGGTGGTATGGTTGATGCGACTGTTCTTGTAATCCTACCTCCAACGATTTTTCGTCCGCTTGTTCTGCAGTTTTTGCGCACAACTGCACCGGAACCCCATTAGCTATAACGGCGCCAGGGTTATTTGGGGGGGGGGGGGATTATAGATTGTTAAGCTCATCTGTTCGACCGTGAGTGAGATATTTTCTATTCAGGTTTGTGCAGCGTTTCTTGATGATTATAGTCGGTAACGAATGCGGGTATATATGTTTCAAAAATATATTTTCCACAACAGTTTGTCACCGTATCAGAGCACATGTTGTGTTACAGCACCCTATTTTACCATGAAGTACAGTATTGTTTTCATATCTAGACCCCCAATTGTTGTGAAATAAGTTATATCTTTTAGTTTGGTAGACAATCATTTTATCCGTAATAGCCACGAGACCCTCCGCCGTATCCGCCGCCGAATCCACGGGATCCACCGCCGTATCCACCGCTGGAAATGATGCGTCCGCCGCCGTAACCGCCGCTGGATCCACCGCCGTATCCGCCGCTAGAGATGATGCGTCCGCCGCCGTATCCACCACCGAAGCTGCGGGATCCACCGCCGTATCCTCCGCTGAAGCCGCGAGATCCGCCGCCGTATCCACCGCCGAATCCACCACGGGATCCACCGCCGTAACCACCGCCGAATCCACCGCTGGAAATGATGCGTCCACCGCCGTATCCACCGCTGGATCCGCCACCGTATCCACCAGTGGTGATTCCGCCGATGCGCCGTCCGCTGCCTCCGTATCCGCCGCTGGAGATGAAGCCGCCGCCGCTATGGCCTCCGCCGAAGGATCCCTTGAATCCTCCGCCGAAGGATGATCCCTTGAATCCTCCGCCGCCTCCGTGGTCAGCCGAGGCGAGGACCACTAGAGCTGCAGCACACGTAGCAACACGCTGAAAAATAGAGATTTAGAGTTAACACTGATCAGGAGAGCTATGCTGCTGAGGCGTTAAACTTTGTCCATGTAAGACTAAACCAGAGTCTATATAGCAACCACAACCAATTATGAGCTTCAAAAGTTACGAGCCTGTCCACGAGCCAGACTTCACAGACGAGTACGCTAACACCGATAACTTCGCTAGTCGCTGCCTTATTTGCCGGTGTGTCGGCCGGAGCGTGGTCCAGAGCCCACAGTGCGACACCACCGAGCTCGTTACTGACCAGGAAGGCCATGTTGGTCTAGTGCAGTCGGGAGACTGTACTGCTGGTGGGCAGTCGGGCCCGTTTTATAGCGGTCGGCCGACCAGGGAAGCCCGGTGAGCCGGTGCAGGCCGGCGACAGCCCAGTCGTGGGTCAAGGGTGCCCCTCCCCGGCCAACGGCAGGGTATGTCCACTCACGAGCCGTCACGCACCCCAGACTGACGGGCAATCATGTCGCCGGCGCGCGCACCGCGCTCCCGCATGGTGTGTTCGGACAGGAGAGGGAACGCTGGCGCTGCGCCGAGATGTGGCAAAACGTGTACAATTTTTAAACTGGTCTGCAGAATGGTACAGCATCCCTTGTTGTTGACAATGCTTATCTTTCCTTCCCTTTTGAATGATTTGCAAGACTATCCGTGAAACCCGACAACTTGTGTCAGGAAGGGTGAAAACATGAAAATTACGCACATTTTTTTCTTGCACCCGCGTTCTCAAACCAGCCACATCGCCGCCTGGGAAGGTGCATTCGATAGGTTTTTTGAAGCTCTTTCTAGTCAATGACCGAAGATTTTACCTTGGGTCAACGGTTTAGCCTCCAGAGAGCAAAAAGACCAAAAACAAAAATTTGATGTTTTGCGGAAAATGTTTTTGCTGCAATAACTTTTGACACCAATATTGTATCCTACCTTAATTTTACCGGCGACGCGTGTTTCTCGTTGAGACGCGGCGAATGAACTATAAGCTGGTCTGAGAAAATCAGCTTCAAAATTCGACATAAGGACATTGCCACGGAAAAGGTCATGTTGCATACTAGTCGATTCGTATCGTTGATCTCAACGCGTCTATTTATCATCGTTCTAGCATGTCTCTATCTAAAGTTTGTCAAAAAACTGCTGGAGGACTTTGTGACCTAAAATGACCTCGGGGGTCATTTAAAAAAAAGGGTCACGGTTGTAATATTATACAGCTTCAATGTGACATGTTTACCTGTAGCCTGATGTTTGAAAGTGTTTATGACTTAAGTAATAAGTATGACTTGTCTAAAAGAAGAGTAGCTCAACTTAATTACAATGACTTATAATGAAGAGGTCGCAGAGTTGATCTGTGGCCAGTGTTACCAATAGAAAAACTGCTGGCCGCCGGTATTCTTAATTTTTCATATCTTCCACAAGCTAAAACAACCACGCGAAAAAATATCGATGATGTGAAAACATATCAGCTAGGCTCGATTACTTTTCACGTTAGCGCCTACTTTTCCGCGTGGATGTCGAAACTTAGGGGTGCTATTAGGCCAAACATACCTAGTCGCAGCTGGCCATTTTCATGCGGGTAAAAATTTTTGATGTTAGGTCACCTGATATTTACCCATACCTATTCACCGATAAAATTTCTTGCTGGTGTGGAAAAAAATTCCCCTTTCCACTTGGACGAAGATTAAGTTAGATTTTAGACCACCCCCCTCCCCCCCCCCCCAAGAAGGAAGTTCGAGATAAACACGAGCATAACATGAAATTGCTTCTACGATGCATTTTTTCTTGACCATTTAATGTAATAGGTAAGCATTAAAGTGGTGGTTTAGTTTAGGGCTACGGAGTCGGAGCCGGAGTCGTACTGGGAGTCTGTGGGAGACGGCAGTTCTACCAGGAATCAGAGTCTTAGTTGGAATAGCTTAAGTTTTACCGACTCGCACTCCGGGATCAGAGTCAATATCACGTGTCTCAAAGTCATGCTCTACACTTGTTTGCTCGAAAGTATTAGGTACGATTGTTGATCTTTCCAAACCATATTCTGTCGAAGCTAAGGCAATATTTCTGTTTTGAATGAGCGTTCTTAGCGAAAAAGCAGAAGACAGTGGCTTCGTCAGAACCTGCTTATAGTATATGCAGATCTGAGGCCTCTTGCACCAAACTACCTACCTAGGTAAATTCAGATTTTACCTAGATTCTCTTGCACCAAACTACCTACCAAAAAACGCTACCGTGAAAATTTACCTAGAAATTCTACCGAGCGGCATAAGAACTTACCAATTATTAAAGTCCGACTGGCTGTTTTCCTCTTGCACCGAAAGCCGGAAAGAAGTACTCGCGGAGGAATTTTTGACGGTTTGACAGTAAACGCGGGCTTCCAAAATAACTAGCAAAACCTTAGGTAAAATGATTCAATTAGTAACAATAGGCACAATACATGATAATCCACGGGTACTTTTATGTAAATTAGGCATTACAAAATGTTTAGACAATGATAAATCAATGTTTTATGAGTGAATAATAATATAATTGACCAAATGCTCCATGGGTTCACAGAGGTGCTTCTCCGTACCAAGGCGATAAACCTCCGTAGCAGAACAGCCAGGTGCAAGACTCACTCGTTGCCATGGAAACGAAACTTATTTGTTCAAGTAATTTAAAGGTAGTGTGCCACCTTTGAAAGATTTCCCATTTTATTTTTCCTAGGATAAGAAGCTTCTGTTTTTACCTAATATCGCAAAAAAAATCAAAAATGGGCCTGGAATAGTGCCTTTTTCGCCTAAAAGTTTTTCGGTTTTTAGATATGTATAACAACTGTAGTGGGCTCACCTGCAAACAGGCGTCGGGCAACAATCGCGAATGCGGCGCACTTGTGACAATAAGCAAAGGTCACTATAGTGTTACGACCATACGACGTACGGGAATGAGTTATCAGCTGTCTAATCGTAGACAACACAATGTCGAGCCTTAAACTGTAAGCCCGTATTGGTATTGTTTCTTTTATTTGGCTGTCGAACATTATTTATGGTTTGAAATATGATTTTATGTAAAATAATTGATATGAAAAAGCCGTCTTATAAGTTATTATGACCCCATTTCACCACACGCAAGTGGCAAAAATGACAATGATCAGCTGACGCATTTTTCTTGGCCGAAGTCAGAGCGCGCGGCCCGACGCACCACGCGTATTTGGAAATTCCGACCTCGACGAGCATCAGAAGCCACCTAACAGGCGTGTTCGAAACCGCAGGAGATGATGATGAACGGGTTTATCGAAACTTGATTGGATGAGCATATCGGTAATAGCGATTTCAGTGTGTGCATTTATTGTTCATAGTGGTGTGAAATGTGGTTGGGGTACGACCGACAACCCGTCGGGGCGAATTTCGCACTGGGGTACTCAAAATTTGAAGAATTTAAGACGTTTCCATGAGTTTTGAAGGTATGGATAAGTTCTAAAAATCCGGTTCTCCTTATCTGGGCTATTAACTCCATACGGTCCAAGAAAGCTGGCACACTACCTTTAATATCAAAATAACTTCTATCGGTATTTACGTAAATAAAAAATGATTTCATAATACCAAAATGTATATTAATAAAAACAATATCCATTTAATTGTTTTCTTAAGTTACTATTTGTTTGCGCCCACAAATAATTCGTCGCCAAACAGCCAATCAAAACAAATCCTAAAAACGCGAGCTGTCAAATTTACCTAGGTAGGTAGGTAGGATGGTGCAAGAGAAGCTACCGCCGTAGGTAGTTTTACCAGGTAGGTATTTTGCCGATTCTACCTAGCTAGGTATTTTGGTGCAAGAGGCCTCAGCATGATATTTATAAAGTATATTTGAAATGTAAGGTTTTGGAGCGCGCAAAGGATTGTTTCGGGTAAGATAAAATATATCCGGGACGAACGTACATATATAACTATCATGATACGGACTTGATAAGAAAGGTCCCGAGTCAGAGTTGGAGTGAGAGTCGGAGTCAGGCGATTTTTGAAGTCGGATTCGTAGTCAATAGAAATCCAGCGGCTCCGCAGCCATGGTTAAGTTGTGGTAGAGTAATTCGCCATCCATTAATTCTAACAACTCGCCGTGCACGTGCTTAACTAGGGTTAGAAATGCGAATGCATAATTATGAATAAAAATGATTTAATGAATGAGAATTCGCTTCATAAAAAGCGCAAACTGATAGAATGTCTGAACGTAATGCAAAATTTCGAACAACGGCCGTCCTATGTTGCGTAGGTAATCTGTTCATTTTATGTCCTGAATGCCTCGAGCAACACCATGTGAAATGCTTGCGCGTAGAGCTTCTATTCTATGTTAGCATTTGCGAATCCCAGCATAGATTTTGAATGATTTCTTACGAAGATATTATCGTTCATTATATAATGGTTTCAACGTTGTCGTTTCTGGCAAGCTATTAAGATTATATGGGAGGCTATGCTGTTCAGAGTGTTTGTAGCCACCACCCCTGTTCCGCCGCGTGAGGCGTCGCCCGTCAGTGTGCTGGCAGCGCTGGCCGTCCCTGACTGGGAGGTAGGCTGTACCGCAGGGCGTAGCTGCGTGGCGGGTGGCCTACCCTGCCTGTCGCAGTTCCACGGAGGACGGCGCGATCCGCCACAATGCTTTCGGAAGCGGAGGATATTGCTCCTTTGGCGCCTGGCTGATGTCCGTAATTACCCGCAACGTCGTTTGTTATTGTATACCTAGAAATTTGAAACCATTTGACAGCATATCTATTGGAAAAACATGCATAAGCGTTATGTACTTGGCGCTGCTTTTCTTCTATCGTGGTGGGATCAATAAGTGACCCAGCATAGGCTCACTTTTCCCTCAACAAGTGATCAGTGGCACTACTTTTCTGGTTCATTGCTTATCTAATACCCACTTCACTTAAACACTCTTTTTTACACTTTTTTATCTGTTTATTCGCACCCATCGAAACGCTGCAAACTGTCTCAATTAAACGTCTTTAAATAAAGACGTTTCCGTCACAAATCAAGTCCACATTAATTAATTACGATCGCTCTGGTGACATCTTAGCCGTGGTATCCACTACGAGAGCCGCCGCCGTATCCACCGCTGGAGAAGCTGCGGTGTCCGCCGCTGGATCCGCCGCCGTATCCGCCGCTGGAGAAGCTGCGGTGTCCGCCACCACTGGACCCGCCGCCGTAACCGCCGCTGGAGAAGCTGCGGTGTCCGCCATTGGATCCGCCGCCGTATCCGCCGCTGGAGAATCCACCGTGTCCACCGCTGGATCCACCACCGTACCCACCGCTGCTGCGGTGTCCGCTGCTGGATCCACTGCTGTATCCACCGCTGGAGAATCCTCCATGTCCGCCGCTGGATCCACCGCCGTATCCGCCGCTGGAGAAGCTGCGGTGCCCACCGCTGGATCTACCGCCGTATCCGCCGCTGGAGAATCCTCCATGTCCGCCACCGGAGAATCCACCGTGTCCGCCGCTGGATCCGCCGCCGTATCCGCCGCTGGAGAAGCTGCGGTGCCCGCCGCTGGATCCACCGCCGTATCCGCCGCTGCTGCGGTGTCCGATGGTAATTCCGCCGATGCGCCGTCCGCCGCCTCCGTATCCGCCGCCGCCACCTCCGTGTCCGCCGCTGGAGATGAAGCCGCCGCCGCCATGGCCTCCGCCGAAGGATCCCTTGAATCCTCCGCCGAAGGATGATCCCTTGAATCCTCCGCCGCCTCCGTGGTCAGCCGAGGCGAGGACCACCAGAGCGGCGGCGCACGTAGCGACGCGCTGAAAATGGACACGAATTTAAAGAAAACGCAAACTTCCAAATGAAATTGACAAAACGACACATTTAAGTTCATTTGCTTATTTTTAAGTGATTTAGCAGAATACAAATCAATACGTCTTTCTCAAATGGCTCAAAAACAGTGACACGTAACGGGAATCAAGAGCTATTTTACCTTTCCTTTAACATTTTATTTGTCTTAAAAAAATATTTTGTGGCGAAGCATAGACTTTTGAAAAAAGGGAGCATGCGGCTTCTTCTCTACACTATTCAACCCCATTTGTAGTTCATTGTGATGTAAAATTCAGTTTGATGTTTTTCATTAACTTATTCACGTAGAAATTCACAGATCACCGACTGTATTGATATGTGATTGCCGTCAATCCCGCACTAACCAAGAAAGCCATGTTCGTCGGAGTCGTTGGGTCGAGTCCGGCGGTGAGACTGTGCTCCTGTCGGCGATTCAGACTCCTTTTATAGCGGTCTGCCGTGTGGGCTTCCCGAATCGCCGTCGGGGGGTAGCGCAAGGTCATGGTTTCTATGGATAGCCGGCCACGCCATATTGCTGGGTGCCACCGCCAAGATCGTTAAGATTAGTGGTGTCAATTTCAGAAAACGTATGTCCAAAGTCCGTCCAATGTCCAATGCTTACGTCGATTGTCCGTCCAAAAATGTCCAAGCCAGCCATTTGTCCAAAGATGTCCGACACCTACGCAATAGTTAAAGGGAGATAATGAGCTTTCTTTTTTCTTAAATAAAAATTACTCGACACCTATACTATTTCTACTGTAGTTTCTATAAAATATGAAAATTTCCTAGCACATTTTCGTATGTGAAAAAGGTTTTTATTTTTGCAAAAAAGAAGCAGTACTTGCAGTACTTGTAACACCCACCGAAATGCGTTGTCCTTCTCTATAAAAAAGTCGCAGTATATGGCGCTTTTGTTTCAAACAGCGACGCTTGGGTTTTTGTTTATGTTATCGCCTTGTCGTTGCTTGGTTGTAAGGATTCTAATTTGAATTAGAGTTAATTCGGTTTAGAATTAATTAGATTCTAATTCGGGGGTACATAGTGCCTACTCTTCTTTGTTTCCAACATTATTTTGCGCCACAAATGAACGGCATGCGCCAGAAACGCAGCCAAATCTTGCGATTGCGACTACGAAATTCATTATTTTGGCGTCAGAGCCTGAAGCGAAAAATACAAGCATATTTATTTCAAAAAGACTTCAGGTTTGTCGAACGGTGTTGTGAGGATTTTGATAACAGTACTGCATAAGTTTTTCAGTGATGCCGCAAAAGTGTTGTATCTATCTTCTTTTATTGTGCAGTCGGCGGGACCGATTCAAAATTGAGTCGTTGCTACTAAAATAGCAGCATATGGCGTCAGATGATGAACAGGAAAAATAGTTGCGTAAATTTAGACATAAACCACCCCCAAACCATGAATATCTTTTGAAGGCACTATAGACGACCATTAACTAACTAGATGTAATGAAGATCAAATGTAAGGAATACGCTCATTTTACAAAATTACATGCAAGTACCAAAAAGTGATGTAAGTACTTATTCAACGGTCATTTTCAGCGCTCCCCGCTAACGTGACTTCAAGTTGAGATATTTGCGGCAAGGTACCGAATTGAGCAAAATGGTTTTAATTTACATTATAACTTGTTGTGTTTTGTCAGAAAATGGTCCTAACTCAGATTTTGTGGAAAAAGGTCATTATCTCCCTTTAACACTCAACACTGTTATTTCATTTGCTTTTCATGTACCGTTACAAGCTCAAAAGTCTCAATCATATCGAAAGCTAAGCTTTCTAATAGCCAATCAATGTTAAACACGACTACTTTTTAAAAATGTTGAGGTGTAGCAAGCGATTGTCCAAAGTTGTCCAAAGCCTGCGGCCACTGTCCAACCGAATTCCGAATTGGACATTGGACAAAATCGGAATTCCGAAGATTCAAGTTCCGATTGATACCACTAGTTAAGATCTGACAAAGCTCAAATAGGTCATGTCACACACCGATGGTTTTGTATGCACTCCAAGCTAAGTTGTAAATGGCATATGGTGGCATCTTTAAGTTCGCTGTGACCCTTGAAAGATAGGTATGTTGCCGCTTTTTTTCCTACAGGGCCCATATCCCTCGCCCGAACTGGGCCTTTTACACGGACACGAAACACGGACGGTCAAGGAAGGGGGTTTTGGTACGCCCCCCCCCCCCCGGCGATTGGCTTCTATGGCACTTAGAAGCACCAAATTTAAATGAAATTTACAGGGCCCGTGGCCGTAGGAAATTTCGCATTCGTGCAAAATTGATGCCTTTGTGAATATCTAAGGGAGCTGGGGGCTATTATTGTAAAATTTCGTTGAAGACTGTCAAAAGTGATTGGTTTATACCTTTTGTTCTATGTAGTTAACCCGCGCCGGGCCGGTGCTCCGCGACTTCCGCGCCGGGTCGGGGGGGGGGGTGTCTGAACCAGACCCCATCTAACTCGGCTCCTGGGCCACGTAGCGACACGCGGTAAGCGGCATTCGAAAGAGCGTCAAAAATAATGACGGAAACACTTTAGTCATTTTTTGGGTCAGGTCACAGGTCAGGTCGCTGGAGGTCACCAAAGGTCAAATGCAGTCCATGTCAACAATTCTGGAAACTGCCAACGGCTAACTCGGGAACCAATAGAGCTACAGCGCCGCGGAAAAGCGCATTCGATAGCCATTTTACGGACCGTTCTGAATAATGTTCTCAGATTGGACCTCAGGTCAACGCTTTAGCCTTCAAAGAGCAAAAACTCTAAAAATAGCCGTTTTCACGAAAAAGGGTTTTCGGTAATAACTTTTGATTCAAGCAAGCCACGACATTACTTTGCCAGCATCGTGTTTCTCTCGGGGAGATGCATCGAATGAACTATTCGTTGAACTTGAAAGGTTTGAGGAAAAAACGGAATATACGTAATAAAACACCAACTGATGACCTCTTCTGGAAAGTTTTAGCCCAATGTCTTCAAAAATGGCCAAGTTATACACATTATAGTCAAAACTTCACAAGTATAGATATTTCACATCCGTGTTTTCAGTGCGTTTTTGACAGCGCACAGTAATATGAATAGCACCATCATGTTCGTGAGCTTAAACTGTATCTGATAGACACCCTTTTAGTTATTTTTTAATTTGACCTTATTTTACCTGAAAGTGACCTGACCTCAGCTAAATTCAGCTGAAAATGACCTGAAGTGATACAAACGACACTGTTTTTGAAGTCTGCGAGTAAAATGGACCATAAAACATGCGTTACGTGACCGATACGTGATATAGAATTTTCTTGACCTAGGATGACCTGGTCTTGACCTGAAACTTGGAATTACAATTTTTACCCTCAGGGTATCTACGGCATACATAACGAGTGCATAAACCAAAAATGAGCCCGATCATACGTGTTAGCCGTCGGCCAGAGCCTAAATTGTGAAGAAGCTAAAATGTTTGTAATTTTTATTTTGACCTGACATATGACGTCATCGGTGAATCGAGATCAATGAAATTAGGTTTCGCTCGACAGTTTTTTTCCAAGGGCTATCGGCCGCCGTTCGAATTTTTACAATCGGCCCAGTAGTTCGGAGCTAGGAGGGGGGTGGGGGTGCTCTGTAGAGCCGGCCGGCCGTCCAGACGTTTTTGTAAGGCTTATATCTCAGCAGCCACTTAACCGATTTACATGCGGTAATTTTTGTAGGGTAGCTTCATTCCTTCTACCAAGTATTGGACTATTCCCGATACATATGGGTGACCCCTTATGCACGTGCCACGTGCAAAACAAAGAGGTGTCAGTTTTGTAACATTTGCAATATCTCAGTAACTACTGGGCCGATTGCGCTGAAAGTTGGCATGTAGGTGGGCACCCACCAGGCGATGCGTATCCATGAGTCAGAATTGGGGTGCTGCTGCACGTGTGCACGTGCAGGGCATAGGCGGCGGAACGGGGGAGCACCGGGGCACCGTGCCCCCTTTGATTTTGGCATTTTAACATTAACCCTATGGGCGTTGCATGGAAAGAATGGGACCAAAAGTCGCCAGTGACCCCCTTAATTGAAGGAGTTCCGCCGCCAGCGGTGCAGGGGTCAATTCCAGATCTCGAGAACGGCTGAACCGGTTGCGGTCAAATTTGGTACACGGTTAGGGACCAGTTAATAGGGTGCCGTGCACAAGTCAGTGGGGACCCATTTTGCACGTGCGCACGTGCAGCGTGCCGCTTTCAGATCTCGAGAACTACTGGGTGGGACGATTGTGCTCAAATTTGGCACATCGCTAGAGACCGTTTAGTAGGGTGCCGTGCACAAGTCAGTTGGCGGTGCGGTGCCCCCTCGCAATTTCGCACGTGCATAGCTCACCCTCTCGCTCGCTCCGTTAGTCGCCCCAAAAGGCGTTTTACTGGTAAAATATTACTGAAGATCACCCCATAACATTTTCGAGAAATGTGGCAAAGTCACCCCGCAAGGTAAAGTCACCCCCGTTTACGGTATTAAAGAGTTGCGTTCAACTGACCCGACCTTCGACCTTCATGTCCACTGCTGGCTGGTTAGATGGTCGATGGCGACCTTATGCTAGGTCGGAGGCGCTTCAGACCAATGCTGCTGAGTGCGGTCGGCTGCATAGAACTGTAAAATGTGCACAAGTTCCTCATATGTGAGGTGCAGAAACATTTACAGAAGAGGATGATAAGTGCCTCTTAAGAAACTCTACAGTGTAACGTTCTATGTAGTTCGTGTTCATCAGCAAAGAAGAGTCGGTGTTATTGCTTTTAGATATTGTTGTCAGTACTAATAACACATCTCATTTTAAATAATTTATTGTTCGTACCCGTGAAACGCTGGAATTCACATCGATGGAACATCTAGAGTTGCTATATCGTTACGATACGGGATGACAGTGAAATTATGACGCTTTGCTGGTAGTATTTTAGCCGTGGTATCCACCACGAGAGCCGCCGCCGTATCCACCGCTGGAGAAACTGCGGTGTCCGCCGCTGGATCCACCTCCGTATCCACCGCTGCTGCGGTGTCCGCCGCTGGATCCTCCGCCGTATCCGCCGCTAGAGAAGCTGCGGTGTCCGCCGCTGGAACCGCCTCGGGATCCACCGCCGTATCCGCCGCTGGAGAATCCTCCATGTCCGCCGCTGGATCCACCGCCGTATCCGCCGCTGGAGAATCCACCGTGTCCACCGCTGGATCCACCGCCGTATCCGCCGCTGCTGCGGTGTCCACCGCTGGATCCACCTCGGTGTCCACCGCTGGAGAATCCTCCATGTCCGCCGCTGGATCCACCGCCGTACCCGCCGCTGGAGAATCCACCGTGTCCACCGCTGGAGAATCCACCGTGTCCACCGCTGGATCCACCGCCGTATCCGCCGCTGGAGAAGCTGCGGTGTCCACCGCTGGATCCACCGCTGTATCCGCCGCCGGAGAATCCACCATGTCCACCGCTGGAGAATCCACCGTGTCCACCGCTGGATCCGCCGCCGTATCCGCCGCTGGAGAATCCTCCATGTCCGCCGCTGGATCCACCGCCGTATCCGCCGCTGCTGCGGTGTCCGATGGTAATTCCGCCGATGCGCCGTCCGCCGCCTCCGTATCCGCCGCCGCCACCTCCGTGTCCGCCGCTGGAGATGAAGCCGCCGCCGCCATGGCCTCCGCCGAAGGATCCCTTGAATCCTCCGCCGAAGGATGATCCCTTGAATCCTCCGCCGCCTCCGTGGTCAGCCGAGGCGAGGACCACCAGAGCGGCGGCGCACGTAGCGACGCGCTGAAAATGGAACATTAGGTATTTGTCAAAGGCATCGAAAAAAGGTTCTTTTGGTATCTATGAGTCCATTTAAAATTAAATCCAAGATTTATTTGCTATTTTCCCTTTAACATTTTTGTTGCCGTAGCATGCCACTCTTAGTGTGAGTGTAGCATATCGTTAGGATATTTTTTAAAACTTTTTTTGCTTTAGTGTTGATCTGTGATTGCCGTCAATCCCGCACTAACCAAGAAAGCCATGTTTGTCGGAGTCGTTGGGTCGAGTCCGGCGGTGAGACTGTGCTCCTATCGGCGAGTCAGGCTCCTTTTATAGCGGTCCGCCGGGTGGGCTTCCCGAATCGCCGGCGGGGATAGCGCAAGGTCATGGGTTCTCTGAATGTTCGCACCATGGGAGACTCAGAGGAAAGACAAGAGAGGGCGGGCGGTGTAGGTCGCTTATTTTTCATCTATATTCCCAGTTCCTTGCTCTTGAATGTAGAAGCAAATGATTTGCATCTTTTTGCATATGTTTATTTTTTCGTCAGAAGTTCATTCTCCCTACTTTGGTTTTAACGGTAGAGGCGCTTCTGTCTTTCAATCCTTGCATAGGTTGGAATATTTGCATCATTCTGTGGTGCAAATGTGAATGATGGATCATTTTTAATTAAAACTTAAGCGTTCAATTGATAGATGCTGATTTTTAGACCTCGTTCTTTCGTCGCGCAGTTTTCAGCAACCCTCTTGGAAAAGATGACCCACATCTTTCGCTCGAAGTCACAAAGAAAAGAATCATTTATTTCATTGAATAGGATGATTTTCGAGGTAAACCAACTTTTGGAACTGGTTATAAAAAAAAATTATACATGGTATATTATGCGAAGTTTGTTCTGTGCCGGTAATCAGATTTGTTAATAAAGGGCTTTTGCTTGCGCTTGTAAAACAAAAAAAAAAACAGACTCACTTTCATCAATGCGAATTAAATCAGAAACTGAGCTTATCTACCGCCTCTATTCTCCATCCCCCCCTTGTCCGCTATAATCGTGCCCCCATCGGCGTTATGCCCAGGTGTGGGGGAGGGTGGGGGGGCTGGGCCCGTGTCCGGCGCGCGCCGGCCGCCCCCCCCCCCCCGCCAGGTGACACGGAGGGCGCCGATGGCTGTTCCACAGCTGTTCAGGTGGGGGCACGACGTGCCGGCTCCGGACAGGGCCGCGGCGCGGTCAGCGGGTCTAACCTGTTACGGCTGGGCGAACCAGATCAGTTGAGCGTAACAGAAAGTACCCTGATGTGGCAAGGGTGTTCTGTCGGTAATCACATATTCGACTAGACTTCTGTGTTTTCAGGGTGGAATATCATGTGTTTGTTATAGCGGCGGCTAATGGTTCGTATTCTGTTGTTTCAGATTGACTCAGCCGGTCCTACAATGGAGGTGGCTGTGGCCAGAGATGCGGGCGACCAGCCGGCCACCTCTCAGAACTGGGTGGTGCAGCCGCTGCTTACAGGTGAGGGCCAGCTGCTGCAGCCGCTGCTGACAGGTGAGGGCCAGCTGCAGACTGCTGGGTGTCTGTCCTACTGAATCTCTCAGAACTGGGTGGTTCAGCCGCTGCTGACAGGTGAGGGCCAGCTGCTGACTGCGGGATGTGACTTGCTAGATCTCTCAGAACTGGATGGTGCAGCCGCTGCTGAAAGGTGCTGACGTCTTCGGACTTTCTCTTGCAGTTTCAACACTGGCTCTAGTATAGGTATTTTTGTTGATAGCGTAATATTGTAAGCGTTTTTGGTTCTTCTTACGAACTATTAGGTGATAGTTTTTTAAGCAAATTATATCCAAAAGAGCACATTGCCATGTCAGTCTTTTTTCTGCGTATTCATTTCTATGCTTCTCCGCCGAAGATACAACCTCCATATTCTTTAGTTACTAATTTACCCAAATAGCGGCTGATGATTAGGGTTCTTTATCTCGGAGCTGAGCGTCTTAGATGGTGTGTATTCTCTCCGCTTCCCTATCCTTATTTGTGAGACCGGGGAGGAACGCTAAGGTCAAAACGACAGGAAGCATCCCGCCGCCGAGTTTATTTTCCAAGGGTCGGTGGGAAGAGGCTGCTGAATTGGAGGTCGGAATGAGTGGCAACAATGGGGGGCCAAGAAGCGACGGTTGGTGATTTGCAACAATGATCTGGCAGCTGAGGTCGATGGAGGAGTAGTGTGGGATCTGGAAGTGTTCTGCCGCGGTAGGAGGAGACGGCCGTGATGTCTGTCTGGAGTCTGGACGGTCTGCCGGTAACGAACCCCCTGTTCGTCCGGCGTCTGTATGAAGGGCCCAGTGTCTGTCTGGCTGACTGGCCGACGGATCCGGTGTCCGAAGTTCGGAGGATCTGTGCCCACTGCCCGCTCTCTGGCCGGTGTCGGTCTGACCAGTCAGTGGTCTGTTCGCTGTCTGTCTGACCTGTCTGTGACGGGCCCGGTGACTGTCCGGTGTCCGTCTGTCCGGTCCGGCTGTCCGGTGTTTTGCGGGTCTGTGCCCGGTCTCTGCTTGCTGTTTCGCTAACCGGTCTGTGACGTCTGTCTGGTGTTTAACAGGTCTGTCACCGGTCTCTGGCCGTTGTCTGTGCGATCAGTCAGTGTGTCTGTTCGTTGTCTGTCTGACTAGTCTGTGACGGGCCAGGTGTCTATCTGACCTGTCTGTGACGGGCCCGGTGGCTGTCCGGTGTCCGTCTGTCCGGTGTTTGGCGGGTCTGTGCCCGGTCTCTGCCTGTCTCGCTGACCGGTCTGTGACGTCTGTCTGGTGTTTAACAGGTATGTCACCGGTCTCTGGCCGTTGTCTATCTGACCGGTCTGTGACGGGCCTGCTGTCTCGCTGACCGGTCTGTGACGGGCCCGCTGTCTGCCTGACCGGTCTGTGACGGGCCGTAATGTCTTTCTGACCAGTCTGTGACGGGCCCGCTGTCTGCCTGACCAGTCTGTGACGGGCCGTAATGTCTTTCTGACCAGTCTGTGACGGGCCCGCTGTCTGCCTGACCAGTCTGTGACGGGCCGTAATGTCTGTCTGACCGGTCTGTGACGGACCCGCTGTCCTTCTGACCGGTCTGTGACGGGCCGTAATGTCTCTCTGACCGGTCTGTGACGGGCCCGGTGCCTGACCGGTCTGTGACGGGCCCGCTGTCTGCCTGACCGGTCTGTGACGGGCCCGCTGTCCTTCTGACCGGTCTGTGACGGGCCCGGTGTCTGACCGGTCTGTGACGGGCCCGGTGTCTGACCGGTCTGTGACGGGCTTGCTGTCTGTCCGACCGGTCTGTGACGGGCCCGCTGTCTGCCTGTCCGGTCTGTGTGTCTGTCCGATGTCTGTCTGACCGGTCTGTGACGGGCCCGGTGTCTGTCTGACCGGTCTGTGACGGGCCCGCTGTCTCGCTGACCGGTCTGTGACGGGCCCGGTGTCTGTCTGACCGGTCTGTGACGGGCCCGCTGTCGGCCTGTCCGGTCTGTGACGGGCCTGGTGTCTTTCTGACCGGTGTGTGACGGGCCTGGTGCCGTGCCGTCTGCCGGTCGGGGGTCGCCGGCTGCTGAGTCACCGTCCGTTTTGTCCACTCACTACACACGGGGACGCAGCGGTCGCAACTAGTCCAAGGCTTACCCCCAGAGTCGGATAATTTGGTCGCGCTAACTCGGCGAGACCATCACGCTCTCGGCCGGCTCTGTCGCCCCAAGGTGCTCTCGTTGAATGAACGCCTGACCCTGGGAGTTGGGGAAGTTGGTGCCATGTCATCCAGTGATTGGGTCCCCAGAGCCAGCTCAGCAAATGCCGAATGGGGGGATTTATGTCCGGCTGATGACCATATGTGAATTATTCACCGCAATTTCGCATGCGTTTTTGGAAATGTCCTTACATTCATTTTTAATGCATCTCAAAAAGGAGCTAATTTGACATCTTAGTGATGATATTAAGTTAAATTTAGTTCATTTACATATGAAAATGCGTCTGAATTTAGCGGTCGTGTGTGTTTGTGTGCGTGTCACCATACGTGCCAGCCATCATCAGTCAGTCATGAATAGGAGCAGCGGACGGCAGAGCTGCCTCCCTTCCGCGCCCCGGGGGCGGAGAGGCTCGCCACTCGTCGACCTTGGCACTGGGGGTGCGCCGGCACAGTCGGCCCGGGACGGGACTGGACGATTCTCTGGGGAGTCTCGGGCTGGCCTTCGACTGCGGCCCGGCTTTATCGATACAGACCGGACCAGGACAGCGGCGCCGCGTCTGTTTTCCCGGGCGTGCCGTCTCGGCCCGAATCTTCCGCCGCCGTCGAGAAAATTACCCTACCTGTCGTCACGACACGGAACGATTTGGGTGTGCATTTCCCAGAGCCGGTGGTTGATATTATGTCGATGAATAGCTCGGCGTGTCTACTGAAGGAGTGTTGCCTTCCGTGATCCCTGCCCCGGCGGAACGGGGATTCCTGTCACATTATTATACTAGCGGCGACCTCGGGGGGATTCTCTGAAGCAAACATGATGCCTTGGGTGGTGCTGCTCTCATGGTCACCGACAGGCTTGGGAACGGGTAGACAAACTGTTTATGATGCATGCGAATATGCCCTCTGACCTCTGGGAAGAGAAAAAGCATGGCAAATTGGGTGTTCTATCCGTCCGCCGTCGATCCTACGCTTTTGTCCTCATCTGGTTTGAAATTTTGCTGTTGTTTTTTTTCACGCGTGTTTAAGATTAATTGGAGCATTATTAACGTCATCTAATAATTGTCAGGAACGCCCCTGACATACTTCTGAAATTCGATCAGGCCAGATCAGTGACCGAGGTCCGGTCGAGTTGAATGTTATTCACCATTTAAAGGTAGTGTGCCAGCTTTCTTGGACCGTATGGAGTTAATGGCCCAGATAAGGAGAACCGGATTTTTTAGAACTTATCCATACCTTCAAAACTCATGGAAACGTCTTAAATTCTTCAAATTTTGAGTACCCCAGTGCGAAATTCGCCCCGACGGGTTGTCGGTCGTACCCCAACCACATTTCACACCACTATGAACAATAAATGCACACACTGAAATCGCTATTACCGATATGCTCATCCAATCAAGTTTCGATAAACCCGTTCATCATCATCTCCTGCGGTTTCGAACACGCCTGTTAGGTGGCTTCTGATGCTCGTCGAGGTCGGAATTTCCAAATACGCGTGGTGCGTCGGGCCGCGCGCTCTGACTTCGGCCAAGAAAAATGCGTCAGCTGATCATTGTCATTTCTGCCACTTGCGTGTGGTGAAATGGGGTCATAACTTATAAGACGGCTTTTTCATATCAATTATTTTACATAAAATCATATTTCAAACCATAAATAATGTTCGACAGCCAAATAAAAGAAACAATACCAATACGGGCTTACAGTTTAAGGCTCGACATTGTGTTGTCTACGATTAGACAGCTGATAACTCATTCCCGTACGTCGTATGGTCGTAACACTATATACATATCTAAAAACCGAAAAACTTTTAGGCGAAAAAGGCACTATTCCAGGCCCATTTTTGATTTTTTTTTGCGATATTAGGTAAAAACAGAAGCTTCTTATCCTAGGAAAAATAAAATGGGAAATCTTTCAAAGGTGGCACACTACCTTTAACCTCACGTTATCGGTATCGTAAGTTTTTAACCGATACCGCAGACATACTAAAGCAGACATTGTTGTGCGCCCTTACGGCGATTTCCCAAAATTATAAAATATCTCGGTCATATTCCACAGTGAGTGCCTGGTGGCGAGGGCGCATTTCCACCTCCAATAGGGTCACCCCGCGGTCGTGACGATCTAAAGCGCTTTTGTCGCTAGATCATTGCGCTCGTGATAATTAAATCACCACGAGCTCCGGAATGGTGTCAGCTACTAGCACGAGCATATTGTTCTGAATCTCCAACTGGAGTGGCGTGCGCAACAGATTGTTTGTTAGTTCTACGACATAATGAACAAGAACTCACGAGACGTGATTGTTATCCCGCCTTGTGAAATGAAGTTCTGTGCCGGCTCGCTATTTGCAACGAGGATTTCCGTGGGCGAACTTTTGGGCTGGGGTGCGCTGGCCGTTTTTGGCGTGGGAGATATTTCGTAAAGTGAGTGGAGCTGGAGTGCCGCCCTTATCATGGCGCGGGATCGTGTCATGTTGTCCTGTGTCTTTACACCTTTGGTAGGGTCTTTGTCTGTGCATGCTTACAAGCGAATGGAGTAGATTAGACCACGAGTTAACAACAACTCTGCCATGTCATGAGCCAAATGTATTCATCGCATTCGTTTCAGATTTGTACCAGATCACGATGGCCTACGCCTATTGGAAGTCGGGAAAGACCAAGGAGCATTCTGTTTTTAACCTCTTCTTCCGCAAGAACCCCTTCCACGGCGAATTCACCATCTTTGCCGGCCTCGAGGAGTGCCTCAAATTCGTGAAGAACTTCCGCTACTCCGACACAGGTCAGTATAGATGTGTTCGCATGATGGTGTTTCAGTCACGTGCTATGGTACTTTGTGGGTCGCTTGTGAATTGGTCTTTGCTGAACAATATTTTAGCATGAGCTGACCTACCGGGAACAATTGTCTCTCCCTCCTTCAATCATTATCCACATTATCCTAAATTTACGTTGTTGCGTTTTACACGGAAGTAATTGAGTTCAAACGGTCTGCGCTGCCGCCCGACCCATCCATCAAGCGTTTGTGGGAGTGACTTCTAGAGATGTGTGGCGCTCTTGACGCCAAGCATTGCTGATGTTTAACCCGCGACCGCCTGGGGGGGGGGTCGGATCCGACCCCCCCCCCCCTCCGTTTTTCTTGAATAACTCATGAACCGCTTACGCTATCTAGTTGAAACTTGGCATACCTTCTCTACCATCAATTTTACGTCTCCTGTGCAGTTTTTAAGAAAAAAAATCCAAAAAATTTGAGTTATATCGATTTTAGTGATGCAACTACACGGCGTTTTCAGTCAAAAAATGGTAAATGTTTGAAAAATCGCCAAAATCGAGGATTTAAGCAAATTGCAAATTAAGGACATGAATAGACGCAGCTCAACGAGTTCTTTAAAATGGCTATCTCGGATTTTCCATAAAATGCGTTTTTAACCCCTAAAAATTCAAAAAACTATATTTTTTGGAAAACAGCTAATAAAATCCAAAATTTTGAGAATTTCCAAAAAACCGGAATATATGTTATAGAGCTCTATTAGAACATTAGATGTCCCAAATTTCAACTTTCTATCTTGATTTTTGACCCCCAAATTGTAAAAAATAGCTCCAACATGCATAGGGCATGGTGACGTCATAAGCATTTTCGTGAATTAGAGGCACTTCTGAACATCGCATGTGAAAACAAATGGCACCACTAGATTCCTGGGACAAGGCTCGTCTAGAAAAGTGCATTTTTATGTCAAAAATAAAAAGTTGAAAAATTGACTTTTTCCTTGGCCCTCGTTTAGTTATGTATGGTATAAACGATTTTGTATGCTTTCAATGCACACTTATCACCAGCACAGTGACTTGGGGTCACATATAACCATTACCATCGGATTTGGCGTGAAAAATAAGCCATAAAACATGTGTCGCACGCCCATGTAGCAGAAAGTGAAAACCGTGACCTTTCGTGACCTGACCTGACCTTGACCCGTACTTAGTATGACCCCTATACGCACATGGTACCTTCACTAGGCCTTTGAGGTCATTTTTGGTGAGTTTCGAGCAGCAGCTATCGATTCCGCTGTCCGTAAGCCTAATCATGCAAAACCCCTGAATTTGACCTTTGACCTGACCTTGACCCGAAAGTTGACCTCAATCTTAAAATCTTAAGAGTGCTTTGGGAAGGTCTCGTAGAGACCTTTCGAACGCCGCCTCGCGGGGCTCGATACGACCATTGGTTCTCGAGATAACAGGGGGGGTCGGATCCGACCCCCCCCCCCCCAGGCTGTCGTGGGTACGGAAATAGCCCAGGCGGTGCCGGGTTAATGTAGTCTGTAACTATTCATCATTTGCGGGTGCAAGAAGTGACAAAATATTTGCGTCGTCGATTCATTCTCATCTCATCGTTTATCCCAGCTCTCATCTCTCACTAATGCGTAATGCATCTCTCAACCTCGCATAAACGAAATTAAAATGTTTGCATCCCTCTTATTCTTCGATTTATTTTTGTCTTCATCGATTCGTTGATTAATAAGATCTGTTCAAGGTTTGAATGAGTGTCTGTTATGCATGCTACCTATGCAATAAGACGCTACGTTGTTGCCATGGGGTGCTCTTCTCCTTCTCTTTACTTTCATTAGCATGACCCAGTTTTTGCCGTTCGGCATTTGTCGACAAGAACTAGAATTAGCATGCCGAACACATTGTCCAGCCATTCCTCTGTCACTGGAGGCTCTTGGCCTTCGGTGGAGCATATTCGTCATGCGGTGTGTCGTTGCCGTTATTCCGTGCTGCGACCGTGCAGATCGTGCCTGAAGCATAGTCACCCCGTGGCAACGTCACTGTTTACATGGTGAATACAGCATGATTATGGCCAGTACAAGCAACATATGCATCATCCGTGTACAAGTTTTGCTTTTTCTCGATTGTTCCATTCAAAAATGAAATATTCGTCCATGTATGTATTAGGCACCGACCATTGGCTCTAACAAATGCGTAATTTGTTCAACACTTTTAAATCAACTCAAACGCTTATAAACGTTATCAATAAAGATTTGTAACAAGTTGCTCTTATGAACACCTGTGCCGTCCGTCCCCGACCCTATGACCTGTACCGCCCTTCGCCCGCCCGTCCTGACCCTGTGACCTGACGTCTGCCGCCCTTTCTGACACTGTGACCTGACCTCTGCGGCAGACATCAGCTACCTGCGTTCGGTGCTGCCGGCGAGTGTGGAGCCGGAGTTTTTCGACTACCTGCGTCACCTGACCACAGAGGATGTGGTACTGCACGCCGTCGATGAGGGCGAGGTAGTCTTCCCCAGGTCAGTCGGTGGGGACCGGGTGGCGGTAGCTGGCAACATGCTGCTCTGCATTCAATGGTCTGTATTGTTTCGTATGTGGCGCATTAGGAGGGGGAGTTTGAGTAATCGATTTCAGCTTTTTACAAGAACTTCTTTTGAAATGCGTTGGAGAGCAAAGATGAGGAAAGTGTGTGAGGAAAATGTCATGATTGTGTGGTGTGGGCTGTTTCATGTGCTGCATGTCATGTTGTGATTTACATAGCGTACATTGTTGATAAGGTATGTCATATGACGCCAGTTTCGCCAAGGATAGCACTGATAGCGTTGGTAGTGATTCGACATATGTTGCCCATTATCTCTGGAGCCACCCGGCCGAGTGCCCTTGCTCCGGCCGATGGCCAATCGCGCTCGGTCGCAGGCCGTGCACAAAAACCCTGCCGGCGCCGGCGGTCGTGCCTGGACGGAGATGCGGCCGATGGTGGGAATTCGACCCCGTACGGCCGGAATTCGGCCCCGTACGGCGGCCACTTTTTGCCGGAGAGCCGTCAGCCGTCAGCACGCGGAGAGGGGCTGGGGGCGGTACACGCTCCCCTCACTGACCTCAGGGGCAGGGGGCCGGCCGGATGACTGGACCGGGCACTTCAGGGGACCGGGTTCCGCTCCAGTAGCGTCGGATTGACTTCTGTCGGTTGTGTCATGTTAAGCTTGATCGGTTTTAATAGTGTTTCCTCACGAAGGTTTGTTTGCCATCCATCTGACTCTGTTTCGTGTTTTATTAGGCACAAGGGTATCGTGTTTATTTTGTTGATCATCTAGGGGTCTGTGATTAAATATGTAGTTGGTCTTTGAATCTGGACCTTTCATTTTGTAAAACTTGTCGAGGTCAGCAAAGTATCAATAACAGTCACAGCGCTAAGTTTTGTAATATCTCACCTATTCCGGCCCCTTCATTATATTTCGACTGAAACTGTCACACATCTTTCATTGTATCGTTCCTCTAATTTCTACGACAGGACACTGTTGACAATGGCAAATAATTTACGCGAAGCAAGTAATTTTACATGTATTCGGTCGGCAGTGATTTAACAGGGCCGCTGTGTTTTGCTCCCAGTCTCGATACTAAACCTCTCACGATATCACGTTATGTCGTGTCATTGGCGGCCTCTCACGTCGGTTCTGTTTTGTCCCCTCAGGGTCCCGCTGCTGATCGTGGAGGGTCCGCTGGTGGTCTGTCAGCTCCTGGAGACCACCCTGCTGACCCTGGTCAACTTCGCCAGGTCAGTGATAAAAGTCCGCCCCCGTCTGACCGTTCGGCGCTCGGCGGAACGGCCGGTTTATGGCTCTGATTACGTAAAACGACGGCTCGCGGAGGTGGCCAAATTGTCTCGGAGGGTCAGGGTGACCATTACATAGCCAATTGGCTGTCATGCTTCGCGGCTTCTAAAAGCGTCAAACGGCTTGCGGGGAAATCCAGTTAGTGGGAAAATCCGGTTACAAGGAATCAAAGGATTTGACGAAAAAAAAACTGATTGGCCTTAATCAAACCATTTTAGACATAGGTTATGGAAATGAGTATTGTACAATTATATTTTGCTTCAGAAATATTTATCACGTTACTGTTTGCGTCATTTGACATTATTTGTGTCATATCCGTTTGACTCGTTCAATTTAGTGCGCATTGTTTTACTATGTTTTGATATGTTCGGCTCTGCTGATAGGAGTTCATCCATAAGATATTAACGGAAAATTGTGGAATGAAGAGTCGGTTCAAAGGCTCTCGTTGTGTTTTGGTCGATGGTGCGTGACCTCAGAGTAAATGGCTGAAGTGGTTTAGCATTCAGTGCGATCCGTCTGGGAGCGAGAAGCAACGCAAGGCCAGACGTTTCAGTTGAATTTGCGCATCAGATAACAGCCCAGCATCCTTGAAGTTTCCACATGTTAATTGCGGCTCATATCTAACCCGCGCAAACAATGTGAGCAGCAGCTGCGACCAGCACATGTGATCGGTGCGGTACATGAAAACAAAAACAAAAAATGTAGCCTCGAGAGTCACTAATGCTCCTACGTGCGTGATGTGACTTATCACCGACTTCCGGACCGGTTACCGTTACGAACCCACCTCCATATTATTCAAAGATGAGCAATACCTACCAATGCGTCGGGTACCGTTATATTTGAATAGCCTCACGTATCGCCGGCCGGTGCGCACGCATTTCGATGCAGCCAGCGCGGTGGGGCATATAGCAGACATCCGCGTTTGGACTGCCGTGAGACCACCCACCCCCACCTTCCCTCCCACCCGCTCCTGTCCTGCTCGGAACCTGAGCGGTACCCGGCTCGGCGCTGCCCGGCCCGCCCGCCGACACACCAACTTTGGGCCGGGCCATCCATCGATTAAACAGACCGCTCCCGCCGCCAGGTACGGCCAGGATGGCGACCCTGACACGGCGGGGCCGCTCCGCCCACCGTCACCCACCGCCCACCTCCACCCACCACCGCTCATCCACCGTCCACCGGTCCCACCGCGAGCCCAGCGCCCCGCCACAACCCACTATCCGCAAATTCAGCACCTCCTTTCTGTCTCCTCTGCAGGGAATTCATTGATAGTTTTAAAGGCCAAGAATATTTATGATATCATGGTGTGCGATGAAAATATTCGGTTTAGACGTTTTAGCTCAGTTTGAGTGTGTACTATCAGGTATGTAAAATGTATACGCAATGTCATGTGTGTCATGCCAGTTAGTTGGACTTTTTTACTCCTAAAACCCGCCTTTTCCCGCCCGTGTCTGAATTTCTTGGATACTCTCATGTTTTTCCGCCCATCTATTTTATAGCTCAATGTCATTACTTTTTTACTGAATTATGCTGTTTCTTTTCCTTACTTCATTTTTTCGATTTTTTCCGCCTGCATGCTCATACTTCTGAAATTCAACAGGACCTACTTTCTACTGATACATTGCTACCAGCACGTGAATCATAGGCCCTCTCCTCTGCCGTCGGGAGGAAAAAAGCCGTATCTGGGGCATTTTTTCGAATTGAAAATTGTTCAGGAGAGGCAAAAACGCGTTTTTTGTTATAAAATTCGTAAACTTTGCTCAATAACGAAACAAAACATACTGCAGTGATCGGAGAGAAATTTTACATCCAATGAAAGTGGTTTTAAAAGGGAAATTATTTTAACCTAAAAGCAAAAGGCGAAAAACTTTTTTGCTTCCAATTCAACCCCGAGTTTGCGGAATCTTTCTTTCACGAAAAAAGCCGTATCGTGGAAGAAAGCCGCATCGTACGATACACCTGAGCAATACTGTCAATGAAAAAGCCGTATGTCTGATACATTGGTTAACCGATCGGGAATAAAGCCGTATCACCATTTTTATTTAACTATATGTCGTCAAAAAGCAGTATCATCGGTGCATTTCTATTGACAGCATATTAGTTCATAAAAGTACTAAAGCAGTTTCGCTGCTGGTTCCGTTCCACTGGTTCAGGTCTCGAGTATGGATATTTAATTGAACGTTCGATACAAAAACAAACATGATACCCATTTTAAAACTACATCATCCATGCATAATCGCATTATTGTCGTAACTTTATTGGATTCTGATTGCGCGGGGTGCCATCAAAAGGCAGCTTGACCAACCGACCAGGGACGTAGCCAGGGGGGGGGCACAGGGGCCATGCCCCCTCTAAAGGCGAAAAATAAAATAAAATTTAATAAGCTGCACACACCCCAAAAGATAGTGGGCCAAATCCGAGGAGTTTTCCTTTTCTGGAGGGGCACGACACTAGGCCGCGACCTGTGGCCCCTCCCTGAGCAAAATCCTGGCTACGTGCCTGCAACCGACAAGGGGAATCACGAATGCTGTCTTTGTACGGTGCTTCAATTTTCGATTACACTGGACTCCAGAGTTTCTTAAATTCTGAGCCACTGATATATTCGGAGATGAGTGTGCCGGTCTGCCGCTGCGCCGGAGCCACGGCGACAATGTCGAGAGAACCGAGATAGTGTTTTTCCCCATTGTCGATCTGCAGACCTCAAAGCACTTCAAGGGGGCAAGAGACGATGAGTGGGAATGTTGCTGATTAGCTGGACACAAGGTTCCCGGAAAAGGGACGCTGTTAAGTCACGTGGTGTGCAGCTACAAGTACGGAACCGCCCGGCTCCTGAATCAAAATAGACGATGCAAGAACTTCAGGAATTCCCGTAAAGAAACTGCATCTACAAAGGTTGTGCGAAACATCTAGGGCGACAGCACTGTGCCGCGGCTGAGGGTGTAAGCAAATGCCGCCTCATTGTCGGAGATCGCTAGACTGCTGAGAGCTCCACACGTCTGCGGGAACGCCCTTTAGAGTGCGCACCCCCAAAAGGCCCCCCATGTGCACTCGTATTCACAGGGCTCTGATTATATACTGCAACAGAGCAGAGGGCTATTCAGTACGTCTTGCTGCATCCTTCACCGGCCACAGCTGTGCTAGTAGGCTCTGGGCAGCTGCCCGTAAAATATGACAATGTTGGGCTTGTGTGGGTGCTACAAGATAGCCTAAATTTCCAATATGATTTAGCATCATGGGTATGAGGGAGACGGAAAGAAGACGGTAAAGTCATTGACCAGGAATGGAAGTGACAGGGGATGACGGTCCCAAAGATACATGGGCGTGGTCACAATTATCACAATGAATGTGACGAGGTTGGCAATAGCAATCGACCTTTCACGGTATTCAACTATATCTTCAACGGTTTTACGACAAAGATTGTAGGCCGTCGTACAAAGCGTGCCGGCTGCGAGCTGCATGTCTGTGATGATTACCGGGTCGAACTTAACATGATGCTATTTTGGTTGTAGGGTGGGGTGGGGACAGGGAGGCCAAATTAATCATGGGGAAGGCTAGGTCGGGTATTTTTTATTGGGATTTTAAACGAAGCTGGGGAAAAGAATGGTCGGATTATACTGGCGCTCCCGGCTGGTTAGCACATCAAAATACTGAATGCCCGGCACCCTGCTGACACCACCGAGTTGGCAAAGTTCTGTTGGCTTCAAACTTCTCAAGTTCACTCCCTATTTTATTTCAATTAAAATACCCCTATAAATGGTCACATATTGCTACGATCACGTAGCATGTTTGTGTAAATGTTCAACTGTTCCGTCCAGGATATGCCGAAGCCATGCTTAATGAGAAGATACGGCTTTCTTCCAAAATGCCTGGACCAACGATTCGGCTCATATTTCACAGGCCACCATCAAGTAAAGGCCGTATCTACAAGATACGGCTTTCTTCCTGACTTATCAGTTCCACATTCTTTGTTTGAAATTTTGTATAAATGCCGTATCTGCCGAATTTAAGGATACGGCTTTCTTCCTGCATGTTTTGCTATCCCTTATGTAACAAATCAGTTTTTGAATTTTTATATTATATATAATATTTTCATTTTTGAGTGTACACACATTTGAGCAGTACCATTAAACGCATCATGAAAAGAGCTTTCCAACGATATCAAAAACGAAAAATCGATAAAAATGCGACTTACGGCTTTTTTCCTCCCGACGGCAGTCCTTCCTACCATTTCACAGATCACGTGGAGTACGTACATTTGTAATCGTGTGCTTTATTCATTCTGAAGCACGCGTCAACACACGCAAGCAAAACTTGTCCATGTCCATGACGTATCAGTCGCTGTCGCCGGCCACGCTCAGCAGAAATGACTGAGCCGCGCTAGGGTAAAGTGGCTGGTGTGAGAGGTATTTGTGAACTGTGAGACTGAACTGAGCCGGTGAGAAGTGTGACCATGTGAATACCTAGGGAGGGAGGGGAGGGTTAAAGCTGACTGTGTTGTAGACGTGATGCGGAATGTCATGTGTCTCGTTCGGAATGTCAGGTGTCTACACGGGCTGTTGTCTATCATTGTGCGTATTTTTTTGGTCGTTTGAGACCAGTCAAAAGCTCATCTGAAGCATCGTTCATCTGATGCTTCCCCACTATATCGTCTCGTCATGCAGTGCATTTGTGTTGTGAGAATATCACTGTTGTTCGTAATAAATGCCGGACTATCAAAAAAAAAAAAAAGAAACTTGTCCATGACGTCGGCAGCGGGCATCACGCACCGTCACGCGAACTGCGGGCGTGGCGTGACGCGTGACTAACGTGACTGTTTTACCGGGCCGCGTCTTGATTGAACTACCCGCGGTAGCCTCATAAAACCAATCCAAGACGTACTACACCCGACCATTACCGCTGTGATCTCTCTATCTGATTAAAAGAGACAGAATAGCACACGCTCGCTTATGCTCTTGCGTGTGACCTGATGATTACCCTTGGTCAAGGGGGGTAATTTTGCGTGAAGCAACTTATCAAAACAAGATTAGACTCCGCAATAAACACCTACGCAACTGCAACACGGTCCACGAAACTACTCGATTCCCATGGCCATTTTCTCTCCCATGCCACAGTACGTCACCACCTCTCTCGTTTTCCCGGTCGAGGGGTGACGGTTGGTGTCTCTTGTGACCTGGCAGTGACCTGTAACCGTACCGTGTGTGTCTGTCAGTCACGGGTCATCTAACACTCTCCCCCTTGACCCACCTCTGACCTTTGACCTTACCGTGTGTGTTCGTCAGTCACAAGTCATCTGGAACTCTCCCCGTGACCTGACCTCTGACCTGTGACCGTTCCGTGTGCGCCACCAGCCTGATGGCGACCAACGCCGCACGGTACCGGATGGCAGCCGGAAAGGATATTCGGCTGCTGGAGTTCGGACTGAGGCGCTCCCAGGGACCGGACGGTGGCCTGTCAGCCTCCAAATATGCCTACATGGGTGAGCAGTGAGCATTGAACAGTGGATGTTTGAGTTCCGAGTTCCGACATAGTGTCTGGCTGCCGGCGTCCACCAACATGGGTGAGCGCTGGGCTGCTTGTGTCTAGTGTGGTGAGCGCTGGTTGGTTTAGGTCCGGATATGATAAGCAAATATGGATTTTACCTAACCTTGTCCTTAGATCACCTCATAACGAACAAGAGGCGTATCCTTCCGCGTCAAAATGTGTTCTAGTTAGTTGGTGCGTTGGTGTCAAATTTGGTTCCATCACAGAGTCTGTAGCTCAATTAGGTAAAGGAAGAATCGAAACGGCATCGAAACGGCACGGATCGAAACGGCACGGATGTCGCCATCACCCCGGGATGGGGTATATAGTTTGGACTGACGATGTTTAATATTCATAATTATTCAATAGACGGTCCCATCGTAAGTCATATCGATGGTTTCCATCTCATTTTGTTTCATCATCCGATTGATGCTGTTTCTGTTAGCTGTGTTACTCCTGTCATGGTCTCACCGTATTTCAAATTCATTACGAACCTTCCCAGGCAATCACCCACAGTTTTGATTTTCTCATCTCTTCCGGCTCCTGTCGTCACGCTCAGCCTTAACCCTTCACCCCAGTGTTGAACGCCGTCTCTAATTCCACCCCGCGCGGGATCGTCCCGCGACCTCCAAACGGGGCTATGCTAACGAGTCTGGCCTCTCTGACTGCCCGCGGCCCTAACCGGTACAGTCCCGTCAGCCTTGGCTCGAGCCGCGAGCAGAACTCTGAGCTCCCGGCTCCTTAGGAATTGGAAGTCTTCAGCGATAAACCATGAGAGGGGCTCTGACGGTATGGGTGCTCCTTCGTCCCGGGTCCGTCCGGACATCGGCGTACCCCCGGGACACGGGGAAAGTGGCTGCCCTTGGTAGTGAACCACGCTGTCTTTGGTTAGGTACGCATTCGGAGAGGCTCTATGGGCTGTAAATATGCGCTATGACACCGTTTATTGCGTGGCACTGCACGGGATGTTCCTGCTGGGGGATTCCCGGGACCCGGTGGAACGAATGGCAGTCACGGGACGGTATCTTGTCGTGTTGGCCCGGGGCCGTTGCTAGAGGGTATCCGGCTCTTAGTTGTAAGTTGGCAGAAGGGTGGTATGTAAGAGTCTTGGGCAGGGCATGGTAGGATGGGCACGTCTGCAAACAAATGGTCATCAGTCATGGTTTATTGCTTTTTAATGTATGTCGTGCGAAGTGTCTGTAGTTTCTTCTGGACCGTAATGGCTACTTCGCCACGACTCAACTTCGCAATGATCATAGCTCTATAATTATGTCGTATTGGTTGGTGCGTGCGGAATACAGTTGCGATTTGAAGTCATTGTTGATGGAACTACGTGCTCGTGCTGTTATGCGCACTAGCACACCAAGTAAGAATTAAAATTCCTCTAATGGCAAAGTCGGGACGACACTTGTCCAACGTAAAGACATTATTTGATAATAGCATTTGTCCATCACTGCTCCAGCAGCCGAGTCGAACCATGTGCTACGTGCATCAGTTCTACCAATTTCTTCTAGGGTTATTTGGTAAAAATGTTTATTTCACTGCGGCCCCCGGTGTCCCTCCCTCCCTCCCTGACACGGGCTGTACTCGACAGGCGGGTTCGACGGCACCAGTAACGTGCTGGCCGGCAAGCTCTTCAACATCCCCGTGAATGGCACGCACGCGCACGCGTACGTCACCTCCTTCTCCGAGCTGGAGGAGCTCCAGAACAAGGTAGAGGCCGCCGCCGCTGCCGCTGATGCACTGTCCAGGGGGCGCTGATGTCCCCGACGATCGTGCCTAGATGCTCAAACCCGTGGTCGGGCTAAGCTAAGGCCTAAGTTTTTTCGCTCATTATTGAAGCAAGCCATCAGTGACCTACCTGTACTTGATCACAATACCGGCCTCGGCTTCTTAGTTACAATTAGCTGTTGGCTGTTGGACCGTGCGGACCACTTATGAATTGCCTGACGCGATTTTCAGATGATAGTAGCGGAATCTATCGCCCTCTACTACACTGCCTCGCCTGTTGATCTGCAATAATGCTACCTGAGGTGGTCAGACCCGACCTTCCCTCGAATTTACCCAACACCCACCCCACCAGGCGCCACGAGTTTACTTTTAAATTGTGTGCCATCAACCACGCAACGCGCATGGCACGATCCGTCCATCCCCTCGATCCTTTAACCCGCGCAAAAACCGCGGCGCGTAGCGCCGCGAAATTTGGTATGACTATAACCTCATCAATTTTACACATGGTGTGCAAGTTTGAACCTCCTACCTTTTAAGGTCAGGTCACCAGGTCACTTTGAATGACCCAACCTCAAGTCACTTTTTTGCAACTTTGTCACCGTGCCAGAGCTACAGTAGATGTCGGAGGCTTTTGAAAGTCGCAGGATATTATAAGGTCATTAGTAGCTACAATTTGTATATCTCAGAATTTTGATATCGGTGACCTAAGGTCAGGTCAATTTCGCGACCTCCCCATTATAAGTCAATGGGGGAAAATCAACTCCCTGTTTTTACCACTAAAACGGGTCGGAATGGCCCCATATACCATACATGACTTCATATACGATCAACCTTCACTACCTTGAGGTCTGTTTTGCTGTTGGGCAGCTGTGAGGTCATGTGACGTCATCAAAGGTCACCAAAGGTTTTTGGCCAATAACTCCGTACAGGAACAAGATACAGACGCGTGGATGGTCTCATTGTGTTCAGCTCGTCAAGACGCATCGAATGATATACATGATGACCTCGAGGTCACGTGACCTGAGGTCAACCTTTGACCTTGACCTTTCGAGGTCAACATATATATCATTCGATGCGGACTGACGAGAGGATCACGATGATGCCCTTAGTTTGTTCCTATCTTGACTAATTCGAAAGTTATTCGAGAAAAACTCTCCATATCTAGCGCCGCCATTTTGACTTTTTCGACCCCTGTGACGTCATCTTTGACCTGACCTGAAAATGACCTCAGTAAAAATTGTAGATCTTGGCCGTGCGTATCCGATGCCGTTTACCGCTTGTCGCTATCTTGCTTCGTTCTCGAGATCTCAGGGGGGGCGGTCATCCGCCCCCCCCCCCCCGTCGGTGCGAAGTTGGCGCAGACCCCCGTCGGTGCGCGGGTTAAAGTGTGCGCCATCACCCTCGCAATAAGCATGGCTAGATCCGTCCATCCCCTCGATAAGACGCCGCACGCTGACTCTGAGTATGGTACCGTGCCCCAACTCACCGCCAGCCCTCCCACCCTACCCGCCCGCCCTGCCGACAGTGCCTGATGCCGCGGGACGGCGGAGAGCCAGTGGACGTCCTCGAGCGGGCACTCGCCTGGCGAGAGAAGCTGGCACTCGTGTTTAACGTGCTGCCCGAGGAAGCGTCCGCCGGAGAGCTGGCAGCCTTCCTCAGCTTCGCGATGGCCTATCCGAACGGGTTCCTGGCGCTTATAGACACGTATGAGGTTTACAGGTTCGCTCGCTTTTATTTGTTCTTTTTGGTTGTAGTTGACTGTATGTAGTGTCATCCCTCACTGCGGGTGGGAGGGAGGGTACGAAATGACGGTGATTTTGAAATTATGCGAAAGTTTCTTGCCTTTTGCTAAAAGTTTGTTTCTCAGGGTGATTGTATAGAACAAATGAGTGGTCCTTGGGCGGTATGCTAAATTTAGATGCGTTTTCCTTGGATATTGTATGGTAAAATGGGTGACGTTTCGGCATACATTTTAACAGGGAGGTTGGCCGCTTGCCCTGCTATTTGTGGCTTCAACCTACTGCGCTATTATTTCGGTATGTTTAACTCGCCATCGTTGTAAAAGTAAAAGACCACCGTCTGATACGTTTTCGGAAATTTTCATTGGCGAGCCAAACACCCTTCACGTGCCTGTCCCTCTCCTATTTCGCATCCGCATTTTACTCTGTTTCTCTGTTTCATCCCCGATCCCATGTGTCAATGTCGGCATCTAATCCCCATTTAATCCCCCGCAGTACTCTGTATATCAGTTTTCCGTCGCACAGTCGCTCCGCTCGCCGCACTGCCGTAGCGCTAGCCCTGATCTCTCTGCCGGCTCAGCTGCGTCGTACGCCGGACAGCGGAGAGCCACACTCACCTAACGTCCAGGACACTGGGCTCTAACTAACCTCCGGCCGGCCGCCGGGACGGACGGCGCAGCATGACTAACGCCCCGAATCGCCGCACCGCCGTACCTCCTGGGGAGGGGTACGAGGGGAGGGACACGTGCACGTAGCTGGGCAGCATGAGGTTATGTTGACCCGGTCGTATCCCCCACTGTTGTGGGGCTGCCGTGTGTGCGGTCCTGGAGGTATGAGGTTGGAGGGACAATGGAGAGGTCACTGATAGTTAGAATATGTGGGTTTGAAGACGGTGGCAGTATTTTGTTAGATGGTGTGCGGTATAGGTGCTGCCACTGGGTGTGTGCTGTGTCATTACCACGGCAGCAACACGCTGCTAAGGCTACTGATGCTGTTGCTAAGGTTGGACGTCGGCATCTAAGCACCTTGTGAAATGTGTTTTTTTTTTTGTAAGAGTGGTTGCGGAGCTATTTATCAACTCTGCTGTATGGATAAGCTATACCGGAAGGCCATCAATTATTTGACAAGGAAATACTTCCGTCATGCGTCATGCCGTTTATAAGCTACATAAAGTCTCGGCCACCGTAAAGTCTGCTCAGCTCACCATGTGCCACACTGCAATGTATACTACCCTCATCAGGGTGTAGTAACGACCTGCTCCGCACATCTCCACCCCACCACATCATGGACAGCTCTTAGAACCCCCTCTGTGTTCCTCCCGTGACCCCGCTGACCCCTACCGGTCACCACAGGTCGGGTCTGCTCAACTTCTGCGCCGTGGCGCTGACCCTGAACGACCTCGGCTACCGGGCGCTGGGCATTCGGATCGACAGCGGCGACCTGGCCTACCTGTCCCGCACGGCGCGGGACATGTTCGAGAAAATCAGTCAACAGTGAGTGCGGGGGGCGATAGATGGGACAGGGGCTCAGTCAGCGCTTAGTAGCAAGGAAGGCTGGACCGTTTCTTTGCCACAGTCAGGACCTTACAGTCAGAAAGTTAGCTTGACTTGATGGAAAAGAAGAATTTGCATAGCATTGAATTTTTCATTGACATTCAACGAGTTATGTTACCACGTCAGTTTTTTAGTTTTACAGTTAAAATGTTCTGCAAAAAGCTGTAACGCTCTTTGATTTTCGACTGGCAGTTTGCTGTGGATTTCGGTGTTCCTGTAACGAGTCTCGCGCCGTGACCATTCGAACAGAACTGACGGCCGCGGGTACCCGTCAGGTTCGACATTCCATGGTTCGCCTCCATGACGATCGTAGCCTCCAACGACATCAACGAGGAGACCATCATCTCACTGAACGAACAGGAGCACAGCATCAACTGCTTCGGCATCGGCACCCACCTAGGTCAGAGACGGGTTGCTGCGCTCGAGCTCACAACTGTCATTTATATCGAGATATTGTCCGATTGTTTGCATTTTTCATAAATCGCCAGAACGTGTTTTTAAATATGACAGGTTAAGTAAGATAAACCAACAAGCTTGGTACATTTTCACATGCATACCAAACGATATTGAACATCAAGCAAGAAACTTGTATGTTTCATTCTACATATATCGTGTTTGTTTCGCTAACAATTCTTTCTGCACACACCCTGTTGCTGCGTGCGTCCAACTTCCCGCTGTGTATGCGTATCCCCACAGTAACATGTCAGCGGCAGCCGGCGCTGGGCTGCGTCTACAAACTGGTGGAGATTAACGGCAAGCCGCGGATGAAGCTCAGCCAAGAGGTGGAGAAAGTCAGCATCCCGGGACGCTCGGCCTGCTACCGGCTCTTTGGCAAGGACGGTACGTAGTCGTCACTGGATCGGACACGATTCGGCCGGAGGCAGGCGATATACAGGTACAGGTGGTGGCTCGAAATCTTTGAAGGTTGAGGCCGTTGGCTTTGAGCTCCAGTTTTCTGTGCGATTTATTTTAGCAGTTCTGTATGTCGACTGTCACCCTAAAAAAAAATTAACAAAACGTTCGGCCAGCCACTGGGCAATGAAACTGGTCTATGTGTAAGTTGTAACTAGTTCCCGAGCTGACCTCGACATTTTCTAGGTCATAGATTCAGCACATTGAAGTCTTGCACCATTCTCTCAGTAACATACACCTGAAGCCAGGTAAAGATTTGAAAAAGGTAAGCACACCCCCTTCTTTTATTGTAACATCCTCATGAGAAAGGCACAAATTATATCACCCAGCTCAATGAAAACCACGAGCAAAAAATACAAAGGTAAATAAACGACAACATTGTGAGACAAAAATACATCAGTCGCTTGCGGACCGATGGGCAGTGTGAGACTAGTGCGCTTCCGCGGACATCACGATCGCGCGTTCAAAATTGAACGCGACAACGTTTCAGTGCCGGGCGGCAACGGACGGCTGGTAACTCGTGGATATGTATCCGGTGTATGCCTGTGACCAGTAAGAGCGACCCTACGTCATGACTCCTCGCCACCAAAGAAGAAGCGACACTCGAGCGGGCCGTCATCGGCCAGGTCGGTGCAGTGCAGCGCGTTCCGCACGCGGTCCCTGCCGAACTTGGCTCGCAGCGACTGGGGCCGCAGGAGGGCGGCGATGGCCGGGTCGCGCGGCCCCACCACGCGGCGGAATGCCTCCACGGCGTCAGCGCCCTGACACGGCCAGCGAAGTGCCAGCGCCACGGCCGGCCCGGAGGCCAGCTCGGCGGCCAGCGCCGGGAACTCGGCCACCGCGCCGCGGTACGGCTCCAGGAACTCGCGCGCGCGCGCCTCCGTCAGCCACTGCAGCTCCAGGCCGGTGATCTGGAGGTCGGAGTCGGCTGCCTGCAGCGCTGCCAGCAGCTGGCCCAGCAGACCGTCCCGCACGATGTGCGGCCGCACCACGGCGCACGTGCTCGAGCCGCACAGCTCGACAGAGCTGCGCGGCCGCGGAGCGTCGCGCTCAGCGGGGAAGAAAAAGGGGATCTCACGCGCGGCCGCCTCGGCGCCGTCCGAACCGTGCACGGCGTTGAGCGTTTTGTCGGTGCCGTACTGGGCGCGAATGGAGTCGGGCACGTCCCTCCGCGCCGCCTCTGAGTCTGTGGGCCCCATCATCTGCCGCCAGCGGGCCACTGCGTCTCGTCCGAGCAGCTCGAGCGCCACCACCGGGCCCGAGGTCATGTACTCCACCAGCTTGGGGAAGAAGGCCCGCGACGCGTGCTCAGCGTAGAACGTCTCCGCCTCGGCCCGCGTCAGCCGCACCATCCGCGCCTGCGTCATCTTCAGGCCGTGCAGCGTGATTGAGTTAAGGATGTGGCCCAGATTGGCGACCCCGTCCGGCTTTACGATGGCGAGTGTGCGCTGCGTGCGCTGGCTAAGCAGCCGCCGGGTGACCTCTGTGCCGTAGTCGGTCAGCTCCACCTGGCGACCGAACACGTTCAGCCGCGCGCCCACCCACAGGTCGTCGGCGGCCACCGTGTCCACGGCCGAGCGGCGCAGGAAGACGCGCCGCAGCTTGGGCTCGAACAGCTCCAGCGTGCCGTCGTCCACATAGTAGGAGAGCACAAAGTGGCGCAGCAGCGCGGCGCGCTCGTCGTGCCACGTGGCGTTGAACACCAGCCGGTCGTCGGCCGGTCCCGACATGCCGCCGCCGCCAGATGACGCCTCGGCAGACCTGGAGCAGGGCGCAACGGAGTCGATTAGCCCGAACTGCGACACGGTTATGTATGAGGTCATGGATAACAATGTTATTAATATTAAAACGGATTTATTGTTTTGAAAGCAATGCAGCGTAGCAATTCACATTCGTTCATCAGTACCAATCACCTCGTTCAGTGACAATTTTACTGAACTTCTGGGTAAATTATAATACAAAAGAAAGATATCAACATGTCCCCAATCCACGTCATATCCCTTCTGTATTTTGCTAAGAATAAGGGTTCCATGAAATATAATGTATCACAGCAGAACTCCTTTAATTCCTTGACGGCGCCTCTTGTGTTACGTTTGGTGAAAAGTTTGTCCGAGCTGAAACATAGCTCGAAATTGATATCCCAAAACCACATGCACAGTGCACACAATGCGGTATGTAGGTACAGCTGATGGTTCAGAAGTTGCTTCATGTAAGACGTAACGGAGTTTGGTGTACAATGTTCTAAAACTATTTTCCTGTCCCAAACTAGCGATGGGGAAGATCAAATAAGAAAACGTTATCTTCTTTGTGAGGTACAGCGACAAGACATTGTGAATGGTTAGGTTAATTCTGATTGAATAACTTCGGTAGGTTATTGCACACAATGTGAAACATTTTGACAAAGGGATTCATTATCACACGGGCCTTCGAAACGATTGAGAAGCCCATCTCAACAATAATATCAACATGAATGATGACTGCATGCGGCTTATGTGTGCGTTATTGGAACCCATCACCGAACAGCCTGCGACTGGCGCCCTGTAGCGGGGGTCCGCGCCAACTTACTGTGACGGAGATACTGTGGACTGTGCGGTAGCCTGCTGATGCGGAACGTGCAGCAAGAAGCCCAACAGCAGTGCGGCGGACCTGACAGCGCGTACCATGCCTAGCGAGCCGGCGAGAGATGCCCGACCAGACGCTGCCGACACAGGGCAGCAGCGAAAACCTGATACGGACAGCTGCCTACGAGGCGCAGCGGTTCCCAATGATGTGGAACTCTAGGCTCGGCTCAATGATATTTTAACCAGCGCCGGGCCGGAGGGGGGGGGGGGGGAGTGTTTGAACACCTGTGCTTTTCCGCAGATATCTCAAAAACAGCGGCGCTCCGCGCCACACCTGTTCATGCATCTTTTCCACACATGTTGTGAAAAGTTCAGACCCAGGGCTCTCAAGGTCAGGTCACCAGGTCAGGTCAAGTGACCTCACCTCAGAAAAAAGTTTCAATCCTCGTCATAGCTACACCAACCGATCGATCGCCTTGAAACTTTCAGCGATTAATAAGAGGAACAGTATATACAAAATTTATATCTCGGAATTTTGATATCGGTGACCTAAGGTCAGGTCAATATTGCGACCTCTCCATTGTAAGTCAATGGGAGAAAATTGAAATGCGCCTCTTTTGGACGAATGATGTTCAAAACCCTCTCAAACATCAATTCACAAGTAAACATGACACACTGAATCGGAAAAATGCACCTGTGACCACTCTGTGTGCCCCTGAGGTCATCTCAGGTCATGAACGGTCACCAGCAGTTTTTTTTTTTTGCTATAACTTTTGATAAAGACGTGCTAGGGCGATGAAAACACGTCAGATGTATTCAGCTCGACGATACGGATCGACTGCTATGCAACATGACCCTTTCCGGTCAGGTCATGACCTTGACCTGAGGTCAAATTTTCAAGATGACCTTTCAAGGTCAACAAATAGTTCATTCGACGCGTCTCGACGAGAGGAACACGATGCTGTCTAAAGTAATGTCGTCGTAGCTCTCTTGAGTCAAAAGTTATTGACGAAAAATCATTTTCGTGAAAACTGCTATTTTTACAATTTTTGACCTCTGGAGACTAAACCGTTGACCTGAGGTCAAATCTGAGAACATAACTCAGAAAGGTTTGTAAAAAGGCTATCGAATGCGCTTTTCCGCGGCGCTGTAGCTCTATTGGTTCCCGAGATAGCCGTTGGCAGTTTCCAAATCTGTTGAAATGGACTACATTTGACCTTTGATGACCTATGGCGACCTGACCTTGGACCTGACCCAAAAAATGACCCAAGTGTTTCAGTCATTATTTTTGACGCTTTTTCGAATGCCGCTTACCGCGTGTCGCTACGTGGCCCAGGAGCCGAGTTAGACGGGGGGAGGTGTTCAGACCCCCCCCCCCCCGGCCCGGCGCGGAAGTCGCGGAGCACCGGCCCGGCGCGGGTTAAAGGGACCCTCCCACCATAGGCGGCGGAACGGGGGGGGCACCGGGGCACCGTGCCCCCCCTTGAATTCTGCAAGGGGGGCACCAATAGCAAGGTGCCCCCCCTTAAATTTGATGTATTAGTACCATGGGCGGATTCGGGAAAACTCTAAGGGGAGGTTCATGAATCGAAGTGGTGCCCCTACCTATGCCCAAAATTAAAACCTCAACGGATTTCGGCCACTCAATTTTGGTGGTGCCCTATTTTCAGTTTTTTTTCTTTATTTTTGGTTAGTCATGTGATGACTGGTGCCCCTGCTAAGCCGCTGGTGCCCCTGGAAAGACTGTGGTACCTACCTACCTTGCCCCCTGACAAGCCTACGGTGGGCCCTGACATGACTTAGGTGCCCATGGGCCCTGACAGGCCCGTGGTGCCCCTGACAGGCCTGTGGTGTCCTTGCTAGGCCTGTGGTGTCCCTGGGCCTTGGCAGGTTTGTGGTGCCCCTGTTAGAACGCAGGTGCCCTTGACAGGTTTGTGGTGCCTCTGACAATCCTAAATTGCCAACGACAGGCTTGTGGTGCCCTTGACAGGCCTCTGGTGCCCCTGGCAGGTCTGTGGTGCCCCTGGAAGACCTGTAGTGCTTTTGCTAGGCCGATGGTGCTCCTGACAGACCTGTGGTGCCACTGACAGGCCCGTGGTGCCCCTGCTAGGCCTTTGGCACCCCTGGCGGGCCTGTGGTGCCCCTGTCGGCTGTCAGGCCTGTGGTGCTCCTGGCAGGCATGTGGTGACCCCAGGCCCTAAGTCATGACCCATGTGACCTCCACCCTGGGATTCGCCACTGATTAGTACTGCGATGGCTTCTTGGGAATTATACATGTAGGATAAATGGAATTTATCAAACGACAATAAGGAAGAGACAAACATGAAACACATAGGTACTTGAGGATCAGCTTAAAGTTAACCACACATCGGGCAGGGGTGTAATTTTCCTAAAATGATTGTGGGTGCCCAGCTGTAGGGGCGCCCGGCGCCAGGCCGTTTTGGGGCGCGATAGATATTCTTTATGTGGGAGCCTAAATTAACACCGAATTTGATAACATTGCTAGCCGAATGGCGCTTCAAGTGACGTGTCTGACTAAGCAAATACACGCTTAAAAGTGGAAACTGACCGGAAGGACGTAAAAAATATGTAGAGAGGCGCCATCCAGTAGGAGGGGCACCAAATGTGGAGGCGCCAGACGGTTACGACTTACGAGGGCGCCGTGAGACGAAAGGGCGCCATTCTCTTAGGAGGGCGCCGAGTGATTGAAAACGCTATGTGGTCCAGGGGCGCTAAGAGGCCAGAAGGGCGCCGCACAGTCAGTAGTGCTACGTTGGTGGGGACGTGGGGGCGCCAGATGGTTACGTGGGCGCCTTGAGATCATGAAAAGGGCGCCATTCTCGTAAAAGGGTGCCGAGTGATTGAAAACGCTATATGTGGTTCAGGGGCGCTGAGAGGCCAGAAGGGCGCCGAATAGTCGAGGGATGCACGGTGAACAGAGACCTAAGGACGCGAGACGGTCAGGAGGGCGCCGTTAGACCATGAGAATGGCGCGGTGCTGTCAAAAGTGCGCCATTCTCCCAGAAGGGCGCCGAGTGATTAAAAACGCTATCCATGAACGCGAGACGGTCAGGAGGACGCCGTTAGAGCATGCGAAGGGCACCGTGCTCTCGAAAGGACGCTTGCAGCCTTGTAAAAGACTTGTGGGTGCTTTTTCATCATTGTGGGGGCATAATTCAGGATTGTGGGTGCATATGCCCCCACAAAGAGATATAAAATTAGGTACAACCCTGCATACGGGGGTGAACTGCCATTTTCGTTTAGTAAAAAAAAAAAAAAATCATCGTGTCAGGGCTGTGACGAAAAATAAGTGGCCTAAATCCGATGAGAAAACAGGATTTGGGGGTACCCTAGGTTTGGCTCCTTGAGCCATGGTGCCCCCCCTTGTCTCAAATCGTTCCGCCGCCTATGCCTCCCACCTTCAAAAAAAATAATGAATTGGCATGAAAGTGATGTCCCTTGGTTCAGAAAGAGCGAAAACGAATATCTACCAAATTTCACCGAAAAATATTCACCAGTTTTCAAGATATTAGGCTTTTACTTTTGTTTACTTTTTGGGATCTCCCTGTTACTAGCGACTTTATTTGGAAGCAATAATTTGGCAGCCTTAAAATGCGGCAGACGTTGCGCGCAAAGCAGCGTATACCACCACGTGTTAACGATGGTTTTAGTCTAAGATTTAAAAATCGTTAGATCTCCGCTGACGTCACAAATTCTAAGGGGGCATACCAATGCATTAGCCCCTTAGAATCCGAAAACTGCAAGTTTGAAATTCCATATCTTCGAATTAAAGCATTTCTCGATGTTTTGAGTGCCCAAACCGGTATTTGCAGGCCATGGCCACCAATTTGGCTATCTCAACTCAAAACTAATGCTAAGGTGGGAGGGTCCCTTTAAGGGTGATGACAGCATAAATTGCCCAAATTTCTTCGTGTAATTCTGCCAGTCTCGTCAAAACAGTGATCAGGGATACAAATGTTACATGTGTGGAAATCTGTAGTCCTTATCAATAAGATGATGATACTAAAGCATAAGTGAAAAGATGAAATATTTTGAATTATCTGATCAGTGACTCTACCATATTCATTATAGCCTAACAAACATGATAGATAATAATTCATCAATACTTAACCAATATAATTGATAAATGCATGATATACATTATACATGATAAAAATCATGTTATTGGTGATGTGAATTGCCAGTGGCCTGCAAAGTGGTGCTCAAAATGAACCGTTTTGTTTCAAGTGCAAGAAGAAGTGAAATACAGGAACACTGCTCCATGATTATTGGAAAACAGTTTGAGTAGTCAAGTTTAATTTTTATAGAGCTTTGTCAATTCCATTAAGATGCACCCAAATTAAAATATGGGAGTGGATGACTTGTTTTCAGATGTTCAAAGGGCTGCTTACATAAAAGTAGGTAAATGTTTCTGATGGCTCTTACCCTGTGATTGATTGGACCATATGAATTTTATAAATAAGTCATGACCAACACCCAATATATCATGACCAGCACATCTTTGCAATTAAAGTGAACATGTAACAGATGTTTATGCATTCACACATTCTTTGACATGATTTTTCAATTCGGAAATGCAATGTTATCTTAACTAGGTAATATTGGTGTGCAATCAAAAATGCATAGCTTGTAGGTACCTGCTGTTCATTGATGCAACAACAAAATTGCTTGAATGAAGCAAAACCATGCAATTGGTTAGTTCCTTTTGGTGTCCTCTTTTTAGTTTCCAGATATTTCCTTGTGTTTTTATCAGTTTACTATGTACTGTAACCATGCATCATGGTAGGCGTGGCTGATGTCTTGTTCGCAAGCCAAAGCCTTAAATTTATTTGTGCATCTATGGCCTGTTTCACAGCAAGTTACTAGCAGCTGGTAGCAGCTTCTTAGTGATATTGGTTTCTCTGGAAACATCAACAAGCTAGTTTATTTCAGTTAATTCTGATAACAATAAATAACGTTCACTGTTAAAAATGAGATCGGAAGGCAATAGGCATACAACTTAAAATGGATAATCCCACTCACACAAAACTTAAAACTTGAACAATCCTACCCACCAATTTTCCCCCTTCGGTATGCTGAGTACCTATTCAAACTGTTGCAATTTAGCAGAGAACCTAACAACGGTGTCCTGAAATGTTGTAACTATTTGGATTTTCATTACAATTAGGTACCTACCTACAAAACTGAATTGAGATATTCGGATTCCTTACCTACTTTTTGCTATATGTTGGTTGTTTTGCACTCTATAAACGTATGAGATACAAAACAATGCCTTAATAATGTACTTAATTCATTATGTATTGACTAGAAAATAAATTCCTGTATACCCTGTCTGATATAAATAAACATCAAAACGGCCGGTCGGTTTGATATACCAATGCTACAAATGTGGCGCAACTGCGTCAAAAGTCTTTTTACGCTAAAACGCAGCCAATACTACAAAAACGCAGCTGTATAATCATAGGAATGTATCACTGAAAAAATAAACGTTTATTTATTAATCTTGTCTCATTAATATTGTATGAAAATTGTAAAAAAAAAACATGTGCCATCTAAAAATACAGTACTGTTTTTTTTTTCAAAGCAAGCCACAAGGCGGAAGTTGACGCATTAGGCATAGGTAGGGGAGAGCGGGGAGAGTTGTATCATGTCCAAGTTGTATCAGGGCGAATTGTGCCAAACTTATCCAATGGATGGCGCTCGCGACACGACCAGCCGACGAGGTTTTCCGGGCGCCATCTTTCCCTGTTCTGTCTTGTGGCTGAGTGGACGCGTCTCGAGGTGAGAGCCGATTTTATATTTTTTTAATGTCATTCTAAAAGATAAGTTGCAAGAAAATGTGTATTCTGGGCATTTAGATGTGCACGAATTTGAAAGATCTCCGTAGCGGTGGTGAGGGTAGGTTCTAAGGCTGCGTGAGTGAAAACGGATTTCTCCAGCTGTCCGCTGTTTTTTGAGCACGAGGATGTTTTTTTCCAAGATGGCGGCTAGGTACATGTTGTATCAGAGCCGGGTGGGGTATGTTGTAACATGTATGTATGTATGTATGTATGGGTATGTTGCTTTTGATCGCGAAAGCTAAGCCCTGGCTCGCGTTTGTAGGTAGCTAGTCAATGCTCGTTCCATTTCGGCACAATGTGTTAGCTTCTTTGCTCTTAACGGGCCACTTTTGCGTCTAGTCTGTTGATGTTTCGTTCGGATTGCATTGACCTAAGTTTGGTCTAATAAAGTGAAGCCTTTGAGCATACCTGTACATTGTATTAACCCCATTTAATGTTGTTGTTATGTTCAAAACCAGTAGCAAGCACACTCCCTGAAACGTGAAATAGTGATACAAATTACCCCACCATGTGATACAACTCACCCAAGCCATGGGGCAAGTTGTACCAAAAACATTGTTCTATTCGGGAGACCGTAGAAGAAAAACTGGTAGAGGTAGCGGAAAAGTTACTTTGCACAAAAAAGCAGAAGAATCAAGGAAGGGGACAGTATGGAAATAATGAGTTTATCACGGATAGTTACGAGGTTATGGGTCTCGGAGTAAAAACTGATACAACCCACCCCACTCTCCCCTATCATATATGGAGATGGCACCATCTTAGGACGGTTGGCACGGTGTAACGAGAGTCTGTGATGATATATACATCCTGCTTGGATCTACGATGTCTGTGGCCAGCAACTTGGCATTATCGCCTGCAAATTATGGAGCAGGGTCCTGAGAAATCAAGAATACTAAGTGGCGTGGGGATAGAGAAAATGATTTGCTGGAATGGTGCGTGACTGATTGTAAAACCGACCCGTCACTGGTTTATAGGTACTATGTGACCGATTAAACCAATGTTAAGTACCAATGTATTGCAAAATGAATGCAAATTAGCCATTCGGTTGCTGACTAGATGGTATGCGATTCGATGCCTTTTTAGGCTAGCTAACATTCACAGTAGCGCTTACCGATGGTCTATGAAAGTCATGCCGGGTATGGTGGTGTCCTTTATGCCGGCGTCCTCCCTATTGACCAGCTGACGGTCACGTCCGTCCCTCCCTTGTCCTTTCGGCAGGCTCGGCACTGATCGACCTGATGACGCGGTTCGGCGAGCCGTCGCCTGAGGCGTCCAGCACGCAGAAGACGCTCTGTCGTCACCCGTTCCAGGAGAAGCTGCGAACCTACGTGAGCCCGTCCAAGGTGGTGAATCTACACCGGGTGAGTGTCGACCCCAGAGGTCGCGGGACCATCAGTTTATATTAGGTCGGAGGTGAGAACCTGTCCTGGGTATCATAAGTCACATGTATTAGGCTCGAGAAGTCAGTGGGATAACTGTGAGTCGATATATGACATGTTGATTACGCAGACTTAGAGACATGTTAGTGTGGAGAGCAAATAGATATTATAGGATTAAATTGGACTTACTCCACAAGAGAATCGTTTTCGGTCGGAGCTTTCGACATGTATTACATGTCCTCTTCAGCGAAGGTCGGTAATCGGGGCGAAAATAAAACGTTCGGGTCGAATCGAATCGCACAAGATGTCGGTGAGCTGCGCAGAGTTATTTAGGCCGCTTGAATTATAAAATAAGCAAGACTGAAACACGTGACGACAATAAGAGTACACTCAATGAGAAAGTCTACCAAAAAACAAGAACGCATACCCCACTTATAAAATCCTAAAAAATATAGAAATCAATACATACTATCTCGGTACAGAAATATAAAACGTTATACATACCTATAAATACCACAAAAGTTAAAAACTACAAAGATGCTAAAGCAGGTGGGGTACAAAAGTGTAAAGAGATCAATATAAAAAACACTATCACACGATATAAATGTTTAAAACACTATAAAACTACTGGCAACCACGACGAATTATTGGCAGCCAGCGGTCTTGCAGCAGCGCACCTGAGTTTCTGTTCACATTCGCATCATTAGGCGACACCAAGACGGCCTCCCGCCGTCCCACAGTCCGGATGTACGCCGACTCGGAGCAGCTGCGACTGCTGCTCGAGTCGGCGTACATCCGGACTGTGGGACGGCGGGAGGCCGTCTTGGTGTCGCCTAATGATGCGAATGTGAACAGAAACTCAGGTGCGCTGCTGCAAGACCGCTGGCTGCCAATAATTCGTCGTGGTTGCCAGTAGTTTTATAGTGTTTTAAACATTTATATCGTGTGATAGTGTTTTTTATATTGATCTCTTTACACTTTTGTACCCCACCTGCTTTAGCATCTTTGTAGTTTTTAACTTTTGTGGTATTTATAGGTATGTATAACGTTTTATATTTCTGTACCGAGATAGTATGTATTGATTTCTATATTTTTTAGGATTTTATTAGTGTGGTATGCGTTCTTGTTTTTTGGTAGACTTTCTCATTGAGTGTACTCTTATTGTCGTCACGTGTTTCAGTCTTGCTTATTTTATAATTCAAGCGGCCTAAATAACTCTGCGCAGCTCACCGACATCTTGTGCGATTCGATTCGACCCGAACGTTTTATTTTCGCCCCGATTACCGACCTTCGCTGAAGAGGACATGTAATACATGTCGAAAGCTCCGACCGAAAACGATTCTCTTGTGGAGTAAGTCCAATTTAATCCTATAATATGTTGATTACGATTACCCAAACTCACACCAGAGCAAGCAATACACCATGTCAACTGGGCTCGTGATGGCCACCTGTGGAGAGTCCCAGTCTCAATACAAATACAAACACAAAGACACAAACTGATTGCGAACGAAGTTAACCTTCCCTTTAGGGTGCCGCTCGCCGGCTCTCCCATGCTGCCCTGTGTGCCGTTATCGGCAGCAGCCGGTGGGCCATTCCCGGTCTATTTTGGCCGTCCCCCTGTCGCGCGCTGTGGTCTAGCGGCATTTTAGGGCTACTTAGGGCCGCTGGCACGCAAATCAGATCATAACCGGCCGTGCTATGGCGGTGACCCGTGGCCGCGTCAAGGCTGCGACGCAGCTGGGCTGAGCTCGGAAACCATAGGACCGGCGGGACTTCACCTGAGCTCGCCTCTGGGACACCGCCACCACTGGAATTCAAAAGGAAGCTTTGGTGGATATTGCTTTCACACTTCGGAGTCATATTGACCGTCAATATTGAGGTTGTGGATCAGACTGAGTGCTAATTTCCAGACGGACGAATTGGCAGTTTGATGCGCATTTTGTGTGGGCTGACGTCCTGTGTGCTGTAATACTACATATCTCACAGCTCATCTTGTTCCTGCCATTGGTATTGTAAAATATGTCAAAATAAAAACGCCTCCAATCAGCCGCTGCGCCGGTTTACTGTTAGTTTTCCTCCCATACTGGATACAATGTTGCTGCGACGTAATTTTTCAGGTCGCACGCTGACATGGTGATAAAGTTAAATCCGATTCTGTTCTTAGATGGCCGAGTGCAATACGGGTGTGTTTTTACATAGCTGAGAGCACATATATCGTTCGGTAGATCGATTGTCAACGCATGAATGCACGCATTTTCAGTTCAATGCGTCGATAATATAATAATAATAGATTATGCTCGGGAATTCATATTTTCCGTCACCGGTCGCCGTTTTCATGTGATAGCATATCTGTTGGCCGATATACATGTATGCATGACGTATGTATGACGTATGACGTTACATGTTTAATCTCACATACAAAACATTTGTTCGCCCTCACATTGAATTATGTCCCCAAGTGTGGTCTCCATATAAGAAATATAATATCAAGAAGATTGAAACAGTTCAAAGGGCAGCTACAAGAGGCAGCTACTGCAAGGGTTATCCAGAGCGGCTGAGACAGCTTAAGCTTACCACCCTAGAAGAGAGAAGAGAACGGGGAGACTTACTTGAGACCCACAAAATCCTCCATCAGCTCCACGAGTGTGACCTCACCCAATTATTTAACGTTAGAAACCGAACAGAGCGAGATTACCTCAAACTGTACAAGCCCCACCACTGGACGTTGAAGAGAGGAAGATTTTTCTCACAAAGAGTTATAAATAAATGGAATTTGTTAAGTTCTCACACCAAGATGGCAAAAACATCTAACCAATTTAAGTCAAGATACGACAAACATCGGGCAGACAGACAAGACTGACCCAAGAGAAATCAAATTGATGTAGAAAAACGCGTGATTCAAAAAAGAAATGGGCTACAACATAGACCTCGACGTCTTCTTCCAGAGCCCAAACAACCTTGATTCTTGATTCTTGATTATATGTACAATTTACCTCATAGTCTATTACATAATCCAGATAGATCGTTCTCATTTGAACAATGCTGCTAACCAGTGTTCTCTGGCTCTGTCTCAACTCATTGGAACCTTCTCGATGGGTTCCCGTCTCGGAACAATCGCGAGTGGAACGTTCACCAAATAGGCTGAAGTAGTCCGCCGCCTCCCGGCCGGGCCTGGGGCGGCGCTGCGGGACCCGATCGTTTGGACCCGGCCCGTCACATCCCCGGCCCGCCCGCTGCGGTGGTCCGACGACCACCAGGAATGCTTTGTGCTCTGGTTACAATCACATGTCGCCACTAGAGGCGGGCGGCTCGCGCCGGATATCGTAATGGGAGAAGGCGGGGTCGGGTTGAGCGAATACCGGTCGGAACGGGATGCTAGATGTAGGATTTGATCAGTCCAAGTGATGTTCGTCATTGAGGAGATGGTGCTTTGACGCATTCAATTCACGTTGTGGTGGGATGGGGTGCTCAGAAAAAAAAAACTGACCGCCGGATTTCCTAATAGCTGCCCAAGAATAGGTATAGACGGTTGGTCTACTTACCGTTTTCACCTCCTTGGATTAGCACGAACGGCATTGACCATACCAGTCCTGTGTTTCTACTTGGAAGCTGTTTGAGAAAGTGATAGATTAACGGTAAGCTTTAAATGGAGTTTTAGTAAGCTTTAAATGGAGCTTTAGTGCTGGAAGGACTGCAAATGGTCAATCGTCCCTGCATGCTCTTCACCAACTCGTCTTAATAGTTCCGAGCCATAGGTGTTTCATGTCTGTTTATATGGGGTAAGGCTAATCATACTCATTTTTGTTTTTCATTTATCACTTCCATTTTGTATATGTTTCATCACATCGCTGGTACATATGTTCGCGGTGTTGATACAGGAGATGCTGGTTTGTATACAGCTGCTATGTGTGGCGTGCGACTCGCCAATGTCTGACGGTGGCCGCCGCCGGTTCGCCCCCAGACCTACTGGAAGGACAACAAGGTGCAGCTGCCGCTGCCGTCGCTGTTCGAGATTAGACAGAGGGTCCAGGCGTCACTCATGTCCCTGCGAAAGGACATCAAACGCAATCTCAACCCCACGCCCTACAAGGTAACCGTCCATCTCTGCCTCTTCCACGAGTATTTAGCTCCTCCGTGACTCTTTATTTGGACAGGTTGATCTATTTCGCATGGCGATGCCTGCCAAAAAAATGTCAACCATGCTAAATGTTAATCATGGAAATTAAGTCATTGGGTGCTACTTCTGTGAGAGTGAATGTGACATTCAATCATAGGTCAATTTTATCAGTATTTGCTAGCAAAATATTGCCACTGGATGTACTGTTTATTGAATGGCGTCTCGACGTGCACGTCTGTATCTTATCACCGATCCGAACCCGTATGCAAGTAGTCTGACTACTTAGCGCCTGTTCGGCATTATATGTTTGCCAGACGAGGTGACATCTCAGTAGTTTGAGCGGTCCCAGACTACGTGTTTGTCGTCGTATCGCGTAATGCGGGTAAATGAGCTCCTGGCACCGTGAAAGTGGCACTTTATGAGCTTTGGTGGAACACCGTATTGCTCACAGTTGCGTGTTGTTTTGTTATGAGACGCCACGATAACAATTGTCCTCTGAATGCATGGGCCTCGGTTGCCCTTACCTCTGATTGATATAATGCAAGATCGTGGTTCATTGACAGCAAGTAACGTTGGACCAGCGTTTAGCTGAGTACGGCTATTTTTGGCGATCACATTTCGGAAGCGGAGCCTCTGATGTCAAGCATTTCGCTGCTCAAAGCGGCGCTGGGAAGGGGTTCACATTTCACAATATGGCGTTACTTCTAAATTGCGTCTAATTTAGGAGGATGGAGGGCCGCTAGTATGCTCAGTTACGATCCTACCAGCCTATTATGCGGACGGCTATCTCTTTGATCTCTTTCCCCGTGTCATAGCTAGCATTTCTCTTGTATTACAAAGGCTAAGATCACCTTTGACAACGCTCTGCATCTGTTATATCGCTACTGTGGCTTACGCATCTACTGTCTATTTCTCGGTACTTCTTCAGCGCTAGTTGTAATCATTTCGTAGACTGCAGATCTGTACTGATTCGTATATCGTCTTGTAGTATCTGTGTGCTTGGCTCCTGGTATGTGGACATTTAACTCACATTACTATGCAGTGTGTTCGGCGCCCTGAATGCCTGTCGTTGTGACGCTCTTGTCTTTGTGTCACTCTTCTCGTCTTTCCTTCTTATACACTATGTATATTTGTATTCGTATCCCTCGTCACCCTGGTGGCCTATGGGAATCTTTCCCTGTTTCCGTGTTTCTTTGTCGAATGCAGTGTCCGTCAATATGCTCTGCTGCCCCATCATTTACGGACCTGTACGCTCACCTCTCGTATGCGGTATGTGCGCACACCTGTACGCCCCGTTCGCTGACTGTCGGCCGCGTTCCCAGGTCGGTGTGTCGGTGGAGCTGTACAAGTTTTTACACGACCTGTGGCTGGAGCACGCACCAATCGGAGAGCTGGTTTGAGCGCCGGCTCCGCGGAGCTGGTCGGACCGGACCGAAGGCGGTCGGGGTGACCCCCGGCGTCAGCGAATGCGACCGAAACGCACAGCAATGCAGTGGATGCCGGGCCCAAGGCTGGCGGTAGCGTGGAGTGTAAGATGAATGATGATGTACGGCTGTTTGGTGACGGCATTGCCACTGGCAGTGATGGTTGCTGGAGAGTCATGTTGACTGTTAAATGATTGCGGTGTGCGTTCGTGTGCCAGTAATAGTTCGAAGCTCAGAACAATGAGTTACTCATTAACGCCAGTAGATGTGTGAGCTGTGTGGAGTCGGCTCCAGAGCCGATGGCCAGATTCCGGCGGCGGTCTAGCGACTGGAAAGGACGTGGAGCCTCTGTGAGAGGCTGGCCTGGGATCGGTCGCAGACTCAGAGCTGCAGCAGTGGAGCCACCGCCCTGTCCGGCTCTGAGGGACGTGCAATCGGTTGTAGCTGCCATTGGAGGACATATATCTGGGAGTGCGGTGGTAGAGTTGGACGCAGTTTGAGGCAGGGTACTCGGACGTACTGGCCTGGGGTCATTCCTGGAGTCTGCGGATGGGCGGAGCACTGAATGGTGACTGCCCTGAATGTTGGATTTGTCGGTTTTGCCAAATTGGTTCCATGCCCGCTGGTCGCAGTGAAGGCGGTTAATATTTGTACGTTACAGACGAGTGGCGTAGCAATGCAATGTCCCTAAGATATATGTGCTGATCAGGCCGGTACGTGTAGAACGATGCAAAGCTGCTGTACACGTAGATTATTACAATGCACGATATTACGATATGCAGGTATCGTAGAAATATGGCGGTGGCGTCTCACTCCCATTCCCAGTATAGTGTTAAAAACTATAATTATCGCAACTATGGTGCCGTCAAACTGTTGAGCGGGGCTATGCGAGCGCCATCAGTGCGTAGTGTGCCATGTCGTTTGAATATCTCTAAGTCCCTGCCAAGTGTCTGCTTTCACTCTTTGCGCTGTGTGCGATGTTCTGGTTTGATGATAAGCTGCACGCCTAATTCGCTCAGTCAAAAAGTGCTCGCACTTCGCCTATCCGGCTGACTATTCGACGTTTCCTGTCGCGCAAATGCTTGTAGTCGTTAGAGATGGTATTAGAAAACAAATAAACAAGTATATTGCTGCCGTATCTTTTCATAATTTGGGTTGTGATTTGTGCGATGGCCGAAAAATTCGGCACTATATAATTAGTTATAAGCGTGTGGCGACTCGCTGGTAAGGGCTATTTTGTCCAAACCCTCGAATTCCCTGAAGAACAATGATGAAAGTGGCGCCTCCTAGTCCTGTGATTATCATCAAATAACAGCGATGCGTTTCTTCCCATATTAACGTTTTCCATCCCTAATTTTATTTTCAGAAAAGGGCCTGAAAATCCAGCGCTTAGCTAAAAAAAAAATCTTCCAACTGACTTTGAATTCCTGGTTTTGACAACATCCATATGTTTTCATTAATATGTTCAAATGTCAGCACTTATTTGATTGAGTGCAATGTCTATTGTCCTGTGTCCATGAAACTAAATTTCGGCAAAAAGACACTGCAAACCCTGTGAGCCAATAAGTTTGATTACCGATGGTAGTGGTCATGGTTTCTGACATGGACAATTGGCATCCGCCCCATATCCAAGGTGAACGCTTTCGAACCCGTCCAATTGTCTCCCGTGGACGAGTTTTTATCAGTGTCTCAACAGGTAACTGTCGTGACGTGTGTGGGTGAAGTGAACTCCGAGGGGCTGAGGTCAAGTGAACTGGCGGTGAGTCGGTGTTTTGTCGCTCTGAGAGCGTTCAAATCATGTCACTGGGAGAAAAACTGTGGATAATTTGGTCCATTCACGGGAACGAAAAGGTCGCGACTCATCACTAGTTGCATCCATGTTCGCTTATGTGGTCCGCATCCGTCTCTGTAAATCTGACGCTGCCTGATTGTTCGCACGTAATAGGGCACGGATACCAATATGAGCACTTTCAATACGTAACCATCTCTTGAGGTGCTTAGAACAAAATAAGCATACTTTCTTGTTTTGGTGCACCGTTAGATAACCGCACAGGTAGGCATATTAATTTTATGTGTGCTAGTAACAAACTCACGTAATTCAGCTGAGGCAACTGTTATAAACAACGAATGTATCTTTCCAGTTGGGGCTCATTTTACCCAGGTCAATAAGCGATTGTTCGGGTGAGCATTGGTCTAAAAGATATCGTAGAAAAACGAGGGGGGTTTCTGTTGAACGTCCCCAGACATGCGGGAGGTGCGGGAGCGGCCGAAGTTGTGCGAAGTTGTGCGAGAGAAGTAGGTACAATGCCTTTATTCAGCTGTTGACGCCAAAATATAATCTGTCGCTACTGAAATCGATATATGCCTACACAAAACGCGCCGTTTAGAATAAGAATCTCGAACTGCTCATAACTGCGTCAATTTCATTGTGACATCCCTCAGAGGACGGGATGTCAGAGGCGACGCCAGGTAGGTAGGAGCGGGGCGCGGCAGCGTTGGCGGAGGTGGCGTCGGCGACCCGCCCGCTCAGTTGGCCGTCGCTCGCCGTGCGGTGGGCCGCGCTCCTCCGACGCCGCTGATCCAGAGAAGACGGTGATCGTGCGCTGCGCCGCAACTTTCGAGAGGTGCCTGTGTGAGGGTGCTGGTCTGTGGAGGTCTTGGAGCACACCTGCGGCAGCTAAGGAGCACGGGCAGGTAGGTAATGGGATACCGTGCTGAAGGGGGACCATCTCAGCACCTAAATCGGGCTTTCTGTCAGTTCCAGCTCACAGCGCGTATAGGATATAACGACACAACAGCAAACTAATGTCGTAAGAGAAATGGGCACTACATGATAATGGAATTTTAAATTGACGTAGTCACACTCCACACAATTGATTCGCTGGGCCACGTAACTTTTCCAGGTATGGCACTCAAATCACGTAAACTTGGGATGTTTGGCGCCTGCCTAATATTTGTCTCTGTCTCCGATTGTGATTGCGGCCCTCAGACGATATCTCCGCGAGATGCGACGGCGGGGCGCATTATCCACAACGATTCTGCACGGGCAATCGTTCCGTCGTTGAAGACTTTATGCGATAAACCCGTGAAATTTATTTTAACATGCATTGCGTACATTTTCAAATAATCAATGCACTGTTATTTTCCCACTAATGTTGGTTGGAAATGTCGATGGGGCATTTGAAACATTTAGCAATATTTGAAAATAATGTTTTATCGGCCGCACAATATCACATCATTTAGGTAGATAAATGAAAAAGCACACGAAAACGTCTCACGAAAACTCAAGCCGTGCTCTCTTAGGGCTAATCCCCACTCCCCCCCCCCCCCCCCAAAAAAACGCCTATTTTAAACTTCGTTTTCAATTTTGTCCAAAGGCTCACCATCATATAGGCATATGACTGGTTTCGGTAAACGCTTAGGAGTTACTTTTCTGAAAAGGGAAAAATGGTTTGCGCTTTGAACAGGAGACATTTTCTTCACTGTAGAAGAAACTACCGGGCAATGGGAATCGACGTCCAATTGACGTTCCAAGGGAGGAATGTGCGATTAGTGTATCTGTTCGACGTTCGTTCTCTGCTAAAAACACAGCTAGGTAATCAATCAAATGCATTTTTGATGCATTTGAAATACCTATCAAGTAGTAAGTACGCATCTATGTATTTTTATTGCTTACATCAATTGGATAGGTACAGGTATGCAAATGTTTCACGAACTAGTTAACGTATGAACTGAATTTTGTTTGTCCGGCATACCTGTCATCCAGTGCACCCTTATAAATTTACCAGCCTAAAGGCTGAAAATCTTAGCCTGACAGTGGGGACATTTAATTGATGTTCGGGGTCAGGGGCGGCGGATTCGGGGGGGCAGGGGGGGCAGCTGCCCCCCTGGCAAACTCGTGGGGGGGCAAAAGTATCTTTTTGCCCCCCCATAATTTGTGACAAAGTTTAGACAAGAAACCACATAGCTGATTATTCTGTTCGATCATCTGAAGATGTAACCAGATGCCCATATACTTTATCATACGTTGCCTTTCTTAAATGGCAAACGTTCGCGTTCAACTGAAGTTTCCTCTCTTCAACCTAGTTTTGGAGGCATTATAAGCGTCAACGTGACGCAGCGGCAGCCCAGGCCTTCAGTGACCGCTTACAGGGGCGACGGATACGGGGTGGCAGAGGAGGCACCGTCCCCTAAGAAACTTTTGGAGGAGGGGTAAACGTATATTCTTGCCCCTCCATAATTTGTGCCCTAAACATGAGGAAAATTTTCATAGCCTATTGCATATTTTCTATTGCATGTGGTAATTTTCATAACCATATTGCAGCTTTGCGCTCCTACAGTTTGTCCAACGGTGCCTTTTGAATATGTGTAAATGCTAACCATTTCCGCTTTATATCATTTTTTGTCTTTTCAGATTCGATTTAAATATATTTTAAGTGTGCGAGAGACGCAACTCATACCTTCAGTGGTCGTTTGCCGCTATTTTGTACCTACATAAATGCCAAATCGCAAGCGAGCGGAGACGGAAGGGCTAGCCATTCGCTTGCGGGTAGTTAGGACTGATGAGCGCGCATAATAAGCCACTCCCCTGATTTTTTCGAGCGCAACAGTTTCCAGCGCATAAAATGGTAAACGCCGAGGTCGTACACATTGACCACATTGACCAATGCACGGTATGGTATGACACCCAAAGGCCAGTCATCAGAGATCTGCTTTGGGCATTCGGAGGCTTGTGTGGGGCCAGTGTAAAAACTGGATGTTCACAGTTCAATATCCGCTTTATTTCAGTTTTCACCATTAAAAAAGTAAAAATTAATGTTGGAAACTTTTGAGGGTTAGGGCACTAATCATTAGTGGGCCCCCCTCTGTCGTAAGGCTGGCTAAGAGCATCAAACACGAACAGTAGCGGCGGAACACCTTCAATTAAGGGGGGGGGGGGCACTGCCGACTTTTGGTCCCATTCTTTCCATGCAACGCCCATAGGGCTAACGTTAAAATGCCAAAATCAAAAGGAGGGTGCACGGTGCCCCGGTGCCCTCCCCGTTCCGCCGCCCATGAACACGAAAGCAAAATCTAAGGCATTTTGGGAAAAAATGAGTATGCCCCGCAGCGTCCGATAACTACCACCTTCCAGTGGGTCAAGCCAACGGGGCCCAAGTCTATAATGGCACTTAACGATAGCACTAACCTTGTCTCACTTTTCCTTGAAGTCTGTTCCGAATGGTTTCGGCCACAGACTTGCTGCACTGAGGTCGTTTGATATGTGCAACTGTAATTAAAGCCACCTGAGGCGCCCTGACACCAGGCTGAAGCTGGGTTGGAAATGCTTCGTCTTTGCAGATATCACTGGCCGCTGATTCTCGAGTGCCTGAACCGGTAGATGTCATGGCAAAATTTGGTGTGATAATTTGGACCTTACCGCAGTCAGCGCACCCTAAAGCCCTAATAAAGAAACGCCCCACCCAGAGCTTCTGGATTCTCGTTCCAGTCCACCGTTCCTTCACCCCAGCCCGCCGCCGCGCTCCCTCACCTCAGCCCTCCGTTCCCAGCTTGACGAGCATTTGGGCCTTAGTTAAGCCTTGCTGTAGGCTTACTGTATAAACCCATCGAGACAGCCCGTCTCGGTGAGCTTAGTTGGCGAACTACTGCCTTGGGGAGGGTTTCTGGCGGATCGCTGTCCCAATAGGTTTAGATGCGACCGACTGTCTCTGAATGTTTGAGCGGTCTCCTCCCGCTGTGAGCTAGTTTCAGTTGATATCTGTCTCAGAAATACTTTTTAAAGAAAGTTAAACGAAAATCCAACGTAAAATGAACAGAGGAAATGGTAACGAGTTACCTCATTGAAGAGCAGCGCTCGCCTACTTCAAAAGGTTTGGCACCGTTCTTCAACATCTGATATGCGATCGGGTTATGGCACAATTTTTTCCCATTGGAGCTTTTTTCTAATACAGCAATACGAAATGCGTTACATCGTCCACTGGCGGATCCAGGGAGCGGGCATTTAAAGCAAATATTTACTCCCTTCCCCCTGCCCCTGCATCGCCCGAAATAGACAAAACGTACCTTATGTTTCCTAATACCTAATTACATTTTTATCAGGATTTTTTTTTATACTGTTCAGCAGTAATCGAAATCGAAATCCGAGGAGTTTTTGGATTTTGGACACTTTGGGGGGGTATGTCCCCTACAGCGTCGAAAACGCCTTTCTGGATCCGCCTATGACATCATCTCGACTGGGATCTTGCCCCCCCACGCCAAAATCGAATCCGCCGCCACTGTTCGGGGTCACTGGCTGCTCATAAACATTCACCCTGAGGACGGTCGGTATTCACTCATAGTAGTAGCATGCCCGCTTTTTTAAGAGTGTTAGCTCGATTTGGGCCCATCTAGGACTTTGGGGCTCACTACAAGTAGAACGATATGTTCGTACCTATCCCCCCGCGTCGTAAAGGATGACAAAATGGCTTGTAGCCTCTCTGACCTTGCTAGCATCGGCAGGGCCTCGGCTAAGGAATTTTGACTGGTGGGCCACTTGGGCAGCGACATGGACTGACCTTCGTAGCCATAGCCCCCCCCCCCCAATTTTCGATTTCCCCCCACATTTCGGCCACTTTATTCTGCAAAAAAAAAACGTCAGGATGGCATTATAAAATGTAAAAAACGGGCCTCAACCCCTCCCCCCGACTCTTCAGAGAGAGGAGAGAGTAGAGAGTAGGGACCCACAACCCTCTCAGTGGTGATACTCCGGCGGTGCACATAAAATCGCACAAGTATGCACAAAATATTGACGCAGATAAAACGTTGGACGATAACTTACGGCCGGTCGGATGTTAAAAATCAGCGAGCCCTGAGTGGATCGCTCGCCGTCTAGTCGGAGATTCGGAAGCGGTCGGACGGGATCGGGCGCTGTCGGGTGGATCGGGAGGAATTGTGAACAGCACAAGTGCAACTTCAGTGAAGTGGGTTGTAGCAGAAACACCAAAAGTGGGTTGTAGCAGCAGCCCCAACATCTCTGAAAATGATCATTAAGCATATTGGTGTCGCATGGAAAAGAATTGACTCAAAAGCCCAAGCGCACTGTGCAACCCTAATATTTTTCTAAAAAAAACTAAGTTATGTGCGCTTTTGGTGAACAGTGTCCCAAACTTCAGATTTCTCTTTGGTGTCTGAGTGGAAAATTCTAGCCATCCAAAATGTGAGAATGGAAAATTATCCATTCTTATTCTTGAGTGTCATCTTCAGCCCAAATGAGAAATTTTTGGAACGCTGACTGTGAACGGTTCGAAATTCGTCCGACTGGTCAGATGTGTGACTGCAAGCATCATACCGGTCGTAAAGACGCATAATATCACTTGCAGACTTCAATCTGCTGGAAGTCGCCGACACTACCTCTAGTTTGACTCTTGCTTATATCGTGTATATCGACGAGCCGTCTGAGATCGCTCGCAGGCTTATATCCGACCGTCTGAACTGGTCTGTTCTTTATTCGTAGTTTTTCTTGTAACCGACTGGTCTGCGGCAGATGCTTATGTGACTGCAACCACTCGCTCGATCGGAAAGCTTGCAAGAACTTTCGCAGACTTCGATCGGCTGGAAGCCGCCGACACTATCTGTAATTGACAGAGGCAGACGTCTTTCACGATTATTGCATAAAATTTAAAGCCTCGGTCACACTTCACCGGATTGGACCAACGGACGAGAAACGGACGAGAACTGTCAGCGTCCGGTGATGTCCGTTTGTTTCCGTTGGACGTCCGTTTGTCATCCGTTAATATCCGTTCCATATCCGGTGGTGTCCGGTTGAGCACACCGGACACCACTGGACATGGAAGTACTGTGACGTCACATGGAAATCGAAGTAAAAATCATACAGCAAAGACGTAGGTGGTGGATTTTTTTTTAAGTTGTGGGTACTATAGTCCACCCAAGAGGATATTGCAAACAATAGGTTGGAGTTTTTTCACAAGAATATGTTTCACCGATGGGTACTTTACAGCCTGAAAATGTACGATAAGATCTGCTTTTTCAAATTGAAAAGTGAAAAATGTTAAAAATTCGATTTTTCGGAAAATAACTGGTGGGCCAACTCTTTGAGGCTGGTGGGCCATTTCGGGTCACTGGTGGGCCATTTGGCCCACCAGTTAACATGTTAGCCGAGGCCCTGAGCATCGGTTGGAGGGCACAGAAGACGACGAAAGAATGTCCCGTTCTCTGCACTTGCGGATGATGAGTCAAGGCTAGCATATAAAAACGACCAGCTCTCTCGGAATGGACCAGCGGACGCAAAACTGGATTTTAGATCTGATAATTATACACGCACTGTGCGTAGCAGCCACCATTCTATACATGCCTACATTCCCACGGCTTCCGCATGTATTGGAATCCGTTATGATCAGGGCTGCGGAGACGGAGTTGGAGTTGGAGTCGGTCGGAGTCGACAGTTCTGCCCGGAGTCGGAGTCGGAGTCGGAGTCGCCAAAATCTTACCGACTCCGACTCCGGAGTCGCAGTTAACGCTACATGGCTCAACGTCATGCACTGCACCTGTTTGATTGACGATACTGCACTCGAAATTAGATTTTGTCGAAAAAAAAACATTTTTTCTGTTTTGGACGAACGTTTTCAGATAAAGAAGCAGAAGAGGGTAAATGCCCCGACCCTGCTTTTTAAACCTGCATGTTATTCTTAATGCATATTTGCAGCGCAAAGCCTTTGGAACGCACAAGAGATCGTTTCAGGCAAGAGAAAAACAGCTCCATTATGAAGTTTAGTATCATGCGGATATGGGTATTAACTATTAATAGAACCGTCCGGAGTCGGAGTCGGAGTCGATTTTTGAAGCCGGAGTCGGAGTCGGAGTCGGAGTCGATGTCACCCTAATATCTATCGACTTCGCAGCCCTGGTATGATGGCATCTGCTCCTTTCTAAGCTGTGCTTTTTTCGATAAAATGCAAGATTTATTCATGAAAGGAATGGCAAGAATCGGTTGCTTTCTGCAGGTCATGGTGAACATGCTGATTCAGTAACATTGGGCTTTCGTTCGCTCTATCCAGTGGCATGTCGGGAATCTCTTATTGGACTTTATATGCTAGCAAATTAAGAATTCCTGAAAAGTTTAACTATAGTTATATCGCAAGATATTTGCGATTTAGCACATGTAAATCATAAATCCAATGCGATTTGTCACTCGTTGACCGTACCTGCTGAAGAAGTGAAAACTATTTTATCGCGTAAATTCAATGCCCACTCAATCGTAAGTCATGCAGTCAAATTTGTAATGTGCCGAGGTCTTGAATTATAAATCTCAAAATAAAGTTACACGGATGTAGATTTTGGATTTTAGTAGCTAACGAGCTAGCGATTAAACCTCATTTATTCGGCAATGCCGTTCCTAAAATGAAGAGAAATGTGCACATTGCATATTACCCCATTCATTATTGCTATCTTCGAAGCTAAGGCGTGACATTTTTAAGCATGTAGTTATAATACAAATTAAATATCTCACGCTAGTACGTACGGCGAGGCAACCGTGTGCTTCTGCATGGAGTCGCTGCAGGTATGACGCATTCTAGGCTATGCCTGTGACTGCACCTGTGACCCTGGTCACAGTCACACGCCTCATATCCACAGATGCAGCGCATTAGCCTGCTGCAGAGAGCACGGCAGGCAAATTTGCCATTACATTGTCCAAAATGATTAAAACTAATGTGCGCACTCCTTCCGTCACGATATAGGTATGCATCTGTCGTCGGAGTGTAGGAACGACGCTACATGAGACAAGTGAGAGAAGAAGCTGCTGTTTTCGCAACCGTCAGCTAGGTGGTTCATTTTGAAGTGTTGATGAGAAATCATCGCTGGATGCTTATTGGTCATGCCAAAATGAAAAAAAATGCATATTACAGGGCCATCACGGATAAAAAATGGTATTTTTGTGGTCCCTTTTGCCGCGTAGCTTTCCAATGTGGGTGCAAATGAATCAAATTATGAAGGCTTACTCGATAAAATGCCGCTTATCTTTAGCTTGATCATTGCCAACACCATTTACCCATTTTAGTTTTAAGTTCCCTCCTCCTGTATTAGTGCTACCTATTTGATGGCTCCAGTGTTTTGAACGACGAACAGTGCACGCTCGCACACATAGGTCGATTATGAAGGCATATCCAAGTGGTTTTTATCCCAAAGGTCACAATCAATATATTTTTATGTGCCCTAGTAAACAAGCCGTACGTCTACATCTGTTCAGTAGGTGTCTCAGCGCAGCCCTCACCAGCCGCTGGCCCCGTCCGGCCTCCCTGCAGCCGGGCAGTCAGCGATGGCGGGCGCGCGGTGCGGCGCCCGGCCGGCGCGCCCGGCCCCCTCCGCACCTCCCGTCCGTGCCCGTGACGCCGCCTGGTGATGCACTCAGCCATGCTCTCCATATACGAGGCTCGCTCCAAGGTGCGCGTCAGGAGGAAGCTGAGGACGGCCCGCTCGGCGCTGCGCTCCTCCCGGCGACACCGGTACAGTCCTCTATCGGTCCTCCAGTCCTCACCGGGCTCAGAGACGGCGCCGGCAGCGGGCGGCAAACGGACACAGAAGTCCTCCCGGCCGCAGTTAGCAGTCAGCGGGATTTGACGACGGAGACAACTCATTGAAACGACGGTGTGTCTTTTCATAAAGGACGGAAAACGGAAACAGAAATCCGCGTCCTATCGTCGAACCAGCTTGTTATAAATCAGCTTCAGAGCTGCCGTTAGAGGTTGTAGTGTGTGCTAATCGTACCGTGAAGCACGCTCGCCTTGCACAAACAGATCCCGATAGGTAGGTATCTGAGAAGCTCTTGTATGCAGTAACATGGCAATTGTTTCAAAAGACGGATTCTATATGTCTTGTCTGATAGACTTTTTGTACATATATAGGCCTATATTATAACAGCTTGGTCGACAGCTTTTTTGTTTATCACTACTTTTTGGACGATTGTGTTTGCCTTTGTGTGTGTGTGTGTGTGTGTTGTAAGTGTTGACAATAAGCATGTCTGGTTGCACTGGTGTTCTAACAAAGACACTTGTCTCGTTTGGAAACTATCACATATCCGGAAGCTTGATTATCAAATCCGTTGATCCGAAGCCGGTGAGAGGTATTTTAGCGGAATGCGTTCAGTTTCAGATTACCCGGCTGATAAACGCTCATCATGTGGGGCCTCATCTAATCGTAAATGTTTATGTTAGGCGGTAGACATACACTATACATGGCACGGATCCATTAGATATTGCGACACCAGTTGCCAAATGATCACCTTTGACCTTTCCGACGAAGTTAAGCCGTTGTTTGACCGCCAGTGACGCGTCCGTGGAGCGTTGTGGTGAATCTCATTCGCCCTGGGCTGGGAGCTGAGCCGTAAACAGGGCACAAATGACGCCGCTCATGTGTGGTGCATTGGTGGTGTGGATTGACTCATTTGGCAGTCGCCATATGGCAGATGAGGAGTACTTTATTATATAATTTTTTAGAAATTACATGCCTTGTTATTTGGAAAGTTTCCTGCGTTGGTATCCCTCCACTGATCCCGTATAGCTGAAGAACATTTATGTTTTCGCTTTTATTGGCATCATTACGGAGCGAGCGAAGCGAGCGTAGTCTTTCCTTAGATTAACGGAAATTTCTGAGTATGAGCGGCCGGCCGGCCGGCCGGCCGTGGTCACGCTTTTGCGAGGCTACCTATATCTCAGCAACCACTTGACCGATTTACACGCGGCAATTTTTGTAGGGTAGCTTCATTCCTTCTACCAAGTATTGGACTATTCCCGATGCATGTGGGTGACCCCTTATGCACGTGCCACGTGCAAAACGAAGAGGTGTCCGTTTTGTAATTGTTGCAATATCTCGGTAACTACTTGACCGATTGCGCTGAAATTTGGCATGTAGGTAGGCACCCACTAGGCACTGCATATCAATGTGCCAGAGTTGGGGCGCTGCTGCACGTGCGCACGTGCAGGGGTCGTTTCCAGATCTTGAGAACGGCTCCACCGATTGCGCTCAAATTTGGTACACAGTTAGGGACCGGTTAGTAGGGTGCCGTGCGCAAGTCAGTTGGGACCCATTTTGCACGTGCGCACGTGCAGGGTGCCGCTTCCAGATCTCGAGAACGGCTGGGCCGATTGTGCCCAAATTTGGCACATCGCTAGAGACCGGTTAGTAGGGTGCCGTGCACAAGTCAGTTGGAGGTACCCCCTCGCAATTTCGCACGTGCAAGGCCCACCCTCTCGCTCGCTCCGTTAGTCGCCCCAAAAGGCGTTATACTGGTAATACATTTCAGATTGTATAGTATTGTTAGTGCAGCAGAGCTGAAAAGTGTTAATGGAAAATGAACAGTGAAACGATAAACGTAGCTGACATGGTTGAACTCTACCTGCCCCTACCTGAACTGACCTGACCTGGCCTGACCTGACCTGACATTGTGTTGCCGCAGTGGCGGCGGCGGCGGCAGCGGCACCAAGATGCGCGTGCAGGACGCCATCCAGCTGATCGGCCAGGGCCGGCGGTACCACGCCATCGTGCTCACCATCTTGGCGCTCAACTTTATGTTCATTTCGCTGCACATTTTCTCGGACCTGTTCCTGCGCCTGGAGCCGCGCCATCACTGCCGGCTGCCCGAGAACGGCACCCGCGAACAGTGGATCCCCTATAAGTGAGTCGACGGTCTAGTGTCTACCAGCGGGGGTCACGCTGGTGGGACTCACAACTGAAGGCAATACATACATACATTGAAAAAGTATGCAATTAAACTGCAGGACGGTACTACATATGCAAAGCTGCCAACATAGCTTGCATCTCCTTGACTGTTCAGCCAAGTTTTAGGCATACCCACAGCTCATTCTTATGGCATAAATCAATAATCGGTCATAAGGATTGGACCTATGTTGTTTCATTGCATAGTAGCGAATGTTGCTAAAAACAAATTTAGGTGCCCTCTGACATATCTATATGTTTAGGTATACATAATTGCGTTTAAGTATGTTTAAACGACACGATGCCATAAATCGATATTGGTCATTCTGTTCTGATCGCCATTTCCTTCGCTAAGGTGCATTCTAGTTGGCATGGTCATGTATTTTCCCACAGATTGTAGGAAAAAAGCAGTGCACGATACCGTTTCAAGTAGGTATTTCCTGTATTCCCATGAGTGATATCACAGACCGGTTACCAGACCAGCGGGCCTGTGCAGTTTTCCGTGATGCCATGGATCCCATGGTCCCCCGTTGGGTGGTGGGCCGGCCAGCCGAGGTCTGTTGGGCTGCCGAGACGGCCGACGGATCCCTGACAGTTAGGCTGACCCGCAGTGTCCCGGCTGGCGGTCCCCTGATATTTAGACTGTCCCGCAGTGTTGCTGGCGGACGGACCGCGGGGGCCCGCCCAGTGCGGTGGAGTGGCGTGGCACTAAACCGACCGTTATGGGGGGACTCTGCCGCAGTGTCAGCGGCTGGCAACAGATCAACTTCCTAGCCAGTTCCTCCAACAGAAAACGCAAATCTGTGGAAATCATCAGAGTTGTTGTGTCTCTGAACGGCCCCTCTATGTAGTTCCATAACACCAACAGTGTCAAGCTCCTTGCAAACACTCAATTATAAGTAAACCGCATTTTTGTTCAAAGCCGGCTGTCACACCATCCATCAAATTTCCGATGCGTGATAGCTCGTCTCTCTGTTCACGGCGCGGCGCCGGCCCGTCTGTCTGCGCCGGGGCACAACACAGGCGTGCCGACCTCCTCTGTTTGGTGTTTACCGCAGCACACACCCCCAGCGGGCCCGGCCCGGCTCTCGGGCCAGCGACGGCGGCTAACGGGAGTAAACGGACCGAGACGGCGGCCGACTGATGCATCATCCTCACATGATCCTCTGTTCAGGCTTACGCCACACCTTTGTTTGATGGAGGGATCATAAATCTTGTTCCTGCTTTAGATGGAAGACATTCTTAAATTTTTCATGGGTTTGTGTAAGAAAAGCATATAACATGGTTTTATTAGGCTCCATGGCAGCGATGCTGCCTCAACATGAGACCAATGATAATGAAATGCAAAATGAGCTTAACGATAAATGCATTATGTTGCGACCCAGCATTTTATATCCAAAAAGCCATACTTTGCAGCCCAATGCTGACCCAATGCCGCCTTATGGAAAGAAGTCTCCTGCATGACGATCGGCTGCGATGAAAACGTGTAAAAACTATAACTCTTACCCAAAGAACTCGTCCAGTCTACTCGTAGAACCGGCTATGTGCTGTATGCAGGCCCTGACCAGCTGGCTGACAGGTGCTCATTCGCCTCATTCTCTATTCAACCAATAATTGCGTGTGTTCCCCTACCAGCCATACGTTGCTGGCATTTGATGACTATGCAGGCCAATAAATATGGTAGGAAACACCTGACCCTAATGACGGACGAGTGATTTCTTGAACTGTAGATTGTAGAGCTCATAAGGGTTGTGCTCGACTCGTTACGGTCCAAACTCCATAGACAAGCGGACATACGGTTTTACAAGAGTTAGGCGACGAAATACTCAGCTTAATTATTAAGTAATGGGCACCATTAGGTAGGCCATACAATTTTCTGTAGTACCGCATAGTCGCTGCAGTCAAAGGTGTTCTGGTTTTTATGCTATATGCCAAAGAATTTTTGCGTGTAATCACCGGTGACACGACATATTTCTGCTTTATTGGGTTGGGCGGTGAAATCGATGACGTGATCACAATGAAAATGGCTTAGTTTTGTAGAACATTGAATTCTGATTCCGGCACGACTCTCGCTAGTCCATTTTTTATTATAAATAAACCATTAATTGCGGTACAAAGTCAAAACTAGCCCGAAACGGCGCCCGCAGCGGCCGTTAGCACAGCGGCCTTATGGTAAACAGGTTAGTTCACATTCCCGCCGCTATGCGAGTGGCGGCGGCGCCACCTGTCCTCATGTCCGCCTTGGACCGTAACGTAAAAAAAATTTGCCGACTCGACTCATCATTCAACTTCAGAATGCCCTGACTCAATCCTGACTCAAACAAGGAGCTGATTTTTTCCCTTGACTCGACTCATGACTCAAGCGGCTCAATGAAAATATGAGTTGACTCAAACTTGACTCAAATTTTTTGTTGAGTCAAGTGTGTTGACTGGCAAAATTGACTCAGATAAAAAAGTTGTTGAGCGGGGGGAGGGAGGTGAAAAAATCCGGCAGCAGGGCCAGGCCTAAGTTGTTAAGCGAGGGGAGGATGAAAAACTTATACTATATATTGTTTCTAGAAAGTTGAGTCAGCTGACTCATGTTCCTAAATGTTTTTGACTCAACTCAATGTCAAAAGTTATTTTACTGACTCAACTCTGACTCAACTCAACACCTTAATATTTTTGTCCGACTCAACACTGACTCAACTCAACAGCTCAACATTTTATCCGACTCGACTCAAATCTGACTCATTTGAGTCAGAGTTGAGTCAAATTTCTGACTCGACTCATGAGTCAAGCACAACCCTGTATAGGACATACTCACGAAAGCAATAGTCGTTGGATGACAGTTTCAATTGAAAGTTCTTGGGAGTCGTGATTTGGTGTAGCGACGCATTAGGTTTTTGCACGTGCATAACAAGCGTGTTGTGTAAGAAGATGGTTGGGTATGAATAATGGTAAAAACATTTTCCCCTCAAAATAAGCAAACATATGAAAACTGAACTTGGGCAACAGCTTTAGTCACTTTATCTCATGCAGCATGGCCTTGGCTTGAGCATGCGGCCCAGACAGGCTGCAGGACATATGAATGGTTGCTGTTACTATAGTGATGTCAGTTACAGCAAATCGGAATACCGATACCAAACCAAATCCGAACCAAAACTAGGCCACGTGAAAATACCAAACCAACTTGGGAATATGAGGGAAATGCCAACTTTTTACCAAACTCACAGCCTCGCTCTTATGCCTACATTAGTGAGGATTCATGATACCAACAAAATACCAAAAACATTAGCATTGAAATACCAAATACCAAGTTGGTATCGGTTTGGTATCGGTAGGTATATCAAAAAGTTGGTATCCGATTGACATCTCCAGCTATAGTTACAGTCAAACACCAAGCTGTGTTTGAAAGACACGATACTTAGCGTGCTGCGATGCATGTTTTATTGATGTGAATATCACCCAAGGACAATTCGTGCTGTGGACATCGTGATTTTTTTTTCTGCTTTGCAAACTCCTGATTGAATTTATGTGTAGAATTGTCCATTGTTTTATTAGATTAAATATTGAAAACGATTCAAGTGATTCAACAGAGATTAGGCATCATCCTAACGTTAAGAAATCACTGCCTCTTGAAAGGGAGAAACAACCGCACTTATCAACATCTTTTATAAAGCTGCCTAGCCTGTCATCGCGATATAAGCCGTTTTCACGACGGGCTATCCGGCGAGTGCAGCTAATTTGACCAAATCTGCACCTAATCTGCACCAAATGTGCACCAAATGTGTACCAGATGGCCGTCGTGAAAACGGCTATAATTGTCAATTTTAAAATATTGACTGCTTTGATGGTTTCAAACCGCTAATATTATGTTTTTGTTCATCATTAAGCAGCATTGCTCTGGTTACTTATTCGGCGTTTTCACGCGACTGCAGTGGACAGTGGCATGGCGGCACAGCCTAACCACCAGGCACCAGTGACCAGGCGTCTGTCTGCGCTCTACACCTACAGTTATGGACACGACGGTACAGCCTAACCACCAGGCGTCCGCTGCTACGGACACGGCGGTACAGCCTAACCGCCAGGCGTTTGCAGTTATGGACGTGAACACGGCGGCACAGCCTAACCAGGCGATTGAAGTACAGTTGGCAATGCGGCACAGCCTAAGCGCCAGGCGTTTGCGTTTTGGACACGGCGGTACAGCCTAGCCACCAGGCGTTTCCAGTTATGGATAAGGCCGGCTTACCGATTGCCGAGCGTTCAGGCGTCGGCATAAAAGACATTATCCTTTGACTGTTACATGCACGATTTTTTTTTCAGCCAGCCTATTTATCAGTCGTCCAATAGCCGATAGCCATGCCATGTCAAGCAGCCCTTGATCGACCTCTCCAGATATTTTTTAATCCATGTTTGCATGCAGTCGTTCGCCGTTCGGTGGCTGAGAATACAGGCAATTAATGAAATAAAAATGTGAGACGAAACCAGACATGTGGTCATGTTCACAAGTCACAAGAGCCTGGGGTGTCCGCCCCAGCGCGTTCGACATGAATGAAATATGGAATGATCGCATTTGTCAACTGCTAATGACATCCACTAAGACTAGGCTCAGGTGACTGATATTTCCGCATTTATGTTCACAGGAGGGAAAAAGGAAAATTCTCGTCCTGCTACATCTATTCTGAGCCGCTGACGGACCAGGAAATCTACAAATATCATCCATTGTACTTCGATAACCAGCCGCCGAAACCACATGGTGCGTTCCAGTAAATGTTTTTATTTTGTGGCAGTATTAAAATAGCCTTTTCAGAACGAACATAGTGCGTTAACTCATTGAGACAGGTATAAGGGTAAGACATTGGGTAGATACTTATATAGTAACATATATAAGTTATCTAAGGCAATCGCAATGTCTAGGTGTGTCATTGACCTAGCAAAACCCAAGCAAAACCAACACCTTGCTGTTACCTACGACTTACGAGGTGTCTAAAGATAAAGATACAAACATATAGAAACACGCCTAAAGATCGGTTTAAGTTTGCTGTTAGCTTGAAACGCTCAGTGCATTGCAAGTCGGTAGGTATCTGAATTATCAATTCAATAATCCGTATAAACAACATCGGCTTCTTGAACAGTTGCGTAACTTTTGCGTAGCATGAAACTGGTTTTATGCTGTGGATAATTTCAGGCTACCTCAGTCTTAGAATTTACCAGCCTCAAGCCGACTTATGTACCTAATAAAGATAGCAAATATGTCAATAAATATCTGACAGCACCCAAAACTAAACATCCGTCTAGCGACATTCAGTAATCACTGGCATGATTTTGAATATTGGCGATGAAATTTGAACTGTCTTTAGCTTAGCTTCATTAGGTACGGAAGCTTTCTATTGTGGGGAGTAGCACTTATTTTCTTTAAAGTTCTAGCTCGCTATGTGAGAAGGATGGGGAGTCGTGTCATCCACTGCCCTCTAAATGGCGGAATGAGCAGTGCCAGCGAGTGTTAATAATCAACTTCGCACCCATGGGACAACTTATTTCAGATATCGTTGAACGAGAAATAACATCATCAGAGCAGAATCTGGCGTTAGACGACACGGATGAGGCAGAAGACACGAGCCCTTCAGAATACAAGCGGGAAAAGCTTCGATGCTCCGAGTTCGAATATCAAGACACTCACGGATCAACAATGATCACTGAGGTACGGGGGCTGGCACAGAACAGATTTTCTTATTTGGAAAGGTCAAATGAAAGGGTAAACATGCATGCTCGACCCCGAAGCACCTAATAATATTAAGAACGTTTTTTTTCTTGCGAGGGACAATAGGAGCAAAGTTGTTTTTTCAGGATTCAGGTATAGGGAGTTCCATACGTTCCATATGCTTGCAAAAGTGGAAGAGTCTAGACATTCCACAGACGGCCAGACATAGGTAGCTTTGAAGCGTCGCTTCCCTGGAATACATTGAACCACCCAATTCATCAGTTCAATCCTCAGTCGTGACCGGGTCCCAGATGTGTCGTTCCTCACCACGATCTTCCACTCAAGGGTCCTCTGTTCCTCCTCGGAAGCGGCCTGTCGGCTGTGCTGTTCCGACGACCGGCGCTGGCAGGGTGACGGGTCATGTGCGGCGGGCGGGTCACGTGATCAGGGTCGCCGGGGTCGAGTTGGACGGCGGCGGAAGGGTGCACGGTTCACCGGAGGATGATGCCGCGCTCACCGACGGCCAGCTGGCAGCCGCGTGGGCGGTAGCAAAGGGAGATGGGTGGTGGGGAGACGTGGTACTGGGCGAGAGGGGGGGGGGCTGGGCGGGCGGCCGTGGTGGGGCACTGGGCGGAGCGGGTCGACGCTCGGCACGGGAACAGCGAGGTCAGACATTTACATCACCCCATCGCAAACAGCCGGTGTATACTGCATCACTTACAAAACCGTTCATTAGTGAATGGTGCGGCGCGAAACACTTGTCAAAGGGACAATACATCGAGCCCTGCGACTGGATTCCATTTGGGCGGATTGAGCGGAGGAATCCCCCCCCCCCCCCGAGACCCGAGCGATAGAGTCCCGCATGAAACTCAACTGTGTACTGTGAACCGTGGGATGCTGACTATGGTCTCTGCTGTGGAGTATAAAGAGACACTGGGTCGCCAGCTGGTCATGACGGTGGACGGAGTGAACTGTGGACTGTGCATAGACGATGTAGCGTGGTCAATATGCCTTACTGATACTAACATAAAATACATTACCGGTTTTAGCCATCACTCGCTGGAGCTTATTAGTCAGGGTCATGGCACAACCGCCAACGGGCAAAAACTGCGACGACTGCCGTCTGACCTGTGCTGACCCTGTAACCGGCAGTGGGGCCTCTCGTGCGACAAGGACCGGCGTCTACACGCCTCCACAGTCATCTGCGTGGCCATGCTGCTGGGGGGCATCATGTTCGCGCCATTCGTCGACAAGGTATGACACCGCGTGTCGTGTCGGGCATGCCTGGCGCCCTTGCTGGAGACTGGTTTCGGAGTTGACTAGCTGCAGCTGCAGATAAAAGCGTTTAAAAGACCTTCAGTAAAATGATTTAATTGGCTAGCCTCCTACTGGGTACGGAAACGAGGTATTTTTCGCTTCCAAATGAAGGCGGATTTTCGCTTTTACGTTTTCTTTCGCAGGGACCAGAGAGTCAGTGGTTACACTGAATGCCTTGTTACGTTTTGCACCGTTTTGCAGGTGCCATCACAAACCATATTTGCAAAACTTCTCTGTACGAGCGATAATTGAATCGTTGCAAGGGAGCCATATAGGTAGTGCTTGCTTCATCTGATTAAAAATGCCATTCTCTAAATGCAAATGCATCACCTGCAGAGCGATAACTAATTCCCACTGCCCTGGTTAAACATAACGGCAATGAAATATTGGCTGCACAATTTATTTGTCATGCGATCACTTTTGACAACAGACTTACATTCAGTGTCCTTAGCGTGAAGAAATAACCAGTTTCCTTAGCCAATTCATTATTGACAGCTGTTCTATCATGTAGAATGAAATTAATATGGTAGGTGCTCCTGAGATCAAGTCGTGCATATTCCGGCCTCCGGGGGCGATCGACCACAGCAGGCTTGTATAGGTGATAGACCGTCACCTTACAGCATTTCCACTCGTTTCCGGCTGTGTTTCAGCTGGGTCGTAAGACGCTGCTGATGATGTGCTGCGTCCAGAACACACTGCTGGCCATCGGAGTGACGTTCGTCGGCGACTTCAACTCGTACCTGGTCCTGCGCTTCCTGGCCCGGCTCTACATCGAGGTAAGATGAGCGGTTGACGGAGCTTTTGCAGTGGCACCTGAGTCGTGGCACGGCGTAGATAAGTTATGGCTGACATTTGTTAGTCTAATTTGTCTTCAGGCATCCTAAGTTTTGTCGTTACCACTTAAATCGTAAATAAAATAAAATACAAACGACGAACAGACTTGGCTTACGATGTCCAAACCCCTCATTTTTCGCACTATCTCATTTAACCCGCGCGGGGCTGGGGGGGTAAATTTTACCCCCCCTCGCGAATTTTTGCGATATCTCAAAAACGGCGGCGCGCAGCGCCGCCAAACTTTCAGTACCTTTTCTTACATCAATTTGACACGTTCCCTGAAAATTTGAGCGAAATCCGTCGGAAAATTTTTGAGAAATTGACGTTTTAGTGACGTCATGTTCGCCATTTTCGCCTCAAAAACGGCAAAAGTTCAAACGCCGCTAACATCTTCATTTTTAAAGGAATCAAGACGTAACAAAAAAGGTTATACGTAATGTTACTTTGTCTATCAAATGGCTATCTCGGTTTTTTGAAAATATTGGATTTTGGCCTAAATTTTATCAAAAAACTGACTTTTTTGGGAAAATCATTATAAAATCCAAAATTTTGAGTCTATCGAACAAAACCGGAATATATGTCAGAGGAGAGGTCTATGTGCACCTACATACCAAATTTTAGAAGAATCGGTTCAAAAATGTGGGAGTTATTCAAAATTTTATGACGTCACGACACACAAATTTTTTGAAAAATGACTTTTTTGGAAGTTCTAGACCTCGTACGGAAACAAAAGTAGCACCATTCGATTCGCCGTGAAAAACTGCATCAGATAGACACCTTTTTAGGCCTTAACAACCAACTTCAAAATTTGACCTCACTTGACCTGACCTTGACCTGACCTCGACCTGAAATTCATCCAGAGGTGGTCCATATCACTTATTGAGTGTGCCTATTGAATTCTATGAGTAAAATGACCCATAAAACATGTGTCGCACATGCCCTTTTCTATATTTTGTTTTTTGGTGACCTGACCTGACCTGACCTGACCTTGACCTTGACCTCTGAATGATATTGTATGCAACGAATATTGTCTTGGTAGCCTAAGAACACGTTTTGGGCGATCAGTCTCAGTCCATGACTCCATTCTTCGGCAACTACGGTGCAAGGCCGATACTGTAGAAACTTGCAATTTGTACCCTTGACCTGACCTTGACCTTGACCTCAAACTTTAAATTAAGTACATGATTTTAGTAGTTCGTGATAAGAGCTTTCGATTGGCGTTTGAATTTTCCAAATCGGACCATTAGTTCGGGAGATAACAGGGGGGGGGTAAAATTTACCCCCCCCCCCCCAGCCCCGCGCGTTCGGCTGGAGACCCCAGCCCCGCGCGGGTTAATGGTCGGTAGCGACCAACTCCAAGTAATCTTCAACCCCGAATAAAACAGTCTAGATCGGTGGCTCGTCGCCCGTCACAGTCCTACGTCCTCGTTTAGATGACGCTGTGCCCCCGGCCTGTCTCAGGGTGTGGAGGTGGGCGTGCTGGTGCTGGCCGTGGAGCTGGTGCCCGCCAAGAACCGGCCGCTGGCGCCCTTCATGCTGTTCGTGGCCTACTCCCTCGGCCACTGTCTGCTCCCCGTGCTCGCCTACTTCTTCAAGAGCTGGCGGTACTTCCAGCTGACGATAGCGCTCGGGTCGGCTGTGCTCATCCCAATCACCAGGTGAGGGAGCCAGGAGAGGACACAATGTGACGAGGGCGCTGAAATGATCCGTCCACGGTCCAGCCTACCCTCTGCCGACTGGGCATGAATGACCATTAGATTCTTGCCATGGAATGTATGATATCAAATGTAATGCATCTACGTTATGCACAAATAAAAAAATAATTATCGTTAGTTGGCATACGGTGACGATAGGAACTTGAATCCCACAACCGATGTAATGAATTCAATTCAACTGCACTTTAGACTTCGTTGCGGTTATGAAAACGCTTGCACTGATTTCATATATATTTTTTTTCTCTCTCTCTCTCTCTCTCTCTCTCTCTCTCTCTCTCTCTCTCTCTCTCTCTCTCTCTCTCTCTCTCTCTCTCTCTCTCTCTCTCTCTCTCTCTCTCGTACGCTCCAGTCTGATCGTGCCCGAGTCGCTGAACTGGCTAGTGTCCTCCGGGCGACACAAGGAAGCCGAGAAGATAATTCGCCGGGCAGCACGACTCAACGGTCTCCAGCTGCCGGACAACTTCAGTTTGGACGAGATGGACGACCAGGACAAGACGGACGATAAAAAGGAGCCCGCCGGTGAGTCACGCGAGGGGAATTTTCGTGACTCCGTTCAAGGTGATGTCACTGATAGGCAAAGTGTTTTGTGTGGTCTATCGGTCTGCAGCGTGGTGCAAAAGGGTCATTGGCCGCATGGAAATGGCTCATCCAAGGCTCAGCCTGAAATCACGTATTGCACACTGCACAGGGTATATTGAATTAGGGTATTGTACGGCTTCTGTCCTGTGGTTATTGGAAAATTTGGTAAGTGCATACGACCAGTCGTAGTTGCCTTATCGTGACTTTTTCTGACTCATAATGCAAAAGTCAAAAACGCAGGGCCTCGTCTAACATGTTAACTGGGGGGGCAATTGCCTCCCCAGTCGAGCGGATTGCCCCCCCAGTGGCCAACATTTGCCCCCCCAGTCAACACGTGAACTTCTCACAAAAGTACCTCATCTGCAATACGTTTTTGCCAGGAGTGAGGAGTCTTACATGGATTTAACGAGAAATATAAAATAATTTGTTCAATAACTGTTCATGGCTACGGGAAAAGCCAGAGGTTTGTGATTTTCAGAGCTGAGAGCGTCAAGTAGCAAATTGTCAATTAGCAGCTGGCCAGTGACCCAACTCGTGTGTGCCCCCCCCCCCCCACACACTCAATCAAACGCCCAACACGTATGTTTATCATTGTCTGGTGAGGGGGTAACACAATGTTAACCCGCGCCGGGCCGGTGCTCCGCTACTTCCGCGCCGGGCCGGGGGTGTCTGAACACCACCACCCCCCGTCTAACTCCGCTCCTGGGTCACGTAGCGACACGCGGTAAGCGGCATTCGAAAGAACGTCAAATATAATGACGGAAACACTTCAGTCATTTTTTAGGTCAGGTCAAAGGTCATATCGCCAGAGGTCATCAAAAGTCAAAATTTGTAATTTAAAAAAAAAAAATTGGAAACTGCCAACGGCTAACTCTGGAACCGATAGAGTTACAGCGCCGCTGAAAAGCCCATTCGAAAGCTCTTTTAACGCTCTTTCGCCGGTGTGTCCTCAGATTTGACATCAGGTCAACGGTTTAGCCTCCAGAAAAATGCTTTTCTGCAAAAACTTTTGACTCAAGGAAGTGACATTTATTTTGCCAGCATCGTGTTGCTCTTGTCGAGACGCGTCGAATTAACTATAATTTGACGTTGAAAGGTCATTTTGAAAATTTGACCTCAGGTCAAGGTCATGACCTGACTGGAAAAGGTCATGTTGCATATCAGTCGATCCGTATCGTGAAGCTGAACACATCTGCGGTGTTTTCATCGCTCTAGCATGTCTCTATCAAAAGTTATTGTCAAAAAACTAATGGGACCTTTTCTGATCTGATATGACCTCAGGGTCATAAGGACAGGTCACGGGTGCCATTTTTCGGTTCAGCTTGTCGAGTTTACCTGTAACACAATGTTTGAGAGTGTTTGGAATGGCATTCGTCCAAAAAGGCGCCCTTCAATTTTATCCTATTAACTAATAATGGAGAGGTCGCAAAATTGACCTGACGTTAGGTCACGGATATCAAAATTCCGAGAGATCCATTTTTTTATATACCTACTGTAACTCTCATTAATTGCTGAAAGTTTTAAGGTGATCGTTCGGTCGGTGCAGCTGTGACGCGGATTCTAACTTTTTCTGAGGTGAGGTCACTTGACGCCGTTTCTGCGAAAAACTGCAGGGTAACCCCCTTCCAAAATCCCCCGGCCCGGCGCGGGATGAAAAATAAATTTAAAAAAGAAATTTGTTAAAAAATCATGGTCTCAGGGCTGTGACGAAAAACAAGTGGCCTAAATCCGGTGAGAAAACAGGATTTGGGGGTACCCTAGGTTTGGCTCTTTCAGTCTCTGCCCCCCCAGTGAAAATTCCTTAGACGAGGCCCTGCAAAAACGCTCACAAGACGTTATTGCCAAGAGTCAGGTACGTATTGCACACAAGTCTACACTCAAAATCGACCGCGTTAGTTGAACATGTTTGATGAAAGTGGTAACCATTAGCTAGTTACGTCTTATCGGCATCACATCCCAACAAACCTCTCCAGTCATTCAGCTAGACAGATTGCCACTGCCAGGTAGGTTGTACCGCACAACACTAGTGCATTGCGGTACAGCATCAAGCCATTCTGGAAGGAGACGCATCACCGGCGTAAAACTCATGACTGACGCCAACGTGAAAGTTTGACAATGAAACGTTGAAGAATGTCTAAGCAATGACTGAGCTGTATGAAGGCGATGAAAGGAAACGACATAGTTCATGAACATGCGGGCGATTCGCACAAAAACGCAATGGGAGCAAGCCGACGTCAAACGGGCCACCAAGTCATGATCGACATGCCACTCAGGGGCGGATCCAAGGGGGGGGGTCACATGGGTCATGGCCCCCCCCCCCTTGAGGCCCGGGGGCCCAAAGACCTGCCAGGGGCACCACCGGCCTATCAGGGGTATCACAGTCCTGACAGGGGCACCACAGGACCGCCAGGGGCACCACAGGCCTAGCAGGGACACCACGGGCCTGGTGCCCCTGGGCCCTGACAGGACTGTAACGCCCCTGACAAGCCTGAAGTGTCCCCGGCAGGCACGTGGTGCCCCTGACAGGCCTGAGGCGCCCCTGCAAGGCCGGTGGTGCCCCTGGCAGGTCTGTGGTGTCCATGGCAGGCCGGTGGTGCCCTTGCTAGGCCTCTGGTGCCCCTGACAGGCTTGCAATGCCCCTGGAAGGACTGTGGTGCCCCTGGGCCCTGACAAGCCTGAGGTGCCCGGCCATGACAGGCTCGTGGTGCCCCTGACAGGCCAGTGGTGCCTTGCTAGGCCTGTAGTGCCCCTGGCAGGCCTCTGGTGTCCCTGACAGGCTTGCGGTGCCCTTGGAAGGACTGTGGTGTCCCTGGGCCCTGACAAGCCTGAGGTGCCTGCCATGACAAGCCTGACAGGCCCGTGGTGCCCTTGTTAGGCCTGTGGTGCCCCTGGCAGGCCTCTGGTGCCCTTGCTAGGCCGCTGGTACCCCTGCGCCCGGAGAGGACTGGTGCCCCTGAAAAGCCTGAAGTGCCCCTCGGCAGGCCCGTGGTGCCCCTGACAGGCCCAAGGTGCCCCTGCGAGGCCGGTGGTGCCCCTGGCAGACCTCTGGTGCCCCTGGCAGGTCTGTGGTGCCCCTGGCAGGTCTGTGGCGCCCCTGGCAGACCTGTGTTGACTGGTGCCCCTGCTAGGTCGCTGGTGCCCCTCACAGACTTGAGGTGCCCCTGGGCCTTGACAAGCCTGAGATGCCTGTCTATGACAGGCTCGTGGTGCCCTTGATAGACCAGTGGTGCCCTTACTAGGCCTGTAGTGCCCCTGGCAGGCCTCTGGTGCCCCTGCTACCCCTGCGCCCGGAGAGGACTATGGTGCCCCTGAAAAGCCTGAAGTGCCTCTCAACAGGCCCGTGGTGCCCCTGACAGGCCCAAGTTACCCCTGCGAGGTCGGTGGTGCTCCTGGCAGGCCTCTGGTGCCCCTGGCAGGTCTGTGATGCCCCTGGCAGGCCTGTGTTGACTGGTGCCCCTGCTAGGCCGCTGGTGCCCCTCACAGGCCTGCGGTGCCCCTGGAAGGACTGTGGTGCCCCTGCCCCTAGGGGTGCTCATGGGCCCAACAGGCCCGTTGTGCCCCTGTCGTGTATACTTGCTAGACCTGTAGTGCCCCTGCTTCCTGGCAGGCCTGTGGTGCCCCTGGCGGGCCTGTAGCGCCCCTACAAGGCCGTAGGTGCCCCTGACAGGTTTGTGGTGTCCCTGGAAGGACTTTGGTGCTCCTGACAAGCCTGAAGTGTCAAGGACAGACCCTTTAGACGCCAGGGTCAAGTTCGTCGGACTGACAACGATTCGCTTACCTGATAACGTTCCTGGTAAGTAGGGGAGAGTGGGGCAAAGCGGCCACCCGGGGCAAAGCGGCCATCCATCGTTTTAGCCCTCCACAGCTGGCGTCAGTTCCAATTTATGATTTCCAATTATACTTCTCTTTGCGGTCGTTCGAATGAGCCAGACCGGGGTTTCAGGCCCATCGCCATTGTTCTGTGAAACACGGAAAAGCATTTCTTGCCAGGTTACCAATTATGTTTACAATTTTTAAATGTTATTTTATTCCATAACCGTTTGGAATTTTTATAAGCGTTTTTGTCCATGCATTGCGTGGTTATCGTACATGCCTTCTACCAATTTTAATGCTTTTTACCCCACTAATAGCTGAGCTGGAATATTTTTGTCTCGGACGGTATGCGCGGGGCAAAGCGGCCGGGGCAAAGTGGCCAGCCCCCAATTGGCCATAAGTTGTTTCCATCTGGATAAAAACATTATTTATATTCAAAAATGTCGTCATGCATTCATCTTGGCCACTTTTCGGTTACATGAGTTACCAAATTATGCAATTAAATGTTTTTCCAAGAAAATTCTTTCTTTGTTTAGCAATAGGTGGGAAGATAACAAAGTAAACATCCATCTTCCCTTAACCCTTGTCACCATCAAATACCCTAGTCGTGCATGAGGCAACTATTCTGTTTCTCATATCGGGACTTAAGAAGTCGCCAGTGGCCGCTTTGCCTCAGGGATGGGGCAAAGTGGCCAATATGCTATAGGTTTAAAGCTTTGTAAATATCTCCCATATGTGAACGCCTTTGGAAATGAAACGCAGTTGGAATAAAAGACAATTTAATAGGGATCACATTGGTATAGAAAGAATCTTTCCAAGTTTAAAAATCAAGCGTCGGCATCGTTAGAAACGTTAGGGTGGCCGCTTTGCCCCACTCTCCCCTACTCACTACTCAGCGTCCACAACATATATACACATACTAGCACATTCATATATACTTGCTTACAATTGGTGAATGTGGTTGTGGCTAAGAGTTAAGATACTGACTAAAAATAGAAAATAAAAAGAAAAAAAACTGAAAATGGGGGCACCACCAAAATGAAGTGGACGAAATCCGTTGAGTTTTTAATTTTGGGTATAGGTAGGGGCACCACTTCGATTCATGACCCTCCCCTTGGAGTTTTCCTGGATCCGCCCCTGATGCCACTCGCAGTAAGGCCGACAACCAGCCAGGGGCGGAGAATTGTCATAATCCCAGGGGGTGCTTTTCTAGCATCTGGCGAATGGAAGCTTCGAATTCTTGCGTAGAAAAGCATATGTAGGTACGTTTTCCCAGCAGCATCACTCTCCTCGTGGCTTACGCAATGCAGTTTGTGTCTCAGACGTAAGTTAAGCACCCCTGGAGCACTATTGCACGGTGACTTTTGAATTTCAGGGGGTGCTCGAGCACCCCCAAAACCCCTAATTTTCCACCCCTGCAACCAGCCCCCTTCCGTATCGCTCGCATTCGGCATTGTGTTGTTTCGCTCTGCGCTTCTAACATAATTAATGCTTACGTAGCATCCACTCCGCTAAGCTCTGCCATGCCTCATAGCCGCAAATCACCGTTTATTTTTTACATTTTTTGTTTTTGGTCTGTTCCTTTCCTAATCGTTTATCTCTAACAATGCCTTTTTTCAACGAGAAACTGATTCACCAATGCAAAAACTTTCTCAATTTTCGTGGTCTTCCATCCATTGCTCACATCCATCCTCCCACGTAGGAACCAGCACTCCTATAGCGCCAGGCCTCCGCGTGGCGCATGCCGTCGCGATATAACCACCACCGGCCCTGCTGTCTCAGTGCCAGCCGGGGCGAGTTTCCGACAATAATTCCGCCGTTTTGTGGAGCGGACTCCGTCAGCCTGACGTGCCGGGGTCCCATCAGTCGCCGGTGTCGTGTCCGACGGCCGCCTGTCGTGGTTACTCCGCGTGGCCGGGGCTCCGTCGTGGTTACAGCACGTGCCGTCCAGTGCGCCCCTGATTCTCCGGCGACACGCGCACTCGCCCCGCCGAGCCGGTGGAAACGGCCTTCCTGTTCTTAGCGATAATGGTCTTCCGAGTTAGCGTGGTTAAAATCCAAATGTTTGGGAGGGAATGTTAGGCGCACTGCTTCAATTCAGGGTCATGTCAGCTGAATAGGTCTCAGATCACGGTGCCTTGGTGATGGGCTCTGGCTGTCGGCAAATAGGTTTGCAGACATTACAACAAACAGGGCTATTGGCTGTCATACCTAATGCACCCTGCTTTGGTAATGGTGCTCCTTATGATGTTTGTCTTTAGCAGCCTATTGCGTCTTGAACCACGAAAGAATTATTACATGGTTCACTAACTTTCAGTGGTAACCCTGATGACCTCCATTGACCTCGGGTGACCTCTGTTAGCAGGCTCTCAGGCGGCCCACCGTCTGCAGCGGCGGGTCACCCAGATGAACGGCCACGGGCGCTCCAAGCAGGGCGCCGGCGACTTCATGCAGCACGAGATACACGCCCACCTGGGCCACTGGTCCAAGCTGGCGGACATGATGAAAAACCACCAGCTGCGCAAACACTTCTGCATCGTCTCCTATGTCTGGTGAGGCCGGAGGAAACGTCTTAATTAATTTTTTGACGCCATGCTAGTTATTTTATTTGAGCGACTGAGCCTTCACCGACCGCATTTGGAATCATCCCGATATAAACGATTTGGTTGAGAAGTGTGGATTATGTCACCACCAGAAAATGAAATTCGCCAATCGCTAGATCGCTAATGTCTGGCTGTATAAAACGTCCATTGTCTATTAGCTTCCCCTCCCCGGTATGCCTTAGTGCAGCCGGGAAGCAAACTTTAAAAAAAGTCCATTGTCTGCTATTGCGTCCCGGCTCTGCTTTGAAAAGCTTGCTACAAGTTTTCACTCGTTCTTTTTATCACTGCCAGTTTTTGCATTCATGTCAGGAGCCAAATGGTCATGACAGCTAATCATGTATCATGTCGACGAATTTTTGTTTTGCTCAGCACCAGTGCCGGGGTCCTGTCAGATGCCAACAGGCATATTGTGGGATGTCTACCTTATACCCTGTGCTTATACATACATACCTATGTACACCTCCGTCATACCTTTGCGTGAAATTCAAATATCTTGCGATTGTCAAGCATTGGAAGTTGGAACCGACACATACCTACCTACTTACCTAGTGCTGCTATCAGGTCCCGTTTCGGCTTCCCGTGCCTATTTTAGGTGACAGAATTGTATAAACTATAAACTGAACAGGAATGCTCGAACGTGACTAAATAACCATCGTTTACATTTGCAGACCTCATGCTCCACCGTCGTTTGTCCACAGGGCCGTGGTAGGATTCCTGTACTTTGGCCTGACGACGAGCACGATGGAGTCCAAGGGGAACGTGTACCTCAACTACGGCCTGTCGGGCGTGGTAATGATCCCCGCGTGCGTCTCCGTCTTCCTCATCCTCCGCAGGTCAGTCGACAGTCATCACAGAGAGCTCAGGTCTGAGTTCAGTACGCTCAACGGGCAATCATTTAGACAAGCACATGGACTATGGAGATGCGAGAGATAATGTCAGTGTTGAGTACGGCGTCAGCACGTCATCCAGTAAAAACTCATTATGATTGACTTCAATCATCTGTGTATGTAGGTACATATATAGGACTAGCGGTACTTTTGAGTTTTGCCACCTGCTCCTCGCACAATTGTATACCTAAACAGCATATATGCTGTATATATATATATATATATATATATATATATATATATATATATATATATATATATATATATATATATATATATATATATATATATATATATATATATATATATATATATATATATATATATATATATATATATATATATATGCATATATAATATACATATATGCATATATAGCCGCCTCACGTGTATCGTCAACATCGTATCTTGTTAACGACTTCCCTGAAAAAAAAAAACTGGACGTTTAAAAAAAACGTTTAAATCCACAGTACTCTACAATCTAAGAGTACTGTGTAACACCTCACTACGAGTAACACCTCACTGACTACAATCTGCCACCGTTTTGTCTGCAGGTTCGGCCGCAAGAAGCCCATCATGGCCATGTTGTTCGGGTGCGGGCTGTCGGTGATCGGCTCCACGCTGTGTCCGCTTCAGTCAGGTCAGTTCACCGTGCAACGGTACAAAGTCGGCTCTGTGTCCTCTGCCTGACTCATCGGAGTTTTAAACGGCAGCCGACGATAATTGGTCGATAATCATGCTCATCTGTATGTGCAGTTTTAGCACCAGCTGCATTCTCTGTGAATCAGAGGCAGGGGCTGGGTTTTGTCCTCGCCTTTGTCTGTTCTTCAACCCACGGTGATCACCGGTGATTATCGGTGGCATTATTTTTGTTTCTGTAACGAGTAACGACTGCTAATGAACACGAATGGATCTGATCCATGTGCAATGCATTGTGCAGTGACCAGATATAATGGATAACTGTCCCATCATAAAGCTCATTGGTTTGGAGCTGCCGTTTTCTGCTCTCTCGCGAGTGGTGCTTCGTCGGCTACAATATACCAAATGCTTTTGAAACTTTCGACAAGTAACAACTGACAACCGCCGACTGACCCGTGATTCTGTGGCACCCGCAGCGGACGGCACGGACCTGTACCCTCTGTACCTGCTGCTCAAGATGCTGTCCAAGTACACTACGTTCTCGGCGCTAGTCTCGATCCGGCTGCTCATCATCGAGATCTTCCCCACCCCGGTGCGAGGCAGCCTGGTCGGCCTGACGGCCATGTTCGGCCTGCTCGGCTCCGGACTCGGCTACTACTACTCGGTCATGGTGAGATGTTGGGAGCTGTCGGAGAGGTCAGACGACGCTGGCTAGGAACTTAAAACGAAAAGGGGAAAACCACCGCCGTTAAAAAGGGTAAATGGCAAAACAATTACCAGACAGGTATGCAATCAGCATTCTGGGGTTGTACGAAAGTGGGAAGCAACGGTACCAAAATGTCGCAGTCTTACGCACCCTTTTGCTAGGTCTTCTGCTCTGTCACCTTGCTTTGAATGTATCCGGTATATATTTTGATTTTATCTGTATTCAGGACTAGAATAGACGATATGCAGGGCTTGTTGCGCTCGTCCTGACCTCTATCGCCAACCGAGAACTTCTGGTTAACGGCAGATTTTCTCTCCACATTTAGTGAGCTGTTTTGTAAGATAAAACATCCAAAACCACATGTCGTACAATCTACAAAGATGCCGAGAACACCTTAGATTCTCGTTCAGCCCCGTCCTCTGACACCTGATCTGTGCTCCACCGGCAGCTGGCGTTCTCGCGGTACGTGGGTGTGGCGGCCGGCTGCCTGGCGCTGGTCGCCGCTCTGCTGTGCCGCCTCCTCCCCGAGACGTCCAACCGTCCGCTGCCCGACACCATCCACGACGTCATGGAGGCCTACCGGGACGTGTTCGTCAACATGCTCAGCATGATGGGCGGCGTCGGCGGAGGACCCGACGGCTCCGGCTCCGGCGGCGGCGGACAGGCGGAGAACGGCCGCGCCGCCAAGGGATCGCAGAGGAAGAGGGCGTCGGTGCAGAAGGCGCCGCTGGCAGAGCCAGAGGAGCACGCGGCCATGTTGACGGACAGGGAGCAGCCGAGCGGGTCGCGCAGAGCGAGCAAGGCGCCGGCCTGGACTCCCGACGTCTGACGAAGAAATGGGGTGGAAGAGAGCGTGCAGAGACAGCGTCGAGAATGGACAGTCCCTGACGCAGAGTGAGAAGGTGCTCAGAGACAGATATTCTGACTCTCATTCGAAATATTAAAACTGTATATAAGTAACTTAGACATGGGTGAGACGATGTTAAGTGTCAAGAAGGCCTCATGACAGTGCCTGGATGATGAATCTCCCTTCACCGATATCAATCAGCCAACTCGATGCCTTTACACGCGGCAAGAGCAGAAACTAACGATGGTGGATGACTGTTGCTCGGCGATTTCTGCTCTGAGGAGTGCACAGCAGAACTCGAGTGTCGACATGGTAGCGTGCGAGTGCCATATATTTCATATCGTGCATCAGCGTCGCACAAGTGTGAGTGCTGTAATTGCAATCGCAGAGCAGCTAGGCCAAGCAGTGGCCCTTTCGTAGGCAGAGTCTAGTGGAGCTAATATCCGCCTCTGAAGGAGCCGACATTGAATGTTCGTGATGATAAGTGCCCATATCTTTAAAAAAAGACTATAAGTATCCGTGTCCGAATTTCCAAACAAAGGAAACATGACAAAGTCAAGTGCGTGTCATTTATACAAACTAAGCTGCACATTGGCCGAGGCGAGGTTTCTCAGATAGAACATATCGCATGGTGGACTTTCAAAGCTCTTTTCCCATTTAATCCCACTCTTTTCCCCCATTTAATCCCCTCAAAGTTAACCAGTAAATGACTCGATAAACATTAACCCAGTAAAATGACCCAATGCACATTTTACCGACAGAGGGTCTTCTCATTCAATCACTGTATGAAAGCGAAATATTTTAAAGTGATGAGTGCAAGAACATTGCGCACATGCGAGTTTTCGTGCGAGGAATTGACCCTAGGCCGTTTAATCTGTTCATCATATGTAGTTTTGCGAGTGTAGCCAGATGAGCAAGATGTAATGAAGTGCCTACTTTGTTGTGCGCCGGTAGACGCCGGTAGACGCACCCTGTGCAGCTCTAAGCCTACGTAAGGCGATGTACGATGTAAGAAGCATCGTCGATGGCCAGATGGCCACTAGGACAGATGGTACCCATAAGAATGCCTTACGCACCATACAACTGCGGGTGACCCTCGCGGGATGTCGCCAAGGCACCTATGTCAGTGGCAGCGGTTTCTTGTGGTTGAACCGCAACAGAACGATGATCGAAAGGTCTGTGACCTTTGTCTGCTGTAAAATGGCGTGTTTTGTATGCAGTGTTGACCTGGATATCGATGAATACATAAGGTTTAGACAGCTCTTAAGCACCTACCCCAACGGCCAGTTCCAGCTTGCTATGAACGTGGGCGACAAAAAAAAAAAAACGTATCTGAAATCATAGCTCCTAAGACGATACAAATAAACCTCTATTTCTCAATTGCGAACAGCGTCAAACAAGCTTACTGTATCGATAATATTTATATATTTATCATAAATACCTAGGCAATATGTATGCGTCCTCAAAATAACATTCAACCTTCCGCAGACTAGAACAGCCACAAATGTCCTATGGTTGTAAATGTATAACAAAGTTACCCACCTCTCAGCTACTGGAGAACTTTTTCACCTTCTTCAGACACTCGTCGGCCATCCCCTGGGCCTCCGTGTCGCCGTTGCGGGTGGCCCGCCGGTGGGCGGCGGCGCAGCTCCGGCGCGCCTCCCTGGCCATGCCCTGCTGCAGCCTCACCATACCCAGGTTCACCTGGATGGTGGCCAGCTCGGCGAGGTCCAGCTCCTCTGCCAGCCGCGCGGCGCGCTCCAGCCGCTCGGCGGCCACCTCGACATCTCCACAGAGCAGGTCGAGCGTGCCCAGGTCACTGAGCAGTACCACCGACTGTTCGGCGCGCTCGCCGCCCACTCGCACACAAGCCGCCAGCGCTTGGGCGGTCAGCTCGCGCGCCCGGTCGTACTGGTGGCGGGACCGCAGGAAGCGCGCGTACCAGTCCACCGACATGCCCCAGAGGCCGAGCGTGTCGGCGTCGGCGGCCGCCTCGCCTCCGGCCGCCGCGATCTTGCGCTGCTGCGTGTCGATGCAGAACTGGAAGCCGGCGTCGGCGCGCTCCCGGTCGCCGCTCGACGCGAACACGCTGGCCAGCTTGAGGCTGACTTCGACGAAGGCGTTGCTGTCCGTGGCGTCGGCCGCCAGGCGGCGCAGCAGCTCACCCAGCAGACGCTCGGCCTTGGCGAAGTTGCGCTGCTCGAACGCGATGTTGGCCAACAGGTCGTAGATGTAAGTGATGGCCGGGGTGTTGGCCTGCTCCTGCGCCACGCGCAATGAGAGGTGCAGCAGTCGCTCGGCCTTCTCAGGCTCTCCCTTCTGCGGAGGCAGGAAACAAAAAGTAGATTAAGGATACACGCATTAGCGCAAAATGTCATCGAACCACTGCAAAACATTCAATAATGGCCTTCAACATAATGTGGCTTTGAAACATGCTTCCAACAATTCGAAACATGTTCAAAAACGATATCCTACAATCATTGCAAGCACAGTGGGCCATGCATACCTGAAGAGAGAGGACAGCTAGCTTGATGGATTTGATTAGTTCACTGTCCTCTTCTTTCCGTTCCTCGTCCTCTAACTGGAGAATGGCTGCTGCAGCCGCAGTTACCGCTGTTGCCTTTTGAAGGCCAGACATAACGTTCCATTTTGTTTTAACAAGGTTTCTCTTCTCAAGCAAACAAGTTGCAATCCTCCTCAAGAAGTACTTCTTTTTCGTCAATATTTGAATATAATTTTCTTGACATCCTGGGGTAAATTGTTTTAACAGACTTCTTCTCAAGATGTTACGAATTAACATGCTTGTCGGAATCTTGCTATTCTGTTATAAGTTGTAGAATGTTTCGTCAGTCTGGACAACGGCACGAAATACTCTAGTCAATTCTGAAAAAAAAAATGACAAAAACGTTAGTCAGCGAAGTAAAATACTGCCCTATCTCTCTAGCGTTAGCCAGTCGGGAAAGCCACTTATAGAATAAGTTGACTCTATAGCTTGGCCTTTTCCAGACAAAAAGTACTTATGACCTTTGACGCACCTAAGGGTGACAAACACAGTGACACCAGAATCATGACTCCGTGATCATCTTCGGCAGGGTTGTAAGAAACTAGCCAATTACATTGAAGAATGAAGCCTTTGACCTTATCTCAGCGGTCACTGGTTGACTTGAGGTTTTAAAATCGGGTACCAGTCATTGCATCTGGGAAAGGAACACGTGGCCGTCTTTTTCCAGTAATCTCGCTCAAGTACGGGCGAAACGGCAAGGCGAGAGGGTCGCACCTGCCCCTCCCCCATGCCTCGGATGTAGAAACCGGATAGGTCGGTTCCGGCGAGGGTTAGGGGCGGGCTGGAGACGGCGACAGTCGAAGGCGGTACGGATGTTCCATTCATTAGTAACCTCGAACACGTGACGACACACTCAGGAGACGGCTCTGGGTTACGGCAGCTTCCTTCCACGCAATGACGTCCTCGGGTGTCGCCGGTTGTTACAGCCGTGAAAAGCCTCTCCGCCTCCACGTCAACCCTGTGCCTCAGCACTTGGCACACAGTGATCATATCTCCGCGGCGACCAGCTTTGCGGCTCTCCTCCGCACGTTCTCGATGCTCCTTTGGTCCTCCCGATTGACGAGCTCGCGTACTCTGGCGCGGCCGTACCATCCATCGCCCAGAAAACTGCAACTGCTGCTGCTTCGTCTAGGAGAATGAAGGATCGACAGGACGAGCAGTGCTGTGAGATCGCTGGGGTTATCTGCTCGTGGAACTCGAGCTGGTAGCCACCATGGATTAGGTATTCCTTCATGGTATTCCCTACATGGTATACTTCATCCATGTAGCCACCAAGGTACTCTACAAAAATCTGGTTCAGCCATGGGTCTTCTGTATATAATCATTGCATCGTTCCAGGTGTAGTGTCTTGCATTTTGCTATAGGTTGAAGGGCAGCTCCTGAGCACTCTAAAAGGGCATTTAGGTGTGCTTGGAGGGAGTATGATGCCCTGCCTTGTGCTGCAGTACATTGTTGTGCCATATGTGAACATCTTGATTGATGATTAAATATCACCCAGCATGTCAATTTAAACATTAATGACAAACAGGAATAGTCCTAACATTGTTCTCTGTAGTTTTTGGCTGGTCATGTCTGCCCACTCAGATCTTTGCCATTCTCAGACACCTTCTGCTGCCAATACATAAGGAGCATCTCCATCCAGTAATAGCTTACCATATACTTCATGGGCTTCAAGCTGCAGCTTCAGCAGCTTGAAGATAAATATACATCAGTGCCCAACTACAAAAACATAAGATTGTGACAGGTAGGCATTGGTATATCTAGGTATCTAGGTAATGAATTGTTGCCTACTGTTACAAACATGTGTACCTAATTTGATTTTTCATACCATTGCTGATGAAACCCAGCAATTGGATTGATGAAATAGGCATATCCAGACAAGATGATGGTGGACTAATCTGCTCAGTGAACTTCACAAGTTACTGTCATTGGCAAACACCCAATTCATGTAGGTAGGTGTGGCACTAATTATCACCATGCAAATAAACATACAGGATAGGTACCTTATCCCATGCCACACATATAGATAGAGATCAAGCGCTATGACACATCCAAAATTGAAATATAATTTTTGGTACTCCTGGGCAAGGCCAAGGGCAAGGCTATATACTCCTGGGCAAGGCTATATCAACGCTCCTGAGAGACAAAGACCAGTTTGAGTTGTACCAAAGATTTCAGACGGTATCAGTATTATTGGAATGGCGCAGCCGTATCAAATGTAAAACAAACCCCTTAGGTATGTAAAGAATACATAAAACTACATACAAATTTCAATTTGTTGGTAAATACCAGTGGTACCTAAATAGGTACAACAAATTTACCAAGTCGCAAAACAAAATGTGAGGCAACGAGTAAAGATCGAGCACTCCAAAGACTACACAAACTGGCACTGAGATCACATGCACACCCTAGCGGGAACGGCAGGATTGTTTTGTTTTCTTGGTTGTTTAACGACGCATCAGTCAGACTTGACTATTAGCGTCGGTTCTTCTTATTTGTCTTGCTGTTCTTCGGGGCTGGAAAGCCTGGCTAAAGCCAGTGGGTCATAATCGAGTCTGGGGAATGTGAGACAGGTATACCAGGAATTTAGGACTGACAGGGGCATGAAGGACATGGAGGATGGGATTTGGGAAAGAGGGAGTAGGAGTATGATGAGCTTCAACAATGTGAGATAACCATCTGTGTGTAGTATGTGTAATCATGAGGTCGTTCTGCTATAGTTGTTCTAGCAGTTGGGTTCTCCGAAGGTAATCACAGACTGCCTCTATGAGAACCGGATATTCATCACTCAACGGCAGGAACGGCAGGAATTGCAGGTCAAGGGTCAACGCGGGTCGACGGCAGGTCAAGCGGCAGGTGGGGTACTTACGTGCAACCGAAGTGCCACCTAGTGGCAACACGAAGAAGCTCAAGCTTTGCTTAGCAGATTGATCGACAGGTGGCAGTAGAATAGCATTTTGGCTATTTTGGCAGCAAGAAAGCAATAAACCACCGTCGCAAAAGTGAGCCGCAAATGCCGCAGTTTACCTTTTGTTTTGTAGTTTACGTTGAATGATTGGGGCGTGAGGAATAAGTGCGTGAGAGGGGAAGGAAGTGTGGCTTGGGGATAAGCTATTGATTGCTTAGTGTCACAACGCCGGAAACTGCTCTTGAAACTGCTCACATCTCAACTCATTGACGGGTAAGTCAAAGTGTGTTTTCATTCGCCCGAACCCGGGCAAGCTCAAGCACCCTGCCCTGAACTGGAACCGGTCTAACTACCTGCATCAACAAATAGGTAACAATAATAAAAAATCCCTTATTTCATTTTCAAGCCTTAACTTAGCCTATGCTTACACTTGAAGAGTTTTAGATCCCACTGTTTGCAGGTTTTTAAAATGTAGGTTTTTAATGTAGGTTGCAGCTCTTGTAATGTAGGTATCCACTGTAAATATTTACAGGCGCCTGGCATGCAGCGCTCTAAGTTAAAGCTTGCACGTCTAGTTAATGAACAATTAAATTGAAAAAGAGTGGCACTCAAAGTTAAAGTCAGCCAGCAAAGTGCGATATCACCTAACACTTGCACTTTTATCGTTGGGGGTTCGGATAGGCCTGATAGACTCACCGGTTGCCACTCTTCTGATTGGGGCTGCAGAGTTGATGACTCAGACTCTGACTTTGACTCTGACTTCCAAAAACTAACTCTGACTCCAATTCCAGGCAGAACTGTCAACTCCAACTCCAAGTCTGACTCCACAGCCCTGCCAAGTCTGTGAAGTTGATAGATTTTAGGAGACTCTGACTCTGGTTTCCAAAGTTGACTCCAACTCCAGTCAAAACTGTCCCCTCTGGATAAATCCACACACCGCAGCCCTGCTGTTATAGTCTCTGTTGAGTTCTTTGAGTTTTATGACATCAGAATAGTTTTGGAGCTATCTGGGCATTGGGAACTATGTTTAGAGGCCATGTAACACATGGCTGAGGCATATGTGATAAACACTCTTGAGACTTACAGCTGCAACATAGTGTTTGCCGGTTGGCATAAACTGAATGGTATCCCAAATGCGCAAATTTACTGTTATCTAATAAAGCTAGTCTGAAAATCAGAATCAACATCCAAAAACTCCTAAAAGTTGATTTCAAAAAAGTTCTAGCAGGTCCAGATAACCCTGACATTTAGGTCATTGATCTGGCCTGGAGGCTGGATGTCAGGCCAATGAGGTTGTGCCTTAAAATTGGGTTCTTTGGTTTCTGGTCATTACCAGCAACCCACTCATTTTTCTATGAACCTCCACCTTGATCGGGAGTTGAATGACCAAATACAAACTCTGGGAGGAAGTTCCATTGAACCCATTCACTCAACCCATATATGCTAGCTGCTGTTAAAATGCATGACTGGGAAGGGTTCACTTTCCTGAAATAAGTTTTTTTTTTGCAATGGTTGAATGGTTTTTGTCATTTGTGCTTAAATGATCAGAAAGTAATCATGTGCCCTTAAGGAAAAATCTGATATGCAACTTGTGAGACATCTGGAGGATATTAGTTCTTGTAAGTTTCATCTCCCTGTGAAGCTGCTCTGGCACTGAGGGTGTTACAAAGTTGCGACATCTGAGGACCGTGTGGATGTTCACTTATGATGTCATAGGTCTGACCTGCCCTGACCTGACCTGAAAATCAGACTTGTGACAGCTCAAGAAAAAAGTGAGCTCGCTCAGCTCAACTCCGTTTTATCCGCTCCCGCTCAGCTCCCGCTCAGTTTAACACGGCTCAGCTCAGCTCACGCTCCGCTCAAACCGGCTGTGCTCCGCTCACGCTCAGCTCAGCTCAGCTCAGTTTCCGCTCAGCTCAGCTCAGCTCAGTTTCCGCTCAGCTCAGCTCAGCTCAGCTCAGCTCAGTTTCCGCTCAGCTCAGCTCAGCTCAGTTTCCGCTCAGCTCAGTTTCCGCTCAGCTCAGCTCAGTTTCCGCTCAGCTCAGCTCAGTTTCCGCTCAGCTCAGCTCAGCTCAGTTCCCGTTCAGCTCAGCTCAGTTTCCGCTCAATTCAGCTTAGCTCAGTTTCCGCTCAGTTAAATTCACGCTTAGATCGTTCAGTCGTTCTTTTTAAATCGGACATGCTTAACCCTCGCCCGTATAGGGGGGGTCGAACGGACCCCCCCCCCCTCTGTTTTTCGCGAATAACTCGCGTAAAAAGCGGCCGATCGCGACGAAACTTTCAGTACCCTCGCGATAATCAATTTTACACCTATCCTGAAAAGTTCATGACCCTGACCCTAATGACCTTTGACCTGTGACCTACTTTTCGAGACCATGTTTGGCCGGAATCGCTATTCGGCGTATGTCGGCTCGCATTAGCCGCGCGTTAGCAGTCTTTTTGTGGTTTCAAGTGTTCAAACATGGGATATGATGTTGCTCTCATGCATTAGGGTGGGTGTCAAGGTCACCGGAAGGTCAGGTCAGGTCATTGACCTTTGATGACCTCGGTTCACTTTTTCGAGTTTTACATGTTTCTAGGCTAGTTTTTGGAGCTGAATTCGAATTTAGCAACCATTTGAACATTTACGAAGCAGTTTTGGTGCCTTCGTAACATGTTACGAAGCTGTCAGAGGCTACTACGAATACCCGGCAAAATCCTTACTGGTTGACCTGACCTGACCCGACCTGGCCTCAATGCATAAAGACATCATCAGTGATCATAACTAACATGATATTCGTGATCAGCACCCCGAAAAACCCCATAGCAGCCACGTTTTACGACGTTCTAACAGGTCCCGATTTTCCCGACTTTTGGGTCATTGACCTGACCTGGAAGGTCAACCGATAACCTAGGACCTTAAAATTGGGTATCATCGGCTTCCTCTCGTCGCGGGCAGCACGCTCGTTTTTTCCGCGAAGCTCTAGCTCGATCAGGGACGAAACGGCAAGGGGGGGTCCAACGGACCCCCGCCCCCTTATACGTTCGCGGCTGGAAAAACACCAATACGGGCGAGGGTTAAAAAACAGACCAACTCTTGGCGCATAAGTAAGTCTCCTCTAACAAGGAGCGAGGCAACTTACACAATGGGCAAAAGAGATAAGCTCATTAAGACCTTGAGACTTTGCGAGTCGTGCGTCTACTTGGACTCAGACTATAGTTACATGAAATGGACTGTTCTTGGCAGTGTTATCACATGTTATCAGAGTGTGCACCCGCGATGTTAACATAACATATAAGTTCAAAATATACGAACGAAAAAAGTCTGGACGAAAAAGTTTACAGACGAAAAAAATGTACAGACGAAAAAATGCCAGACGAAGAAAAGTCGGACGAAAATCTGCTAGACGAAAAAAAAAAAAACGCCATGGAATCATCTCAATTCTCAACTAGGCGGTGTTTCACGGCCGAGAGCAGCACGCCCACGCCGCCATCCGCTCTTGGCACCCTGCCAGGAGCTGACGTTACATTTTGGGGTAGTGTTGGAACTTGGAGATAAGAGTTTGTTTATATCTCCATGGAAACCCCATTTGACACGTGTGATAGCAGCGTGCTGTTATCAGTGAAACCTTGAGTGAAACCAAACACCACCCTGATCTCAACCAAGGCAATGTCAACACAATTAGAATTCATAGTCGGCGTGTGAATAAGGGAGCTTTTCCCATATTATGGACATCAGAAGGTGAGAGTTCCAGTTAGCGCCTCTGCCCCACCCCACTTTCAATAGGATATGGTTGCTTAGCCCACATTCAACCAACGAAGAGGAACATTATTTGCTAATTCCTAATTGTAAATATTTTATGCAGAGGTAAGAACCCTTATCGATAAAATTAATTTAAATAACTGCTTAAATAACAAAGTGAAGAATGCTGAATTGTACATTGCGGAGCAGAGTGTCAAGGCGAAGCATCAAAGCCTGACAGTAGGTATTCATCTTGCAGTCAGACTTGAAACTTGAGACTGGCTGTATTAGCCTGTAAATTGGCCAAGACCCTGGTCTTCCAATTTCCATACAATATGGATGAAATAAATTAAGCTTGATTAGTGATTAATATTGATTTCTTTAGAGTTTTGATATTTTTAAGTGCGATCACGAAGGCAGTGTAATTGCTCACTCCTAGCTGAAGCATCAAATCCTGAGTTAATTTCCAAGCATGAACTGAAAAGAATTAGAACTGGATCAGCTCAGCTCAGCTAAATCAGCTCAGCTCAATCAGCTCAGCTCAATCAGCTCAGCTCAGCTCGCTCAGCTCAGCTCAGCTCAGCTCAATCAGCTCAGCTCAGCTCAATCAGCTCAGCTCAGCTCAGCTCAGCTCAGCTCAGCTCGCTCAGCTCAATCAGCTCAGCTCAGCTCGCTCAGCTCAGCTCAGCTCAGCTCAGCTCAAGCTCATTCAGCTCAGCTCAGCTCAAGCTCATTCAGCTCAGCTCAGACAGCAGCTCAGCTCAATGCATTACTGAGCCGGCTCAGCTCACAGCTCAACAATTTGGCAAAATGTTGAGCCGGCTCATGAGCTGAGCTGATTTTTGAGCCGGCTCAACTGAGCTGATCACAAGTCTGCTGAAAATGCGGTAGATGTCACAAGATCCGGCTTGAATCAAAGGTCAGCTATGCCAAGTTTCAGCTCTCTATCGCCGGCGTGTTCGAAGCCATCGCGAAAAACTATGAGGGGGGATGGCACTCACCCCCCCTCGGCCGGCGAGAGTTAATCAAAGTCCTTTTGGATGAGGAATGAGGATCAAGTGAGCATAGTGTGACATTTTGCATATTATAAAATATAAATTGAAATATGAAACTGACTTAGAGGTCAACTTGAAAATTTGACCTCAGGTCAAGGTCAATGATATTTGATAGGTCAATGATATTTTGGTCGATAAGATATTTCCGGCCATGACCTGACCGGAAAAGGTCATGTTGCATATCAGTCGATGCGTCTCACTCTCAACAAGACAAACACAATGAGGCCATCTCCAGCGTTCTATCTCTTTCCAATCGAGAGTTATTGGCAAAAATCTGTTTGTAGCCTCAAATGACCTCGGATGACCTTTTTAGAGGCTATCAGCAAAAAAGACACCTTGTTCGTCACGCGTGGTCCAAATCATTGTGATTCTGAAATATTTGGACTGTTCCTATGCGTACACACGGATCTAGAGGCATTTTCATTTTTTCTCCATTGACTTATAATGGTAAGGTCACGCCACTGGCCTGACCTTAGGTCACGGATATAAAAAATCCGAGATATACAATTTATAGGCGCCCATAACATCATGCATTCCACCAAGTTTGAAACCTCTCTGACAAACACTGCTGGCTGGATATTATTGCAAACTTTTTAGGCTTGGTCAGTTAACTTGACCAGGTGACCTGACCTGACATGACCTGGGGTAAAAAAATCACACATTGTCCAAAATTGATGTACAGAAAGCTACTCCAAGCGGCGCGGCGCTACGCGCCGCGGTTTTTTATTCACACGCAAAAAACGCGACAGGGTGGTAACATATGCCCTCCCCCACACTGGGGCGAAGGATAAGAATAAATAAGTCTGTTTGGTGCTCACATGGCGGAGCATGCGGATATGTTTGCTAAAGTGGTATAATGCGGTGTGTCAGAATTATTCTTTGCAGTGTTGATAGTCGATGTCTCAGTCATTTCCTGTGCCAGCGGCTTGCATATATCAACCACGTTGTTGGATACAAAAGGATTGATAATAGAACCAAAAAAAAAGTGTGGAGCTCATCTCGATGTTAGATTTCCGATCAACTGCTACGTCAAGCCTTCGAGCTATTATTGGTATTGTCGTGAAAAGAATACCTACCATGCGGTGAGACAGGGCTGCACATATTTTCCAGTGGAAATTGATGGTTCATCGTTTTTCAGCTAGAGCTGCACGATGTCATCTAGAGGCCAATGATTATGACATTCACATCTTAATGAGTACTGAGGCTGAAGCCACAAAGAGGATGCAATGTGAAAATGTTTCTCACGATCAGGCAGTTGATTCTTTCTAACTACATTTCATTTCGTCCCACTCCCCTCAGTCATTTCCCAAGTTGCGACGTGTTGGTGTTAACCGTTCTTTATGTGGGTTACAGAGTTGTGTTTTGCGAGGAGGAAGACAATAGCCTCTCTTGTAAAAGAAGTATGCTTGACTTCAGAGTCAGACTCCTGAGGGTATCCCACTCAACCGGGCATACCTATACCTATAGCACAGGAAGCATGCTTTGCATGAAGCACATTGAGTTGTCCTCATCAGTTGTTTTGATGAAGCACAGTGAGCCATGTGGCCTATGGAATCAATTAGCGCATATGAACCATTACCTCACCAGCGCGGCTATCTCTGTTATCGCTGTATAATCTCTATAGCCCAATGTCCACATATTCCTGTCTGCTGCTGAAGGAGGCGCCGAGGCTGTCTGTTGCGACCGGCCACCGTCCGACGGAAACCGGCCGTTATTACTAGCTGGCGCCGCATGCACCGGACCCTGCCGCTCGCACTGCTCCATAGTGGAGCTCCAGATAGGGCAATCGATATATTATTCTCTGTCTGCCAAGTTACGCCGCCTTGTCCATTCCGCTTCGTAAAGTAGTTTGAATTGCAGATAAGTGTTTGTAACTGCGTAGCACATCTGCGAATGGCACGAATCTGTCTGGATTAGCTACTTCTTCAAACCCTTTTCACGCCTCATTTTGGTAACGTTTACTGTATAATTGCGCATCATTGCCGAATGCACATGTGTGCCGTCTGCAATGGTAGGTAATGGGTGGATGGGCCAAGACCCTGGTCACGGATGGTGACTCATGTAGATACCCTGTTACGTTTTTTTTTATACACGAACCGTTGTCATGGCTGCTCAGATAATATATAATATTTTTAGTTACTTGTTACCGGTGATGCAAGCTTAATCCTTGGATTCTGGCGCTTGGGCTTAGATTCAGTTCAGCTTAGAAAGACTTTGTTGGCCTGTATGTGGAGCTGAGTAGATGCATTCCCTTCAGATTCAGGCTCTTTCCGAATGTGCGATGCGTGACAAAGCTGTTATTTCCTGGCTCTATTTTTGTCACTACTGACATTTATATTCCCCATATGGAATGATGGTTCTGTCTGTTTTTCTCCCATATACCCCTTCCTATCTTTGGCGGCGCCCTCCCCCACGGGAGCGTTTCGCGACCGTTCCAGCTGTTTCCGTCCATGTGGGGCGGGCGGGCGGGCTGGAGCGGGGCCACCCGTGGACGGCCGGTGAAGGCCGGATGCCAACCGTGACGCCGGAGAAACCCTCACCGCCGCCGCCGCCGGCCGCTCGGCTGACCTTGATATTCCCGTTTCCAGTGCGTCTCGGCGCAGTCGTCATAAATTGCCCCGCGCGCTGATAGCGAGCGCGGCGTACCGCAGATGAATGCATAACCGGCGCGACTCGCCGATATCACGCCGCCTCTTTCTCTGTTGCCGTGCCGTGTATGGACTCGTGTGTATTTCTGGGAAATGGGGGGGGGGACGGCCTAGCGGGGGCGGATCGAGCCGTTTGGGGGAGGGGATCGGGACTTGTGTGCCTGTCTGTCCTTAGGTGTGGCACTACAAGCTAACTCATCGTGTGACTTTGGCGAGTCCATCTGCTGGGTCGGATAGGAGGCAGCACGGCACAGAGACTATGTGCTCTGCGGATGCGTTCTGTACATTGTGCGTGTACTTGAGCACTGTGCGGACCCACCTCAGTGTGTTATTGTGTGGTGTTCCGGCAGGCTCGTGCCCCTGCGCTGTCGTGGCAACTCCCGCTCCGGAGGAGCCGTCTCCCGTGTGTGAGCCCAGTGGCTGACCGCACTGCCGCCGCCGTCTGCCGACGGTACCTTCCACAAGGTAAGCTCGCCTCAAGGTCGACCGTGGAGGCCCGCCGGGCTGCTCCGCCGAGTCGGGAGGGGTCCGCTGGGGGCGGGAGGTGCCGGGCGCCGGCCCGGTGTAGGAGAGGCGGCGTGGGGCTCCTGCTGCCGACCGACGTGGTGTCGAGAGTTATGATTTTGTGTGATTCCTGGAAGCGGTATACGGGCGATGCGTCATGTGAAAAGGCATGTGTTATCAAATTTGATGGCTTGAGAACGCCCAATATCCCGCAACTGCGAAGCGCCCGTCAAAAAATAAAGATAAAAAGGAAATTAAATAGAATAATAGTGATATTAAAAGAAACGCAGGCAGGGCGCACAGCTATGCAGTTCGGCTTCATGTCAAGTGATGGAGGTCCAAAGTTGCAGTTAGATTGACGATATCTTTGGATTGTTGCGCAATGACGTGCGTGGCACTAGACGAGTAAGCATTGGTCCGTCCTGCCAGCGTGGCTGTAGTGAGCAGCCGGGCGGGCAGCGCGCGACTTCCCGAGGAGGGAACGCCCCGCGGAAGGGACCGCCCGTCGCCGGCACTCCATGCCGCCAGAGCAGCGCGTCACGGCCCGCGTTTTACGGCCGTGCCGACCAGCCGCCCCGCCGACCGGCTCAACGTACCGCAAATGTGGCTCAAGGCCGGGCCGCCGGCCGGAGGGGAGACCGCCGACACGTTACCAACTAGTGGTGTCAATCGGTTACCAATATTTCGGTATACCGATACCGAACCAATACCGATTCGGTATTCGGTATTTTATACTAAAAGCATTTGGTATTTTGTCGGTATTATGAAAGTCAACTACTGTCATAAAAAATTGAAAACATTTCTGATAAACCTTCTGAACTCAAATTTGATTTGCTAAATGACATTGGATGAAGAAAAAGGACAATCATGACACATTTCTCCCAAATGCATGATGTCACAACAAATGGGCAAACACATTAACTGTAACATCAAACACATCAGTCTACGAATGTTAAATGGCAACTTATCAGTACTAGCAAATTCCAACACCATGAGGATAATTATCTTACAAAAAAGCTAATGTGCAAGACATAAACATGTATCAATGTTTAACTCACTGTATACTGGAAAACACACTTTAACTACCTTAGGTACTCAAAATTTCCAAAGCTTTCATTAGTAACAAATTTGACTTTGTTTTGAGGAGTCTGTGATTGATCTTGACCTTGTCTTGCTCTCCATTTCACTGCAATGCAGTTACATTATCCAAAAATCAAAACCCTTTTTTTATAGCACTAGCTTCACCATTATCATCTAATATTGAAGGCAGCATCTATCACTTCATCATCATCCCACATTCGCAACATTCCACAAATTCTCAACTTCGCAGTCAACTTCAAAAAGATCCTGTGGATAATTTATTTCTTTTAATTAGTGTTCTCTTTCCTGCTCTCCTCAACAGATAGAAATCGCTAGCAATGTAATCAAAAGCATTTCTAAAATATAATTGGGTTTTGGCTTGAATCGCAAATAGCAGTTTTAAAACTGAACACATCTAAGAACTTTTAAATGTCGCAGCTGCGCCAAAACCCGATGTAGCTCAACAACTAATTGAAAATAATTGAGCAAATTTGTTTTTCTGGTTCTTCATTTTTTAGCAATAGCGGCCTTCAATCTTTCTTGAATTAATTTTAAGATTCCAAAATATGAACATCATATTTTTAAATTATGTGTACGAAGTGTAAAAAAGGAAAACTTTATTTTATGCAGTTCCGTGCGTTTCGTATGGCCGCCGCCTGCGGTATATAGGGCCTTGCCGCCTGCAAGGCTGCCATTGTGGAAGAGATGCCACGTGACACGTGTCAATGATTCTGTAAAATTATGGACATTTTACTTAGCTTTCATCGCGATATCATTACAGTGGTGTCTGCTATCTATCAGTGTGCCTCGTAAGTAATTATTTATCAAGATTTGTTGTGTTAAACGTTTGTTTATGATGAAAAATTGGCTGCGTCACTATCGTCACCATTGCTACTTGAGTTGAACTGTAGGTATCATGGATTTTGTTTACATTAATGGTGTAGCCCAGCCCATCACTGTCATTTGGTTACCATTTTTGGATCATGATACCACATGTAACCCTGTCTTGACTGGACTCAAATTGAATGACTTGAACTGAAAGGACGTTTGATGGTTCAGGCATGGATCAGATGGATGAGATTCAGGGTTCAAGTTCTTGTCCTATCACCTCATCCAGATGACTTGAATCCACATCCCAGGTAACTGACCTGAATATTTGTTAATAGTTACACAATACAGTTATATTTTTTGCATTGCAAATAATTTAGAGATTTCCTGACTTGTTTTTGTTGCCTTATTCTAAAGTATTAGGTACCTTTCAATGCTTATCATTTGTTTTGAGAAAGTTTGAAGCATTTGTTTCATGATTCCCTGAATTCGGTACCTAGTCGGTATTTCACCCTATTTCTGAAAATCGGTTCGGTTTTGGTATACTCTCAGTGGTTTTGGTCGGTATCGGTTTGGTATTGGTTTCCAAAATTTCTGAAATTGACATCACTATTACCAACCGTCGGCGTCCGGCCGGCGCGCTACCAGAAGCGCCGTCTCCCGTCCGAGGCATGTCGGGGCAGGTCTGCCGAGAGCTAATGCGACCGGTCTGCGCCTGGTTTTGGCCGGGGATTTTCGCCAGCTCAGAGGCTGCCTGACACGCCGTGTGTCTGACGGTGGGGCGAGTTTTCATCATGCTCTGTCGTCAGCGCAGCCGGAGGTGGTTCCCATCGGGTGGCGGGATCGTGTACTGCCAGAGGGGATGGTGACGAGTCGCTATCATTTGCTGGGTGTGCCGGCGATCCGGCGGTGACCAGCGGCAGCCGTTCGTCCTGCACCTGTATCTTGATATGCTGAGAAGCGGCGGACACCTGGGCACAGTCTTTGTTATGACAGACACATTGATGCGTCTAAAAATGAGTGGGTGATACCCACGATGATGTCAGAGGAACATAGCAGTGACATTGTGTGGCTGCAAATACACCTGGAACGCCGAATTGACGTCTTGGATATCTTCCTGCAACATGCATAATGTGCATGCATGCAATTTTTATGTCCACTGTTTGCAGGTTATTGGAATGTTTGGTTGTAAGACTGACGAGGCTTGGTTGGGGGAGGGGAAGAGCATATGTCTGTCCAATGTCCATGTATTCCAGCTCCTATGATCAGTGGTTAGGTTTATGGGATCCTTGGCGGACCAGCCGTCGCGGTCCTTGGCAGATCGGTAATCGTAGACCTACCCTTGGGGAACAGCAGGGGGAGGATACAGTCTCGACTGCCGTTTTTGGCTCTTAATGCATGTCGCTCGACCAGTTCCTGCTTGTTTCAATGCATTCGTTGCTAGGAATGTTAGCAAGCTACTTATTACGGCATTCACGGATCGGAACGACCACTTGGTGAGAATGTCGTTGAGTGCGAGTTTGTATACCCCTGCGGTGCACGCTAGACCTTACAGCACTGGTGCGGGACCGGCCTCGCCACGGACACGGGACTCGCATTGGCCGGGTGCCATTGACGGTGCATGGGCCGGGGTTTGTGACGACAGTTTGGGATCGATCAGGACTGCTGACCGGACGACGGCCGCCGCGCCGACCGGCGACTTGAGGCGGCGCCGAACACCTATCGATCTACTACGCGGAGTACCGCGCCGGATGAATCGGTGTCGGCGGTGTTCGCACTTGCCCTGGGCGTGAACGTTTCACTTGCTGGTTTTGTCAGTGGTTCATTCCATCACATAACTCGTTATGACAATTTGCAAGGCGAGCCGCGATGTAAACATTTCTCCTGATTGTGTGCGTTAGAAATCCTAGAAGGAACATTGTCCGCTTAGTTTTTTTTTGTGTGTGTAGTTGCTCGACTAGAAGTTGGAACTAAGTCCCGCTTTCCTTTCGATTGTACTTACCGTGTCACTCTGACTGAGCTAATATTATCGCAATGCCTGGACTTTGAAAGAGACTGGCCACAGTCGCCGAACTGGGTTTTGATCGAGGCCGACCGCATTCGTCGTTTGGCCGTAAGCCTTCTTGATTCTATTCCACTTCCCTCAATATTGTTATTCACTACCTAATAATGTCAACCCGTTCAGTGCCATCGTCAGTCTCATCATATTCTGTCTTGTCTTAACTCTCCTATTCTGTTCGACGAAGCCCTTGCAGTTATGGTGTCGGTTTTCCACCTCGTTCCTTCCGAATGTTGATTGCTGCTTCCGCGATCTCCGTGTGGCCAATTAATATGCCGAGCTACCGAACCATTGGTGATGCAAATCCATGGTGCCCGTGGCCGACGTCGGGCTCTACAGTCTACACTATTTATGTGGTGTGGCTAAGGCGGTTTGTTTTCGGACCCAAACTTCCAGGTGCAGCTCAGACGTGATGTATTGTCTGGAAGGCGTAATGCGAATGTGCTTTGTGCTGTGGTTTAGTAGTGATTCAATGGGGTGTTGTGTAATGTATCATGATATTACGATGTTAGGCTTGGTAGGAAGTTGAACGACAGTTGACGGATCCTTTGACCTAACTGAACGCAGTGATGTGCGCAGTTGCAGCAGTTGCATCCACGAGCGTTTTCTTTTGGTCATTTTGCATGGCATGCATCAGCCTGCTTGTTTAGCCGTTTCCCTAATTTATGGCAAGGTAATGCCTTCTAATTTTCAGTTTTTTTTTCTATGTACAATAAGTGAATTTTATGTATAGCGCGACATGGGAATCTTTCGACAGAAAAAAAAATACAGATATGATCATGATCACTTTTTGCTCTGTACTGAATATTTTTATGAAGCTGCAAGGAACTCATAGGGGTATGTCATTATGAAGGTGAAAAATCAAGCCAACGTTGCTGCCGTTCTGAGACCGGAGTGTATTTTAGGCGGAAACATGTCGTTTTTATACGGCGACGGGCAGCTGTCGGTAGCAGGTCTCTGGTGTCGATCGCTGGGCTATCTGTCTGCCGCGGAG